ATCTCATCACATGATTTTCTGCCGTCACGTGACCTCGTCACATGCCTCCATGGTTCTCTGTGGTAATGCAGCACATTACCCGAGCCTCAGGCCATAAGGTTGGCGTTCGTAACATTAACGTTACTAGCTACCGACAAGTGAATGTAACCGGACGAAAGGATCTAACTGAAGAAGACTTTGAGTCTATAAGCATTCACAGCTAGCTTGGAACTATAGAAGCTCAGTAAGCTAGTAACTCCCTACTATACTAGATAATAGAAGACTTAGTACTACGAGTAGAAGTTACTAGTTTAGAGGATTTGACTTTACCCGACTCTCAGGAAGAACCCGAGGAATTTAGCAGGTAGACGATATTTGACGTGAATGCGGAAATGAGGATAATACTACAAGAAAGGGAAGAGTAGTCGCTGTTAGAGATTACTGAATATAGTAATATATAGGGAAAGGAAAACGGCAGTGAAGTTTTCATATTCTCAGGAGTAACTATAGGCGATAAACTAGTAAAGTATTATATATACTTAGTCATTTATGTTAACGTAGAGAAAGTCGCTTTTAAGGAAACCGGGACAGAGAGAGTTATTATCGAGAGTATTGACTTAAAGGACGAACTATCCGACTTGGCAGATTTCCTAGAACTTGGAGATATTTGGGAAGTTCTAACAACTAGACTCTATAAGAGAATTTAGAGGAGAGCGGTATTCGTACTAGAAAGACGTTACTAGTATATTTAACAGAAACTCTACTAATATACAACTAGTATATTTAGGCTCAATACCCTTTATCGACTATTCGTGTAGGAGAATAACTACTGAATATAGAACGACTAGTTCAGGAATACCGAAGTATATAAACTAATAAGGAACCCTCTTGAGCTGAATGTAGCTGGGAACTGGGGATACATGAACGTTGAAGTAACGTTTAGGGGAAAGAAGTTCAGAGTAATGATTAACTCTGGAGCTAATAGTAACTATATTTCTCCTGCGACTGTTGCTAGACTCAATATTCCAATTACAAGAATATTACTTTACGAATTAATAGTAGTAGATAGATCGTAAATAGATTACAACAACAGAGTGATTAGCTAAGGAACTGTCCTTTCAAAACTGACAACGAAAGACGGATATATAACAGATATATAGTTTTATATCGTACTAATCGGAAGATACTAAGCTATTTTAGGAATACTTTGGATCCGAGAATACAACTCTGAGATCGACTGGGTTACGGAGACTATTATATTTAGTCGATGTTATTATAAGAGTTTATAATAACTAGAAAGCTGGAAAGAAGTTAGTGTTACTTCTTCTAATACGTTAAGACGTTTAGCTGAGAGTCCTCCACGGGATACTAGTAAGAATAGTAAGAAGATCCCTGTATAATATAAAGAATTTGAGAAATTGTTCGAGAACCCGGAAGATATATATACTTTACTCGAATATCAACTATAAGACTACGAAATCAATTTGAAAGAAGGGCAATAGCTGCTTTCTGAGAGATTACGACGACATTGCTACGACACTACTAAGATGTTAGAGGAGTATATTACAGTAGTACTAAAGAAAGGATGGATCCGACTATCTAAATTACTAGTAATATCGAATATACTGATCGCTAGTAAACTAGGGGATCCGAAAAGGAGACTTTGTAGCGATTTTCGTAGATTTAACGACGCTACAATAAGAGACTAATATCTATTACTTAACGCTTAGTATCTGCAAGACAGACTGACTAAAGTAAAGATATTCACGAAGATCGATTAGTAGAACGCTTTTAACTTGATTAGGATCAAAGAAGGACACGAATAGAAAACAGCTTTCCTTATACTTTCAGGACTATACGAATACACAGTTATACTGTTCGGGTTAACTAATATACTAGTAATATGTCAGCGCTAGAACGATAATATTCTACGAGAATACTTGGATAAGTTTGTTATCTGTTATTTAGACAACATCTTAATCTATTCCGAGAATATCCAGGAACATGAGAAACATGTCCGATTAGTACTAGAAGTTCTTGCGAGAGTTGATTCTAGACTAAAACTGGAAAAGTGCGAATTCGGAGTTACAGAGATTTTGTTTTTAGGATATATAATCTGACTAAGAGAAATGAGTATTAATCTAAGGAAAGTCCAACGAATCAGAGATTAGCCTGAATCTCAGAACGTTAAAGATATCCAATTATTCTTAGGATTCGGGAACTTCTCAAGATAATTCATCAGAGATTACTCAAGTATCTCTGCGCTATTTACACGTTTTACAAAGAAGGACATATTATTCATTATAGGAGACAAAGAGAAAGTAGCTATACAGGAACTAAAAAACAAGTATACCGAAGAACTTGTTATATCAAACTTTCACGAGGATCGGCTGAGTATAGTCGAAACTGATACTTCAGATATAGCTATAAGTGTTATATACTTTCAGCTAGACGAGAACAGAAAACTATACTTTATAACTTACTATTCCGAGAAATACTCGCTAGCTGAGTAGAACTACGACATTTATAAGAAAGAACTTATAGCTATAGTCAAAGCTCTGAAGTACTAGAAGATATATTTCCAAAGTACAAAGTTTCCAATTACTATATATACCGACTACGCGAATCTCAGAACTTTTATAACTACTAAAGTCCTAGATAATCGACGAATAGTACGATAAACAGAAGAACTCTCTTAGTTTGATTTGAGAATCAAATATATCAAGGGAATTGACAACCCCAGAGCCGACGTACTGAGCAGGTAGTTTAGGTACGAAGGAGACAAAGTCTACAAGAAAGTAGCTATCTTTCGGGAAGATAAAGACGGGAATCTCATTCCTAATACGAAAGAGATCGCCGCTTTCAGCAGGACTAAAGGACTATAGGATGATGAGATCATCTAGGCCCAAGGGAAAGGTTTGAAACACGTAGACTATACTAATAGGAAGCTGCGAGTCCCAGATGTATTCGCAAAGGAATTCATCTTCAAATACTATGTAGTACTAGCTTATGGATATCAAGGAATCAGTAAGACTCTTTGGCGAATAAAACAATACTATTACATTAACAAGATTAATACTTTGGTCAAGTAGGTAGTAGGAGAATGCGACATTTATATTCGTAATAAGAGTATACGACATGTACTATACGGAAAAATAGGAACTACTTCTATTCCGGAACAACTATAGAAGTCAATCTAGTAGGACTTTATTATTAAACTCCCGCTTTCCAAAGATTTAATAATAGGAGTAGTATACGACTTAATCCTAGTTATTATTGAATAGTTTACGAAATATATAATCGTTATTCTATATTTGGAATCTAGTATAGCCGAAGAACTTGCGTTCGCTTTCTTACAGGAAGTTGTAGCAAGATATAGGATATTAGAAGAGATCATCTCTGATCGAGATAAGTTCTTCACATCTAAGTTTTAGACTACTTTAACTGCCTATTTAGGAGTTAAGAGAAAACTATCGACTACTTTCCATACATAGACGAATAGTAGAACAGAAAGAATAAATCAGACAATCGAGGTATATTTACGCTATTACGTCAATTATAAATAAAACAACTAAGTATTATTACTCTTACTTACTACATTTACATTCAATAGTATAATTATAGATATAACGAAAGTATCGCTATTCTTTGCTAATTACAGTTACGATGTCAGTACTTATCACGAAGCTCAGATATTAGATATCGATAACTAGTTAGTATAAATCTAGACAAACGAAATCAAAGACTTATATAAGGAACTAAGTAGCGAGCTTCAGTTTATTACAGAGAAAAGCGCTTTGTACTATAATTCAAAGCGTAGTCAGAAGCTAACGCTGAAGGAGGGGGACAGAGTTTACTTATTCAGAAAAAATATTAAAACTAAACGACTAAGCGATAAACTAGACTACAAGAAATTGGGACTATTCAGAATTAAGAAGTTCAAAGGACGTTTGAATTATGAGCTTACTCTACTAAAGTTAATAAATATCTTTCCGGTTTTCTATATTTCTCTCTTTGAACTAGTACTACTAGGTGTACTGCTAATACTAATAACCGAAATAGAACTAGTTAACTTAAACGCCGAGTACGAAGTCGAATAGATATTGGACTGTAGATAAGTCAAGGGCACAGTCAAGTATTTGATCAAATAGTTGGACTACTTATATTCGGAAAATATATAAGAACCCCGGACTTATCTCAACTGCTACCGGATATTTGAGGAGTTCTACTAAAACCAAGGGTTTCCCAAACAGGGTTATCGGGGCCTGGCAGAAAACCAAAGTCGAAAAGAAAGTCGTTGCTTAGGCTGCCGGTCGTAGCAGCCAGCTGCTGCGACTCCGCTTTACGACGAGCTTCCGTTTCCTTTTCCTCCTTTTCTTTCTCTTCCGCTTTATCCAGGGTATCTAGGGACTCGTAGCTTTGACGAAGTATTTCGGCAGCACAGCTCCGGAAAGTTTCTCGCTACTTGTCCAGCTAGAGTAACTTGGCCTGGGACACGGCCAAGTACTCAAACATTCGTTGTTGTTCTTCGAGAAGGAACTGCTGTGCCTCTTAGGTCGCACGCCACTCGTCTACCAACTTCTTCTCCTCTCGTTCTAGCATCAGCTATTCACCTTGTGAAGGCCCCCAGACGTCGTACTTCGCCGAACTACCTGCTAGGACGTAGTTCGAACAGCGATCGGATTCTGCGGATACGACGTAGACACGACGAGAGTCTTTTCGGCAACGGGAGCAGGAAGGCATGTTGATACTGTCTCGCAGAATCCGGGAGTAGAGGTTCTGGCGATTTTCTTTAATCTTTTTGGAACGATTAGGTAGTATAATGAAGAAAGAAGAAGACTATACCTGACGTTCGATGTTTTCGATATGACTTTTAAAGCTAAAAGACTACGCTAGGCTACATAGAGGATAGTATTACGAACGCCAACTTTATAGTCTGAAGTTCGGGTAAGTATGACTTACTACTACAGAGAACTATAGAGGTATGTGACGAGGTCACGTGACGGCCGGATCAGGGTCCCGCTGAGCGATCTGCTGAATTATTAGGGATTCATAGAGATTCTAGGGGTTTACTTGGATCTAGGAGCAGGAAGGTTCTATATAAGCAATATAATTTCTTTACTAGATAAGAGCTTCGTATTCAACTTGAATATCAATTATAACAGTTTACTTTGATTATACTTGACTCCTTCTGTGATTCACTCACTCTGATATCATTTACGGATCATTAGAAGAGATTACTGCATTACTTCGCTATATAAACGAAACAGAACACCTCTGTTAGGATTCCCTGTCGGAAGAATAACAGAACTGTTATAAAGAATTTCATAAACTTACAAAGAAAAATTTAAAATATTTAATTTATAGATTTATTTTATAAAAAGTATATTTCTCTATATAGAAATAGATATTAGAAGACATTTTCGTTTATTAAGTTCTCTAAATCTTAAATTATATATTATAGTAAAGTAGAACTATATATATTATATAAGTATATAACTAGATGAATAGAAATATAAAGAAGTTCTAAGTATATATATATTCTTATATTGTTATTTCTATTAGTTTAAAAGAATTTACTAAGATTTATCTTTGTTATAAATTAGTTTAAATTAAAGTATATAGTATATATCGTCATTTTTACTAATATAAAGAAGTTTTTCGAAATCTTTCTTTCGATATATAATATTATAATATAACTAAGTAGAAGTTAGTTATATTGTCGTGAAATATTTCTTCTATTAACTAAGTTATATTATATGAAAAGAATACTAAAAGTAAGTTTCTAGTACTATAGTTACTGAAGAAGTATTACTGTAGAGATTGTAATAGTGTAACAACGAGGAGAGAGTAGTGAGCTGAACTTATGTTTGTATTTCGGGTAATGTAATACTATCTAGAAGAATAATCGCTGTCGCGACAATTACAAACATCGAATCCGGAGTAGTAGATCGAGAGTTCTAGCTTCAAACTAGCTGTATTATCGAAGTTTTTCAGCTGCGACAAAGCGTTCTGAGTAAGTCTCGGTAGAGAGGTTCGATAATATATGACGAAGTCAAGATAGCCGAGCTGTAAAGTGTTAGGAAAAGATTGAAGAAAAAGATAATCGAGTAACAGAGAAAGCGAACTTTTATATATATTGAAAGTAGTAACAAGCTTGTGCACGCGCCTTGCCCGAAGTGGAAAGTCGCTAAACCCAGGGGGGCAAACCGCAGTACTGAGATTATAACTTGAATATCTTCCTTTTTATATAAATACTTTGAACTTTTAAAATAATAGTTACTTAGATAATCTTTCTTATTATATTATAATATAGTAACTTAACTCTTATATAGTTACTACTAGTAGCTGGAAGTTGCTATAAGAATTGTTACAGTTTGGGACCTCTAAATATAGTAGTAGAAAGTTATATTTAGCAGAGTTAAATAGTAAATAGACGAGATTGTAGAAGCATGACCAATCAACCTAAGTGGAGGGTAAATATTGTAAAGCGAGGGTAAGTAGAAGTCTAAGAAGAGCGGCGATACTGACTAACTGCGTTATAATGGCCGCAGGTTAAAATTTGGCGTAGATTACTGTTGTAATCATGTCGTCTATTGAGGATATGCTTATTCGCTCTTACTAATAAATTTTAGAATCTAGCATTCTTATCACCAGCCTTAGCTATTCCCGTGTACTAAGGTTTATTCGTTCAATAATGCTATCCAACTGGGCTAAATAAACCAACAAAAGGACACATGCAATCCTCCAGCTGTTATATCTTATAGCTACCGCTGTTGAACGACCGCCTCCCTCCGAGTCGCTGCCACCGGACTTTCGTTTCAACCTGCATAACGACAATGACTGACAGCCTTGAATTGTCCAACCATCGCACCGTTGCAATATATCCCCGCCTAAGGTTTGAATTGCGCAACCGGCTGCTCATTCCACCCCGATGCAGCGAGGCCACACTTGATTAAGAGCAAACTTTATTCTTAGTGAGGAAGTTCGTCATTGCAGGACCAAGGCAGCCAGTACATGCGCACATCTATAATAAATTATTTTTAGCTTGGTTCGTGTCACATTATATATTTTCTCGCACCTTTTCTTTGGGTGTTGCAGTCCCCTCAGTACCAGCCAGACAGTTCAACATCGAATTCGTGTTTCCGCCCGACATAAACTCATTAAAGCAGGCACTCCCGTTGATAACTGCTCTACATGAATCGCTCTCAACATCGCAAGGTCCGTCCGCCAGTACGGCAGGGACGCAGATAGCGAAAAGGCCGAGTAAGAGGCGCATGGTATGAGATTTTGTATTTGAATACGATCTTGAGCGTGCGATGAGTGCGGATAACTCCAAGGCAGCTTATATAATTGAAGAACGGAAGCGGTCATCTGGAGGGTTTATTTAAATGTGGACAAGTGCCATGCCAGTCTGCCAGATACGCGATTCTATCCCATTAGATCCCGATAGCATAGATCGTCGATTAATTGCATCCCTACTTTGGATAAATAAATGCTTTATCCGGGGTAGCATTAATTCAAGTTACTATGTCCCATGATATGCACTTATCTCTCTGATACCTAGCACTTGGGCTTTGCCTAAAAAGCTTAATTTGGTCCCGCGTCGTTATTTTGTTCCATAACTACCGAGATTTCAATTACCGAACTTGAGTTTAACTTTGGAGCGCTTTTAGCATTTACTATCGAAAATCCTTCCCACTTGACGTATTAACTTGGGGTTAAGTTAAGTATACGATGCCAATAACTGGGGACTATTAAAATATGGAAGGGATTACCCCGACGTATATATTCATACTAATCGCTTGGCTGCGAATAAAGAGGGATATTGCTGCGTGTACTTAGGACCTTGGCCTCGTAGTCCGCCGAAAAGCTCTAGAAGGACGGTCCATTTCATATGCGGAGAGATTAAGATAAGAAGGAGAAGGACAAGCGCGATGTAAAGATCGCGGCAGTTACGGTAAAATTTCCATCACAAAACGAAAATAGAGTGACGATTTAGGTAAAACGTACCTTTACGTATAAGCTACCAGCCTACCATTCCCTACCGAACAGGGACATCCTGCATTTATATGGTGGCTTTGATTCGATAAGTATAGTGGGCGGGGTCTGGCGAGAAGTACAAAGGCCTTGATGGGATGAATTGACCAGCAAGTTTGCACATTCGTCAGCCTAGGATAAGCAAAAGGGACAGAACTTCTGGTGGATGCACCCATCTCTGTTCCCTACTTCCGTAAATACAAGATTCCTCCCGGGGTAGTACTGTACAAGTCATCTATCTCCGGATGAAATATCCTGCCCGCCACGCCTTTCGCTGCCGGTCCACAACAACCTTTCACTTTTTATCAGCTGCTTGGCTAATAGATGACGCTCGATATTATATTGACTGCCATCTCCTCCTCACCGTCAATAATAGGACCGCCCCGGCATTTAACTTGCCCTAGGTGCTTCCCTATAGGGGGGTGGCTAGGGGCCATAATATGAATTGCCACCCTTTAACCATCGGCACTTCAGCTTTGGAGCACCCGGTCTGGCAGCGGTTCTATCGACTGTCCCAGTTATTTCTAACCAAACTGATTAAAAGGTAGCGCATATCGTCCCTTCCGGATTGCCTTCTGCCCCTATCAGTCCCTCGTGTTTGCAGTAGTCACTATTTTCAAAATCAAACAAAAGTACTACTCAGCAAGGCAAGATGCAGTGGCCTACGCCTGCACTCTTCATTCTAGCGCTCGCTCCCCTTAGCGGTGCGCTAATTCGATTCCAATGCTCCCAACTAGTAGTTCAAAGACTGGACCCCTTGGTTAACCCGGGGATGATTCCAGCTGCCCATGTGCATCAAATCGTTGGCGGGGTGCGTAATAAATCCTTCTTTTGTATTATTATATAAACCTTTAGCTAATTTTAATAGAACTCATTCAATGCTACGATGGATCCTAAGAAGGATATGCCCGGAGAATCAACCTGTACAACCTGCTCGTTTAGCGAGGACTTCTCGAACTATTGGACTGCTGTCCTTTACTTCCAAGCAAAGAACGGCACCTTCAAGCGCGTTCCTCAGACCTCCCAGATTGGCGGTGGTGTTGGTGGTATTACCGTCTACTACATGCAGGATGCCCTGTATGACACAGCACAAAAGTCCAAGGTTACGGCCTTCAAACCTGTAAGTAAAAGCAGAGTCGCGTATTTTCATTACATATATTAATATAGATAATAGGGTTTCCGCATGTTTGTTGGAGATGTTTATGCCCGTACTAAAGCAGAAGTCGCCCAGTTCCGTCAACTAACCTACACCTGCATGGAGAACCAAGGCACTCGCGCCCCAGAGACTCTTGATTTCCCTAATAAGCCCTGCAAGGCCGGTATTATGGTTAACGCCCGCTTCCCAACCTGTTGGGATGGCAAGAACCTCGATAGCCCCGACCACATGGCGCACATGGCCTATCCTGCATCTGGAACCTTCGAGAGCGGTGGTCCCTGCCCCTCCACTCATCCCGTACGCATGTCTCAGGTACTATTTGAGGTTGTCTGGGATACATCGAAGTTCAATAACAAGGCTGACTGGCCTGATGATGGAAGACAGCCGTTTGTCTGGTCGTTCGGTGATGCGACTGGTTATGCCAACCACGCTGATTACGTATTTGGTTGGAAGGGTGACGCTCTTCAGAAGATCTTAGATACTCCTTGCGTTGTTAACTGCGCTGGTGCTAAGACGCAAACGACTGCAAATATGAACAAGTGTGTGCAAAAGGCGGTAGTTGGGGAAGACATAGACGGATGTAAGTTACCAATATCAGAGTCTATTCTCGTATTTAACCATTCAAGAGGCATTTACTAACCTTATATCTTCAATATCTTAGGGCTCACAGAACTTCCTGGCGGACACAAGGTCCAATACGGCCCATCCTCTTAGATCTGTCGCACAGCAAAAAAGCAAGCTGACATCTACTGTCGAAGGCCATATGTCTAGACTCTAGTTATTGAGACGTGGTTGTACTGTTACATGTGATTCTTGACTCCGGCTGTATAAGGGTTCTCAGGCTATCAATGATTGCAATTTAGCTATGCATGCATGGACTCTATTACTTTTCGTTATTCGCAATACCCTTTTTTAGGCAATGAAATTGTTTATATATACTCACTACTGCTCCCCTTTTGGAAGATGCAATCAATTCAATAAGTCCCATTCCATGACCCAACTCGGCTCACAAAACACTTTCTCCTTTATGACTTAATTTAGTCTTAAATAACCAATAATAAAGTAACTGGGAGGACGTGTTTGGTGGGCTATATACTGCGGTAAAGCAAACGGAGGCAGCAGGCCATCAGAACGCCGACGAGAGGAGAGTCATTAGTGTCACAATATTCGGTCATCTCTATTCCGACTACAACTTGATGATATAGTAGTTAAGGTTAGGGGATGTAAAATGGAGATTGGAATAGGGAAACCGAATTTATTTGTTTCTAGCTAATCTAACGAGTAGAAAGCCCGCCTCTATCCATAGGCAACTTTGGACGGAAATCATATGTAATACTAGCACTAATTATCATTTAAAACCAGTGCTCAGACCGGTTGAAACATTCGGGTCACGCACTTGGGTAACTTTTCCCGATCATAATCATGAGGCGTCATGGCAGGAGAACTGAGCCTCAACAAATCTTTACTGGCCATCAGGCTTAACCCTATCATATGGCCATCTCCACATCGTAATATAGTCTGGATCAATCCCATTGTCAAATGCTTGCGTCTTGGCCTTGATCTGTAAATTGAGCAACCGCTCCCTCGCCGCACTCGCGGTGTTATGCAGGCTGGGGATACGATCAATAGCGTCGATAGCGAGACTATATCGATCTGTCTTGTTGCGGATTGCCAGTTCAAGCGGCGTGTCAATGTTACCCTTCTCATTGTATCCACGTACGTGGAGATTGGTTTGTCCGGGACGCTTGTAGGTGAGTCTGTGGATGAGCCAGGGGTAGGAGTGGAAGTTGAATATGATGGGCTTGTCGTTTGTGAATGTGGATATCCATTCCCGGTCGGAGAGCCCGTGTGGATGATCCCCATGGTTGATCAGTTTGAAGAGGTCAACGACGTTTACGAATCTAATTTTCAGCTGCGGGAGAAATTCTCTCAGGAGGGCTGTGGCAGCGAGGGCTTCATGCGTAGGAACATCACCACAGGATGCCATTACGACGTCGGGCTCGCAGCCTTGGTCATTGCTTGCCCAGTCCCAGATTCCGGCGCCCTTGGTGCAGTGCTCGATGGCTTCCTCCATATTGAGATATTGGAGATGATCTTGCTTGTCTGCGACGATGACGTTGACATAGTTGACGCTTCGCAGGCAATGATCTGTTACTGAGAGAAGGCAGTTTCCGTCAGGTGGGAGGTAGATACGGACGACTTCAGGGCTCTTGTTCGCGACTACGTCAAGGAATCCAGGATCTTGATGTGTGAAACCGTTGTGATCTTGTCGCCAGACGGTAGCCGTGAGAAGGATGTTGAGTGATGCGACCTTCGCACGCCATTCGACTTCTGCACACTTCTCGATCCACTTGCAATGTTGGTTGACCATCGAATCGATGACGTGGATGAATGGCTCGTAGCTGTTCAGGAGACCGTGACGGCCTGAGAGAATGTAACCTTCCAACCAACCCTCACAAGTATGCTCGCTGAGCATTTCCATGACTCGGCCTTCTGTTGCTAGATTTCCGCCGTCGGAATCTTCGTCGAAATATTCGCCCAGCCAGACTTTCTTGCCCGCCTTGTAGACCTCGCCAAGTTTGTTCGACTCAGTCTCGTCGGGACCAAAAATGCGGAAGTTTGTCATGTTCTTAGCTACCACATCTCGGAGAAACTTGGACATGTTTACCATGCTACCCAAAAAGGAGTAACCGGCTTTAATATCAGGAAGACTGTAGTCGCGGAAGTCTGGCATATGGAGGGGTTTACGGAGTAGACCGCCATTGCCAACAGGATTCGCACTCATACGAGCATTTCCAGTTGGCGTGAGTGCCCTCAATTCGGGGATGAGCTTGCCGGTCTTGTCAAAAACTTCTTCGGGCTTGTAGCTGCGCATCCAGGTTTCCAATAGTTTCAGATGATCTGGGTTGGAAGCAACATCGGTAATTGGGATTTGATGGGCACGCCAGAAACCCTCGAGAAACTTGCCGTCAACATCCCTTGGAGCGCTCCATCCCTTGGGGCTGCGAAGGACAATCATAGGCCATCGCGGTCGGAATGCCTTCTTCGAGTCGCGAGCTTGCTTCTGGAATTTTCGGATCTCTAAAACGCAGTGTTCGACGGTGGCTGCCATTGCTTGGTGCATGGTTTTCATGTCGCTGCCCTCGACAAAGTATGGCTGGTATCCATAGCCGAAAAAGAGGGCTTCGAGCTCTCTGTGGCTGATACGCGCAAGAATAGTTGGGTTGTTGATTTTATATCCGTTGAGATGCAGAACAGGGAGGACAGCACCATCGGTTATTGGGTTAAGGAATTTGTTGCTGTGCCAGCTAGTAGCAAGAGGGCCCGTTTCAGCCTCGCCATCGCCCACGACAGTCAAGGTGATCAGGTTCGGATTGTCAAAGACACTGCCAAAGGCGTGGGAGATGGAGTAGCCTAGTTCTCCGCCCTCATGGATACTGCCCGGGGTCTCTGGAGTTGCGTGGCTGCCAATACCACCGGGGAATGAAAACTGCTTGAAGAACCTTTGCATGCCCTCCTCGTCCTCCGACTTATCTGGGTAAACCTCGCTATATGTGCCCTCGAGATATGCCTGGGAGAGGACCGCGGGAGCTCCATGGCCGGGACCGGAGACGTAGAGGGCATCCAAATCGTATTTCTTGATGACCCTATTGAAATGCATCCATGTAAAGACCTGGCCTGAATCTGAGCCCCAATGGCCCAGCAATCGCGCCTTGAGGTTTTCTTTCACCAGTGGCTCTTTGAGGAGAGGGTTGCCGCGGAGGTAAAGCATCCCTAGACAGAGATACACGCTGGCTCGGAAGTATGCCTCCATCTTGCGAATGTCTTCGGCGTTGAGAGGGGTGGTGGTTACGGTTGAGCGTGCAGGGCCATAAGCCGAGATGCTTTCAGGCTCGGCATCTTGTGAAATTGGTACCGTCTTCATGATGATTCGTATATTTGGTAGGTGATGATGTCGAAGTGAAGGGTGAGTGAGGGAGCTCGAGAGTTTTGGTTACTTCCTTGGGGGCTTATCGCGTCTTATCTTATCGTGTTGGCGGGGTAGGGCTGAATGAACTCAACGGTGCCTCCGTATTGTAGATTCGTCCCAAGGAACAATAGAGAGATCAGGACTTGTCGTATCAGTAATAGAGTAGCAAGTACGGTTGCTGGAGATGTTCGTCTTGCTCTGCAGAATTGATTCAAGTGGCAGATATGTCACCTTTTAAATCCCCATTATACAAGGTAGCGAGGGGTGTTCGCGAGGGGTCGCGACGTCATCAGGCCCGGTTAATGACCATCCAGTGGCGAAGACTGCAAACAGCGAGCAGCGAAATCCGAATGGCCTGATCTCTGAATCAGTACGAGTATCGAGCAGACACTTGAGTGGGCTGATAACGGGCATCTAGACTCTAGCGCAAAGATCTTCGTATTGCGCAGCGCCGCGACCGTAGAATACCTTCGAAATTCTGCGTCGCGCCGAAGTGGTCTGATCACCGCTCAAGTCGCAAACGACCCCGATCTTCTTACGGGTTTGCAGCCGGCCTGAATCCTTTTGTGGCCTCCATATCTGGTAGATTTAATTGATGGTCATTATTACTATTGTTATTATTACCCTTTGTTCAACATCTGGTGCACGAAAACTCGTTATTTGGCGACGCAAACTACATGGTTAAGAGGGCAACTGCCCACCCATGACTTAGCTTCAAAGCAACATTTACCAATCAAGGAATTCGTGGGATAAACTCAAAAGCCTTTTCGGAGGTTGTCGCAAAAAGACCGCGATTGCAGCTTTTCTTTGCCCACTGGAAAATGCAAGGCGGGCAGAAGCTGGTCTATGCATCTACCCTTTGGTGTCCGGGGCCGCTACGGATTACGACCGCAACGGCGCCATCAATACTGCGGAGTACTCCGTACGTAGCCTGGGTAGTGCGATGCTTGAAGAGTTGCGAAGATCGGTCTGTTTGCAAGCGCATATGAAGATACCCTTGATTAATGGAAAATTCAGTACTGCTTTGGTGTCTCTATTTCGAGAGTTCGGAATTGATCTGCCTTTGCGGGGAATGAAGCTGGTGGCTGGGACTCTGGGCGACGGAGAGGGCCGGGCCGGGTCCCACGACTTAGCCAAGCGGTGAGAGCTTGGAATCCTAACACCACTTCTCTTCAGTAGTACTCGTACCTGTCTCCAGCTCCCCTCTGGATTCCGAACATAGTAAGTAACACGTTATACACTACGTAGTACAGTCGCGTTCGGTTTCCCCTTCCTCTTTGTAAACTCTTAAAAGTTTTATTGAGCCAAGGTTTCAGTCCGCACTAGGCGCACTAGGATAATTTAGGTTAGGCGTTTCTTGTCATTGCGTTCAAGTCTGAGGTATCTACTCGATACTGACCTTGCTTCCATCATATTCTTTGAAGTTCGATGATGACCATTCATGTTCTTTGAGCTCAAAATATTAACCCTCTACATCGTGTCTATAGTCAGTCTGACTATAGTACCTGCGCGGAATACCTTACTCAAAGGCAAATAGCCTCTACTATAGCACCGATCTACGAAGTTATAGCACGATAGCACGATATAATTCATAAATTAGAATCCCTAGTAAGTCAAAAGACACCGAGATAGCTAAAGCTACTAGGTGTACTACCCGTTCTGTCCGAGCTATACGCTCGAAGGTCGGTTTTTAGGTACCCCCAAAGCTCGTCGAAATAGTCCCGGACGAAAACGAAGTATTACACCTCGTATACTTAGGGTTAAGAATATAATAAGAGAAATAAGTATTCGGGCAAGTACTTGTGTTTTATTTGTCAAAGGACAAGAATGATATTGTGATATGATATATAAGTTATAATAATAGAACATCTAGGGATTGATGCCTCGTTGTGATGTAAATATCTTTACAATGTATCGTCCTGGCTCTGACAGCAGCAGTGACCCTCTCGCCCGCAAAGATACAAGCAATTCAACGGGCTTTCGCCACAAAAAAACCCGCTACAGATCATATCCCAGACATGCCAAGAGCAACAATCAGCTTGGCTCTCATTGTCCTGTGTGCTTTGGACATTGGTAGGAGCTTGGGAAGCTTGGGGCTCGTAATCCATACTTGATAGAATAAATTGCGATAAGTTCTAGTTAACAGTAGAAATTAGAGTATAAAGTGTGTTTGCAAATTGAAGGAAGCGCGTTGATAGGAAAGAGGAAATAAACAGACGTGGGAGAGGGCCTTATGCAATATATATATGTCCTAAGATAGTCAGCCAACAAAGCGGCGGCTAAGAATGTCAGGCAATAACCTGATGAAAGAGAAGCAACTACCCAGAAGTGATCTGGTGCTCCTTGGCAGCGTGGCTTAACAAAATTTTAATAGTTTAACAAAGGAAGTCGAAATCGAAGCCAACTGTACGAAGTGTGTCTTTCGCCCTCTCAATCTCGACCGACTCGCTACCTTTGTCCGTTTTCCTCCGCGTATCGATGTGGGATATTTGCGCCTCGGCACCAAGCGTGGCTGAGTTATTCCTGGTTTGCAATGTATTGTGACGCGGCTTTGATCACGGGCTTTGGATAAGAAAACAAAACTGCACCTCTCCACGCTCCAACCAGTTGGGAATTGGCACGTTTCTGGGATTAAGAGCCGCAAGGCACCCCCAATATTTTCCAGAGCGCCACGTGTTTCGCTAATTGGGTATATCTCGACATGTTTCCGGCCACTCGAGATCTTGAGTGGCCAAGATCTAAGAGAGTGGACGGCGAGGCTGAGAAGCTGAAAATCTAGACGCATAGCAACGCACAGGCTTGAGCCGGCGCTCCCTTTGTTCTGGCTACCGTCAATACTTGGCGTCGGACAGGTGCCACAATGCACCTTTTCTTGACAAGCTCATGCAATAGCTTGCAATAGCTTGCGATAGCTCACGATGGGGCTTTCCATGCTTCTTCCCCTTGCTGTGAGGTGGGACAAGGCAGTTTTCTTATATTGTTGCTTCACCGCCGATCGTCGTCCTTTCTATATCTTACCATCTACCCCAGTTTGCTAGGCCTTCGTCGTGACATTGCGCACCATGTTGGCTATTTTACCAGTTCTCGCACTTTTCCACGCCCGCGGTGTGAGGGCCGGCTTCGAGGATCTCGTTCTCCCTCGCGCACCAGTACCAGGAGGAATCGAAGATGCTGCTGCTCTCTTGCTCCACGGCGGATCAGGGCTTGTCCCTCGTGCTGCCCCGGCTGCTTGTTCCACTGCCTTGGAATTCATCAGTTTTTGCTCTTCTGTTAGGTAGGTGCGATCATGTCGCGCACAAGCTATTTTGCTCATTGTTATCCGTTAGCCCCGGTTTCCTCACGATGAACCCGACCCGACAGGCACCTTGCCTATGTTATAGCAGTGCCGTGTGGCGCCCGAGTGTTTTTGACGGCTACGTTAGCACATGTGCGAGCTACGCCAGAACAGCAGCTCCTGAAGACTATTCGGCCATTTCGGCACTTCAAGGGTTCTGTTCCGATGTGGGAAATGTCAAAGGCAATGGAGCCGTTGTAACAACCCCATCATCACCCCAAGCTGCGGCTCCAACAACGACAAAACCGGTGCCAACCCCAGTAATAACCCCAAAGCCAACAGCAGCGGCCACTACCACAGGGCTCGATGCTAATATAGGCTGCGTCACGGCGAGCGTGTTGCTAAGCTCCTGCCTCGCTGCCACCAGAGGCTTTACAACCCTCCCAACCAACAGCCAAGCCGCCTGTCTTTGTTACAACGGTAACTCATGGGCACCAAACAGCTTCGACAGTGGGGTCCAGGCTTGCGCCAGCTACGCAAAAACCGCAGATCCCGAGGATTATTCCGTCTTCGCAGCTCTCAAAAGTTTCTGTTCCGATGCTGGAGATGTTCGCGCCGCTGCTTCAACACCAGTGCCGACTCCTAGCGGCAGTGATGAGACGACGACGACGACTCCACTTACTGGGACTGCTGCTCCCACTGGTGTAGCTGTTGGAGGGATCACCAACACCTTACCTGGCTCATCACCCGGCCCGACCGTTACTGTCACTGCCGGGCCAACCAACCCAAATAGCTCAGCGCCATCAACAGGGTTTAGTAGTATTTTATTAGGATTGACATGTCTCGCAATGGCAGCGGCCCTCTTCTGAGACTCATGGATCGATTTGGGGCATGGCGTTGGTATTATTATGATATTATGAGCTCAATCGGGTGGTTTGGTGTCTGGGTATAATGTTCATGGTCGCATCATATTTTCACTAGTTGGAGCTCAGCTTCAGACGGGATAATGTCTTGCCCATGTATAATGGATATGATGGGATGTGAAATATGATTAATTTGAACAAGCATACAATAGATAGCTGTATTAGAATTCTCAATACCTACTACAAATAATCTTGCCTCAGCATCCTTCACCGCTTCAGTTTGCAGTAAGAAATCCGTCGAAGTCCCAAAGACCCAGTACCGACACCACTTCCGCTTCAAAACAGATGACATCCTCCACTACAATCTTAATTCCCTCATTCACCGACACGCAATTCAACGAAAGTGAATTACAAGTGGACTTCCTGCTAGTCCTTGATTTTGTTGCATATCGCACTGTTGGTAGGCAACCGCTTAAGAGTAAGTAAACAAAATCAGACGAAGATAATTAAATAGGGGGTACCTCCGTAGACGATTTATCTTAAGGAAGAACAATCCACGACGATGGTCAGTTTAAGTTAGAAGTGGGCACACTTCTACTGAAACAAAGACATTACACGCACATTTCTAGCAATTCACAAACAACAGTACTACCTCAATGGTAAAACTTAAACTATATAGCTAATATTTCAAGTAAGTGTCGCAACCACACACTATTTTCGCTTAAAAAAAAGGGGGAGGGGTAGGGTTTCTTGAACGATGAAGTTACTGCCTACTATCCACATGCACGCAACATTAATATCCAAAAGAGTGAATTACAACTTAACTTTCATGTAGCCTCTGGCTTTGTTGCACGTCGCACCGTTGCTACGTAAGCATAAATAGGGGGTAAGTAAATAGAACAATAGACAACAGGAGATAAACAGGGATTTGGAGAAATTAAATGAATGAACTCAGCTTCGCGGTGAATCCTCACACCATACTGTTATTTCAGTTTTGAATGAAAAACAATTTGAACACTTTCTGCTTGAGCCTTTAATAGTTTATGTTAATTGCTAGCCGTAGTTCACAAAAGCTTGTTGAATGTATGTGACAAGTTTTATTGGTATCTTATTATTATACCCTATCGCAAAATAACACGTTATACCATGTTTATAGTATCAACTATGAGGGTCTATATGTACAGGCAAATGCCACAGAAATGATTATAAAGCGCTTCCTAATGTCCTCCGGTCTAAGACCCAGACACTAATAAATACCAACGCCAAATGTTACATAGCGCCAACGCTGGGAGCTCTGCTCCGGCCAAGATTTACAAACCAACGCACCTATCTAGTGCCGCTGCGTCTATGTGTAGACAGTCACCCACCGCAAAAACACCTGCCATTAAAACGATAACAAGAAAGATTATGAACTTGGCCCCGCATGCCCAACATCAAATATATTTAGAGGCCAATGCGAACTCATATCTCCAGGAATATGGCCACCTAATTGCCCATGGTCAATCACACTTGGGGCATTCGTGTTTATATCAGATCGCAGCGCAGAACTCGATGGCGGCGCATCTCCCTGGGTATTCCCCCCAAGCTGCATCAACGCACTTGCTGAATAACAATCTTGGGGTTCAAGAGAGCCCGCCATGGTGTTCGCCCATTGCTGCCAGGCTTGTGAACCGGAATAGGGAGTGTGAGGGTCGCGCTTTTGCCACGTTTCAGGTGGGATTTGGGGCGCTTGTTGGGCGAAAGCTGCCAGGAGAGGGGCTTCGTCGGCCGAGGCGGCGAACGGCGGGAAAGAGTGATTGTCATGTGGTGCGTATAGACTTGATGGGGGTGGCACTGTTTCGGGGTATGTTGAGTATTGTGTTGCTGTGGGATAACGTGTTTGTTGATGGGTAAGTGGGTTTTCAGTCGGGGCGTAATTTGTCGTGGCAGTAGCCTCTCTACTTGTTGCGGGATTCTTGCCGAAATTGTAAGGCAGCGGTTTGGAGTATGCGTTATTAGGGTTTAACACAGATTGGTCAGTTGGAGAGTTGGAATTATCGGGTGCGCCAATTTGCTTCAGTCCGCCTTTGGTTCGAGCGCCCCGGCTTAGCAGACTGAGGGTTCCATCAGTTACTACCCGGACAGCTTCTCGAAGACGCGTTCTCGAGCCTGGTGGTGTTAGCTACATGCATCTCCAGTTTATGGGGCCAGCTTACCCAATAACGCGCCTATATCGCCCATGATATCCAGCCACATGTCCATCTCTTCCCTTAACGCCAACAAATCCGCTGGCGATATTTGGGTCCTCTTGGGCCACTGGGCGAAAAGCACCGTGGTTATCGCCATCACGTAGACAGCACAGTTGCCCCAAGTAGTATCGAGACTTTTGAGTTTCTGCAGCTGCCGCACAACACCGAGCAGCCCACGAGATGATTCGACGCATATCCTCATGCTTTCAGCATTGAACTGGGCATCATCCGTCATCGAGATAGAAGGGTGTCGTAGCAGCAAGCGGAATTCATACGCCCATGCCTGCGCATAGAGAGCAAACACTCGCCCTTCCTGTTCATCCTGGCCTGACTCTCCTCTGACGAGTTCGGGTGGAAACGAGTCTTTCCAAGCACGTAGCTTCGCTTCGAGCAAATTGACCGTTGATATATACTTCTCAGGCTGGCGGCGAATGGCATAAATTGTACTATACATCTCCACAAAGAGCGGGATCAAGCGAATGGCTTGAAGTCCGATTTTATGAAGACATTTCCCTGGCCTGGATGTGTCTAACCCATTCTCCGATAGTAGCTCATCATCAACATCTTCGGGCATTTCCACATCGATATCTTCCATCCTGAGTGCTAGCGGGCGACCAAGTTTCCCGCTGAGCCCAACATGTATCACGAGTAACGACCAAAAGGTTCGCTTCCGCATATCAATGTCGAGAGCGTTCTGGGCAACATTGGAGACCCAGCTTGTTGCTGATCGATGTAGACCAATCTCGACAGCGAGTGACATTGTAGTCTGAGTTAAGATCCAACTAGCTCCAGGTTTTGGAAAGTTGCGTAGATGTGAGCAGATCAGAGTCAACGCTTGGACGTCTTGGACGGTGTGACTGCAGGTTAATTGATAAAACATGCCCAAGGAATAATGATAATGCATATTGGACTGGTGGTTCAAGCTGGCGTACTGGGCTGGATCCTCATGATTACGGACAGCGTATTGAAACATCATAATGGCCAAGACCATATGAACGATCACAATCTCTGATGGTTTGGGTCGGAAGGTCGGATCGCCATAGAAACGATTTAACTAGAACTATTAGTTGGATGTCATGCATAGGTCGACGGAAGACGTTAGCTTACTATGGCCATGAAGGAAGGTTTATGAAGCATTGGTAAATACGGATTGATTAGACGGAAAAACCACTCCGCGTAGGTGATGGCCTGGTCTTTCGCTGGCAATTCCACCTTGTCCAGTCTAGGGTTGATATTCAGTGCGGATTGCAAAAGCGCTTGGTATGACTTGTTGTATAACTGGGGATGGAAAATGGAAGGGTCTGGTTCGTCCATATCCGGGGATTCGAAGTCTGCAATATCAATCTCCATGCCTAAAATCGAGAGCGATGTCCCCTTGATAGAGCTCAAATTCGAGAGACCTTCCGAAACGCCCAAGTAATTATCGCCTGGAAACCCAGCACGGAAAGCTGGCAGTGGCCGAAGTAAGTCCGTCTCTGACAGGCTTTTAGCCAAGGAACTTGCAGGTTGCGCAGTGAAGGTCGAAGCTGCTGAGCCCCAAGCCGGAGCTTGGGTGCTCGCTGCTTGAGAGTATCCAAATCCAGGTCCCGTATCATGATATCTATTCGTCAATTGCTGTTCCAATTCGCGGACCCGCTGCTGCAAGTCGCGATTTTGCTGTTCGATGCCCTCGACATAACCTCGCGACGTTGCCCTACCAGTGATGCGATCGGTGGTTCGACATTCGCTATTGTTCTGCAGGCATGGAGAACATCCTCCTGGGAGCCCATCGCATCGTATTTTCCGTACCTATTCGTTGAAATCAATGTATTAGCATTAGAATCACAGTGCGTGGATTGGATTCCACGTGCTGAGACAGCAGTAAAGAGGCTCGAGTCTACACAAGCACACCCACCTTGCATCGATCACAGGCCTGGCCAGTTCGCGTTGAGGACTGCAGCTTCTTCTTGACAACGCTGGAAAACTCCTCGGGACGCTCTGCCCGAGGCTGCTTCACCGGTGTAGCATTGCCATTGCCAGTTGGTTCGCCAGACGCAGTTCTCTTTCCGGGCATCACTGGTGGTATGGCCGTTATAGTCGCATATGATGACCCGCCGTCCTGGTCGACGGGGGATTCCGTCTTGATAATGGCAGATGCCGGCGCACTCTGGTATCCAAGCCCTCCTCCAACCCGGCCCTGCAACTGCGACTGCGAGCTATGTCCAAATACAACACCGGGCGCCGTGGAGTATGGATCGAATTCAAGGTCTGGTCGTCTGACCTGCTCCTGGTCTGAGGGAAACAATTGCGACTGCGACTGCGAATGCGACGAGGAGGAATCGTCTCGGAAGCTGGAGTTCGACCACATCTTTGGATCCTAACCGCACTAAGCCACGTCGGGATTTAGAGAGCAATCCCGGCACTGGGACACGAACAAGGACAAGGCGTGGTCGTACTTTCTCGAGGCAACGGATTATTACAGAGGATTGTCGGCTGCGGAATTCTCTTTACTTCGAACCCTCTGCTGCACTTAGAAGTTAGGATATGGCAACACAGCTAAGAGAGCTTAGTGAACTAGGCTTGGGGGAAACCCATCCATCGGGAAGCTGGGGTTATCAGCCATCGGCATCTACGTGAGCACTCTCGAGTCTTGAGCCCTTCTTGGATCTCTTGGGCAACTGGGACATGGGGAAGGGCATGGAAGGTGGGCGGTCAACAGGAACACGCAGGAGACTTTCAGCTCTAGCTCTACTCCGTAGCTCCAGTGGCAAGCAAACGAGATCTTGCAAAGCACCACCCTGGGCATTATTATTGAATCCCAACACCGTCTGGCTCTTGTCGTCGAAGAGGATCTGCAACATTGGCGGTCGGTCTTAGCCCAGATACCCCACCCAAATCTCACAGGTCCCCGGCGGCATGCAGAGGCTGTTGCCCCAGGCCAGGCGTCATAAAAATTTCCTGGATCGTCTTCCTTGTCCACCTCAGGGATGCATATCCTTGGGACGTTGCTAGCGCTGGGGCAAAATCTAACTAACACCTTGGGGTGGAACTGAGAGAAATGCCTGTGATGTACGTACTTCTTATCGCAATCATCCCCTTTCTTAACACTGAAGCACGGCTTGCCCGTACTCGAATATCGAAACATTCTCCATGATTGGCTTTGGGGGAAGGCATGACTAACGATCCAAGAGCCTACCAGCAGTGTGGCAGCATCTGGCACAGCTCTGATAGGTCCTAACCCTAAGAGCCCGTACTTGAAGTACTACTCTGAGGCTAGTAATCTGACACTGGCAAGAACACGGCACGATCCTACGCACCATGCCCCATAAACCGTAAGAGATCATAGTTGAAACGGATCCCATAGTGGGGGCCTATACATAGTACCAGCGAGCGCAGAGAGATTGGATTGAGGGATATACTTACCTCTGTTCGGTAGTCCAAACCCACTGACCGGTTTTCACCGTCCCAGCGGCCTGAGATCCGGGGAACCCGACCGGCAGACCTAAGCCAGGTCTCTGGGCCGGCGTTTGGGCCCCTGAAGAACAATTAAGCTTCCCTAGTTCGAAAGTCGCCGTTTATCAATGCGTAGGTGAGCCCGGTGAGCCCCCGGGGCCCGTGGCTCCCTTTCCAGGTTGCATTGAGGGAAGTGTGGCGAGATAACGGTGTCTTTCATGCCTTCCGCTGTCCAGTCTCGCTCAGCGCTGGTCCAAAGACTTGCTCAATTCTGGGCGACCATTCAAGCCCTGTCGATAATTCAGCCCGTGGCTTTTGACACTATTGCGTTGCATCCGTATAGCACATCTATTTCTAGATCGGCCGGTGGGCTCCAGAGTCCAGAGTAGTCCAGAGTCCAGGCGCTGGATCAACAAGTTACAAAAGGTCTCACATATCACCGGCCCGAAAGTTCATAGTTGCCGTGACTCGAGGAGCCCCGAGTAGTGGGGGCAGAGCACTTGTCGAGCACTATAGCCCACTCTTGTTGGGCACCCGCCCGCTGTTATTCGATAGCATCAACAAGCCGGTGAGGTTGCCGGTCATCGAGTTTTTGTGATTGACGGTGGAGGCTGCGGGGTGTGTTTCTTGAGCAAGCATGAACGTAGCTCCGACGACCTGCAGTGGAGCAAATCGACTCTAGCGCCCAGCAACCGAAGCCGAGCCCAACTGCCACTGTGACGAGGCTAGCAATATACAATTACTACACACAATTACCTTATCCGTAACGGACAAGCTTGATACTGCTCACTATCCTATTGGCAGCTCTTGTGCGTGGTGCTTCGTATCACAGTTACACAAGACATTCCTCCTTGACGCCGTAGTGAGATTGAGCCGCACCTGGCTGCGCGTTACTCGACCCAGCCACTCCAGAGACAATCTCTCAAGGGGCCTCCCAAGCTCTAGACTATTGTAGGGATCTAAGATCTCAACTCACAAACGGGGTCTCATTCAGACAATATCCCCTTGTTCCCACCGCCCACCATGTCGCCCCTCGAGTCACTGCAGCTTGAGCACCTACCTCCCAGCCACGGCGTCCACATAGCTCTCTACCGCAACGTCAAGAACGCTTCGTTTTTACACCAACAGCTGCTTGCGGGGAACACAAGCTTTGAGTACGCTCTTGTTGACGCCAGCGTTGTACGTGCCCCTGTCCCCACTCCTCCTCCCTCCAAATTGCAAAGTCTTCACCTCACGTGATGCGGAGAAAATATCACCTAACTGAGTTGGCAACCAACAGATCCTTTCAAAAGTCCACATATTAGCAGCCGTGTATCGGGCTGTCAACGACTTGCTATATAATAGATTAAAGACGAGGAATGTGCATTCAGAAATTGTCTTCTCGCTCAGTGCAAATAACAATGTACGTGCTGCTCGTTGCCCCTAGTCTCGCTTCAGCCCCCTTTTCTCTTAGGGCCCCTTTAATTGACGTTTTCCATTACTCATTTACTATTGATTCACATTTTCTACTCAACCAGATTGCAGAATCCTTCCGCCGCTTTGGAATAGCACCAGCAACTACGTCCCTCATCGTCATAAAAGTCAGCACCCCTTCCTCGCCTCTAACTGCTTCAGAAATCCAAGCCCACCTCGACACCTCGATCGAGGGAGAAGCAATTCCACTTTCCGATGAAGCACTAAGTGGGATGACGGACGTGGCACGGGTGAAGAAGATTTATAAGTTGAATTCTGGAGGTAATGCCGGTGGGAAGAAGAGGGCTGTGAATGGTGATTTAGGAGTGGCGGGTGAAAAGGAAGGAGATGAGAGGAAAGAGTTAGAGGTTGCTATTTTGGGTGCTATGGCGTTAAGGGGCATGACAAATTAATTGGCGTTTATAAACAAAGAATTCACCATGTTTAACAATTGGGAAACTAAGCGCGAGGTGAACAATATCACAGCATTAAAAAGGGTATCTAGTTCAACCTAGGAAACAAGGAGGATCGATTGTGTTTAGACTTGCAAGCTCGGTGACTTTTGCGTGACCTTGACTCCTAGTCATGAATTATTAGCAACACAACGTGGAACAGTAAAACAGCAAGGCCATCCTACCCGTGTGCAAATTGCCCTTAGCAGAGCCAAATCAAAGAGCATTGTTGGTCCTATGATACTCCGCGAATTCCAACATACTGTATTGATATAGAGGAAGTCGAAAGGAAAAATTAAAGAGCTGCGAGCCGCCGAACCGAGTATCCGCCGGAAATAAATAATTTTCTTCTGTTAGTTGCTGCTATGAATAAGAACTGGTCGTCTTTCTGAACGAGAACTTGGGGTTCTGCTCTGCTGTGCTGCACCTTTCTTAAGCTCTGGGGAACCACTAAAGTGAGGGGCTACTTGAACCAAATATAGGCACCATTTCCAGGTCGGCTAGGATGCGTCCGGTTCACCAGTCTGTCTCCTCTAAGTCCCAGGGCAGATCATCGTCGTCGATCTCGCCACATAAGAAACTGTCAGATAACATGTCTTCACCCGCCTTCCGAAGGCGAAAAGGCGATAACTTTAGGTTATTTTCAAGTAAGTCGTTGAGTAGCATTTTTATCTCTGCTGCATCCCGAGCAAAACGCACCTCGTCGGAAAGTTTCCTGTAATACATAGGCAAATTTATCATTTGATGCTGGTCGATACTGCTGCGAGCAATTCTCTCCAACTCATCGTGGCTGATTTCCCAACTGGACAACATTGAATAAACAGGAATAATCACCTCCTGTACATCAGCGATCTTAGCACATATCTCGTTATATGCGTTGTGAGCGATCTTCCAGAGCTTTCGATCTTCCAGCTCAAGATACCGAGGGTTCTGCCAGGGACCGAGAAGATACACAAGACATTCTCTGAATAACGGTGCATGTCGCAACTTGTCGGCTAAAACAAATGCATCCACACAGTGCCACTCGATTTCGACTCCCAAGGAAGGGTTTCTTTCGAACGACTCATCAAGAGTGCGGCTCAAGATCGGAAGCGCTCGATAATAGTCCGCCAAACCAACGAGAGTCACGAGCTCAGCGTATGTAAGATAGTATGGCTCGCCATGAATCGCGCAGAGGAGCATGTTAAACACGGTCTGCTGATGTTTCCAGTCGCCTTCGAATTCATTGTAATCAGACCGTTCCTATTCATAGTAAGCATCCCGTTTGACTCCTTTTGAAAATGCAATTGTATGGGGATGCGGGGACTCTTGGTTGATGGCAACTTGAAGCCATCCACCCAGAGCAGTTTCATAGACCCATCATTCTAATTATACCGTAGCTCTCAAATAGATAAGATAGAAACAAGTAAAAGCTTACATCCAATGCCCACTCGGCTGTGGCCAAATGCCAGGAGCTCTTATCTTCATCAATTTGCGTAACCCAGTCATACTTGAATTTGGCTGACTGGGATTGTGCTGCGGATTCTGGAGTGGCAAGAGCCGCTTTCTCTCGTGCAACTTTGTCTGGGGAGTCTAGAAAAGTCCGAAAGAAAGCCGAATGAGCTCTCATGGAGGCAGAATCGACGTGGAATTCAATGTCGAACACGGTCACGCGCATGTCTGGTTGGAGCTCGTGTGAGATGACAATCACTTGGGGCAACGCAGGTGTTTTATGCGTTGTCTTCTGTCGCTTGTTTGCTGGCCACTCTCCTGGTCTTGTGGTACCGTGGTTTGCCATTTTGTAGATCGATCCTGCTTCAGGGTGGAAGCGCACGGTAGGGTGGTGAAGTTGAGCTTGGCCTTTAGAGCTGTTGAACCTTTCGGAGCCTTATGTAGTGCTCCAGAGATCGAGAGACCCAAAGGGTCGGTGGAAAACCAGTGGAGATAGAGTGTTTTAGAAAGGAGGCTTGGTTCGAAAATATGAATGTATCTGAATCGATCCAAGAGAAAGGTTTGAGGTCTTGTGTTGTTTACACGCTAATGTTTCGCTTAAAAGGGGGCAGATTCATACCGCCTACAAAATACTTTAACGCTGTTTATCACTTGTAGGTAAGGTATGCAAGGTAGGTAAGGAGATGCTTGTGCTTGGCTAAGGGGCCTTTTGACTGTTCTTTCCACGGCCGGTTGGGATGGGCACCAGGGTGTTCGGAGTAGGTGATGCCTTTTGTTGTCCCAAGGACGTGTATGTTGAAGCTAGTGAGTCGGTGATTCAGGGCTACAAGTGTAGTATAAGTGTTGGGCTTAAGAACCAGACAAAAGAAAGTATTTCTGTTAGTGGTTAGATATACGTAGTGAAAAGTAGAGAGCCTCCAAACGCCGTTAACCCTAAGTTATCTATATAAAGGAAATAAATGTTCATACGACTCGCTCAGCGAGTACATATCTTGGAGTAAAACTCCATGACTCTAAGGAATACTGCGAATTCTGCGGGTGTCGCTATAAGGTCATATCATCTAACTGTCTTTCGGAAGCGTACAGTACCATGTTATTGGGTGTTTTCCTTCTGCCACAGTAGCGGGTGGGTTTGGTGTATTCATGGTTGAATTTCGGGTGGTGCCAGGAGAGGCCCCAATTACCTAGGTAGGGTAGGCAATCCATATCCAGCACCGCTTTACGCAAGATGTGGGTTTGTTTTCTCTTCCCCAAAATCCAGAGCTGCTTACCTTGGTCGTCCACCCCCACTACCTCAAATATTAGTCACAATATCCTGGCAAAAGTCGACCAAAGCTAACTCTGTCAAAGACAATTTGCTGCCTAGTTCCACGAAGGTAGTTGTTGTTTTTTGTATTCGTTGGCATTGCACCAGACATTCGCCCCACAGCCTTAGACGTTGAGTGTCACGTCCACTCAACAGTGCTAAAATTATTCTCGTGCCTCTTAACATTCTTAAATTCCAAATATAAGACTTTGCCCCCTGGCCCTCGCCTTTCTCAATTCGAATAGAAATGGGCCATGAATGTCCACAATAATAGAATGGGTTGGCATTTAGCACGTGCTGGTGTTAAGGTACCTGAAACTGTGATCAAAACGACTGGTGCGCATATCTGTACAAATTTCTTACTGTATTTGAAACATTGGAGGCCTTGCATTTTCAGTTTGTGAAATATAGTCACTCTTGGGGATAAGGTGGTTGCAAGGAAGATGTATTTATGTCCTAATTCATCGTTTATCAAAACCATGCTTCCCATATGGCATCCGTTGATGCGTCCCTCGAGCATTGAAATAGAAATGACAACCCTTACCCTCGAAGTCTCGAAACCGATATAAATCAGAATATTCAGAACCCACGTAATTTAATTTGCTTGACTCTGTTGAAATTGCAAGTACTGCTCAGCCCATGGGTCCCGACCCCCTCAAAGAAAATTCAGGTAATAATTTCACCCGACTGCGTGTCTTTAAAATCGCTGTACCCGGTTCCGAAAATTAAGACAGCTTCTATGTCCAATTAGCTATGAATAAGAATACTTTTGACTACTCTTACCCTTATTACCAATCCTTTTTCGATCGATCCCAGGGGATATTTTTAACCTCAGCGCAGAGAAAGAAGTCCTCGTATATTCCCTCTCCGGCTTCCAAGCGTGATCGGTCTAATTCGAGGCGATTTTCAAGAATAGGGGCTAAGATCTGGCTGACAGTGATCTCAATGCCCTGAGTATCATATTGCAACTGAGAAAGTTCTCGGAAGTAGAGCGGCTGCAAGACCTTGCCGTCCACGTTACGGCACTTAGCTGATATCTTTGCAAACTGCGCTGCAAGGCCGCCATATCTCTTCTGGTCAGAATGAAGTTGAATAATATTCGAGTGAACAATGAGGAGCTTATGCTTGATCTTGGTATCTGCAATCGTAGCCATATCCTTAAGCTTTTGGTCTGCAAGCTGTCGCCACTGTGGCTTTGTCCATGGCCCAAGAACATGAATAAAGCATTCTTTAAAGAGAGCCTCATGGCGGAGCTTATACGCAACCTCGAGCATACAACAAGCTGTGTTTGGGATGTCCTTGACGAGTCCAGGGTTGTTGAACAATGCCGTGGAAAGTGAATTTGATAGGGCTTGAAGGCAGATGTAGTAGTCCGCAATTTCGGTCATTTTTGTAAGCTGAGTTGCGTCTTTGATGCTGTATGGGTGGCCGAAAATGGCACATATGACATTGTAAAACGCAGATTCCTCCTCCAGTCTGCCGCCTTTGAAGCCGGAAAGGTCTACATCGCGAAGCTGGAAGCAAAGATTAGAGAAATAAATGGACACAATGGACTACCGAAGTACTTACCTCTGATTGGGCGGAAAGGCACCAATCTTTATCACCATCATCAATTTTAGTGTACCACTCATATTTGAAAGGTGAAGATGCTGGTGGTACAACCACAACACCGTTATCGGGATCCATAAACTTATGGAAGAATTTAGAGTTTATCTTGAGGACCACGGAATGGACATGAAATTCGAGACCGAACACCTTTAAAAGTGTGTCAGGTTTCATTCCATGTCTTGTGAACACGATGGGCATTTGGGCGGTCATCTTCAGCTTTTTCGCAGGTGGTGCTGCCATGGAGCCTCCTAGTAATGCAGGCTTTGGAATTGGTGGAGGATGTTTCGGGCTTATTAAAGGTGAAGAGACTAATCGAATCGGGCGAGTAAAGTGGGTGGTTGCGGGTTGAAGTTTGAAGTAGAGAAGTGGCCGGAAACGGGAACCTCTTGGAAGAGCTCGAAAGCCAAACTCGAACGCGAGGAAGACAATATTAGTGCAATGATCGATTGTTAAATATTGAATTGACGCCTGAGTGAAGGAGTGGGGGTTTTCTATTGGAGTTCCTTGGTTGGGTTGAACGGCTCTCAATGAGAAGATGAAACCAGAGGGAATCAAACAATACGGCAAGGAAGAAACTTCTTGGTTGTCAAGAGCTGACAGGAAGCCTAAGGCAAAGATAGTATTGTTGAGCTCCTAGTTGTGACTTGTTGGATAATCGTTGATCTGTCGGATGAGTGGTACTAAAGGAGTTGAAGGTAAACACGACTCAGGTGGGGTCCTGTAGGGAAGCCAGAGGTGAAGATAACTCAAGGCAAGCTGACTTCGGTTACTTAAACACTTGGTGGGGAAGCTGAGTGGTAGAAAGGGGCCGAAGATGGCAAGTGGGAGTGGGTTGTGCCCTGGAGGGAGATTTTCATTATTGTGATGGGCGGGTTTAAGTCGGACGACCTGCTAGGGAGCTCCTCTCCGTAATAGAATTGGAAGTTTAACCGGGGACGCGTAATACGTAGTTGGTTAGACGTTATAAAATAGTAGTGGGGAGGAAGAGAGCTACAGCACATTGATACGGCCTTCTTGGAGTTAAGTTCGCTCCTAAGGATTGCAAAGAAACGGAAGCAATGAACAGTGGTAAGAGAAGACACAATAGGATAGAGGAGAGCCATTTAATAGTAGAGTGTGGCATATATCCGGCCGCTCGTAGAAGGAGGCTCGGACCCTCCACAGAACCACAGCCCTTCTAGCTGGTGACTATGTGAGTAACAGTGAGTTGTATGTCGACAGGCATGTGGGCGACCCTTTGGCTTAAACAACACATAAAAAAGAATTCTTCGTCGCCTATAACCCGTATTAATAAGGTTCCTGAATTCTAGATTTAGCCACTCGAGTTGATGTTCTTTGACTCCTGAACTGGTTCCTTTGGGACTTGTTCATGGGGCCGAACTGGCCTATTCGCTGGGTTCTAACTTCTAAGTATCGGCGGAAGCTGCTATATAAACAGCGTAATGCAACAAGGTAGTATGCAATAGAGAAGGATCAGTCCAAAAACACAGGATTAACAGTAGGCAATATTATATACAGTTCAAAGTTGCAACCAGTACTCTATGTGTACGATGCACTTGATTAGGCAGCGGCTGCTCCAAATATTCAAGCTAGAGTGTGGCCAAAACCAAGGTTATTAAAAATAGAATGTTCTGTGAATTATAACACTCTCCGGTGAAGTAGGTCTGAAAATTTAGGGGAACTGGCGACGTGGATGAGTGAGAGAGAAAAGTTGGCTTGGAGGAGATGTCGCCTCGGCCTTTCAGGGGCTGACGCAGCACTGGTTTAGCACACGATTACATAATTTTAGTTCCTAAACTGGTGAACCACCAGGACTACATTCAACATCTACATCCAACATCTACATCCAAAAGCCTAACTTACAAGTCACGACTGAGGTTCTGGATAATAATGCCAGAAGAGGATATGACGCAGATGCCTCGAATTATTAATCTCGAAACATATTGATCGATACCGCTGCCTAAAAATACATACATCCATAGAGAAACGCTATGGACAAACCCGCCAGTCGCGAGCCACCTGACCAGCAGTTCGAAATGGCAGGATTAACTCCGCATAGCCTAACACATGGCCATATCTGACACCCTAATCATTATAAACAACAATCGAAATCAGCAGTTGACTTAAAGAACCGGCAGTTGCGCCGCCTTCCCAGCAGCTATAACCCCTTCACGATACCTCGTCAGTTGCCTCCAGATACCGCGAATCATGAAAGAATCCATTTCAGTATCCATTTCCACAGCTTTGTATTGAACCTTTGCCGCGGATGGATGTACAAATCGCGAATCAATTCCGAGGGTTGGCGAAGAAGAAAAGTTACATGAAGATCAATAGCTTATAATGGCAGTCTTTAGCTCCAAAGGGGCAACACTGGGATCCTTTGAGAAGGTCGTCATCAATCCCTCCCAGGTTACAGCCGATTGACCCTCCGGTATGCTAAACCCCCTGCTCCTCTTATCCAAAGCATACTTGACGCTGATCGCAGAGTTCACATCGCTGAAGACTATCGTCGCATTACCGCCATTGTACAGCCAGATCAGTTGAATATTTTCCTTGGGGACCAGCTTTTCGCACAGATTTCTCATCTGTCTCTCTCCAAACATGAAGAAGAATTTAGACTTGACGATGGTGAGGCGGCGGCTAGCATAGCTTGGCGATCCCATTGCCCTGATAGTTTCATCGATAGGAAAGGCTTCGCCACGGATGGACTCAACGACGAACTTGAACCGGCCTGGCTTACTGTCGGCCCGCTCCTTGCAGAGAACTTGATGGAACATCTCAGCTTCTGTTGCGTACTGAAAAACAAGACCAGCAAATCGCGTTCCCTTATCAGCGTCTATACCGAAGTTGATGCTTCTCAGAGATCCTTCTTTCACAGCATCCGAGACATCCTGAAGATTGAGATTGTTAGGAAGATCGACAAGGAAAACAACTCGCATCTGATCGATCATCGGTTCGGTTTCCTCCAAGCGGCGGTGGATTGCGTAGTCCGGTGTGGAGCGACTCTCCTGCCTAAGGCGAGCTCTATCTTCGGGATGGAGGTTGATCACCTTGGAAACTGGGGGCGCGGTTCCAGCTATTCTTGCCCAAGTTTCTGCCATGGTAACAAACTTTTTAGGCGCTTTGGTGATCACTATATCAGGTGTCCTAGTCACCGGTACTTCTTGAACGGCAACTGAAGGCTCGGGCTGGGAGGCTGCTTCTTCCTCCGCCTCTAGAGGTTGTTGGTATTTCGGCAGGGTTGGCGATGAATAGCGGCGGACTGTTTGCGTATCTGGAAATTCCAGCAATGGGTCACCATTAATGGCTCGATCCACGTTGGTTCTGGGATCTAGAACAAAGTGCCGAGTTCCACCCATGGCTTGACAAATCCCCAGAGTGAAGGTGGGAATATTTCCATCGCCGTCTTTGGGCTCAACGATCAGGCCCTGGACACTCCTGATAATTCTGTTGATATCTTGTGCATTGGCCATTATAACCCAGCGAAATGAGAACCCAGATACCATATCAACCACGGTAACGCACTTGTCGACCTTGCCATATGTCAAAAAGAATGCCCTGACCTCTCCGGGAGTTGTTCTGGGAGGGAATCCCTTAACATAGAGTGCGCGGCCTTCCTGCTGCTCTAGATAATACTCTGCCGGGAGGGCTGGGATTACCCTATCTCCAGGCAGACCACCCCAGCTAAACCAGGCTTCTTCATAGCCTTCATCAAACCCTGGAGGGACTCCCATAATGGTCGGGGCCCATCTCAAAGTCGGATCCGCCATCGCAATCTCCGTAAATTGCCCTATGATAAAGCAATGCCGTCTGCGGGGTGGAGTGCTAGTATGGTTCGAAGGATGTTGTCCGGGTGCTTGCTGAGGAGGTGCGAGAGAGTCGTATTCGAGGGCTACGATAGACTATTGCTGGAGTCAGCAACAGAGTAGGCTTGAGTCTGCAAGTGTTTCAATCACTCACAGTTGTATGTCGAAAATTCGAAAATCCGATTGTGAGAGGTAGGTAGCTTTTGTCCAGTCAAAGGCTGATGGTTTTTCGTATCTCGAGTAAGATCGATCCAGTTGGAGGAAAGCTGAAGGTTGCTCAAGTCGTCACCGCGATACTTTATTTTAGTTCGCGCACCCTTTCGTATATTAGCTCCCAGCATTTCCTATCCTACTACTCCTGCTAGTGCAACTTTCTGGACTCAGGTGCTCCAACTAGTATGAGAGATAGGTTGGCTTTTGGGGAGATTATGAAGTCAGTTGTTATTGTTAAGTCTTGTTTTCTTAGCTGACCGTGAATGTCAACAACGCGACTTCAAAACAACCATGAAGTCGGTCATCATAGGCAATATAAAGGCGGCGTGGTTGGGATTCACGGCAGGGTGCTGTAGGCAATCCTTTCGTGGACTCCTACTAACACGAACTGCGCGGCATTACCGTTGTATAAAGCTAGCTTGTGCAAAACGGCACGCTGAACTACAATAAGTTTTGGAGACTTCATCGATTTATTCACTCTGCTTTTCTGGTTTATCAAATTTGCTACTTCATGCAATTATGTCAAAATTATGGTCCACAGATACGCATGTCGGTCGATATCGGAAACGACGGTTGCACCACTGAGGTAGAGGTCGAGATCGAGGAGTTCGTAGAGAGATCGTTCAAGGCTTGTGGAAGCGGCCGAATGGAACCTGCTCGTTTCAAGTCGAAGACTCTGAGAGTTGACAACCGACTCTTTTCAGAGCCATCCTCATATCCGGTTCCAATTGCTCATCTGCCCCATCGTCGGCTTCTATGGGCCGAACGAGCTTCTCCGGTCTAAAAATCACATAGCCCCCATGAGAGGGGCGGCACCCGGGTAACCAGGCCAGGACTCAGTAGCAGAAGGTAGAGCTACAGTAACATATATCCTGTTGGTTGGTCAAAGATAGCAGGTTGCCTCGATGTCGTCAAATTATGAATCATTAAGAGGCGATCGCAAGCGGGCTATACTCAGACCGTGAAAAAAAAAAATACAATTTCAGCCCAGTCACTTTACCGTGGAGCTCTCCAGAAATGGCTTTCGGCACATACACAAAGATTGTCGATATTCGGACTGATATAGATCTAGCTTTCCTACTTTCCGTCGTGCTTGGCCGTAAATGTTTTGTAGAGTCCGTAGTCCCTCATCTCGAGATTAAAGCCAGAAGGTTGGAGTTTGAGTAAAAGTTCGGGCTTCCCTTGTGGGCATGAACGCTTGGTGGAGTCTATCGATAATTTTCATAAGCTGGTAACTCGAGTATTTATCTGATCAAACCTCTAATGCCATATCTACTTCCCAATGCTCTCCAAGCGCTGTCGGTGGTGGGGTTTCACGGGATTTGATTCTATCCTCTCTTTCTCTTTCAAGAAGGGGGTACCTGGGGTCAGCAGTGTCAGGGGCAACGGGCACCAACCTCAGCAACAGCAGCAGCAAAGTACGACATTCAAGAAAATAGACACGCTCAATCTCAGTAATAAAGCCCTGAAAAAAGAACTCCCATTGAAATGCCTCAAAAAGTTCTGAGTAGCTATACAAATATACTCAAAAACGCAACCAGCCTATCTATTTATGTGACGGCGGACCGCCCTGGGCGCCCTTCTCATGCTCCGCTTCAACTAAACTTTCGTCATCATCATCCTCCTCATCGTCACCAATGACGTGCTTTCCCCCCTCGCTACTTCCTTCCCTTGCACTACTATCTTCTTCATCATCGTACAGCATCTTCTCCCTCTCATCACCGCCCTCGTCGAACTCCTCGTCGCTCTCATCGTCGCTCCCGGCTGCGAATGCATCATATAATTCGCCCGCTCTCCGCTTTCCTTTACCTCTTGCGCCGCCGCCGTTGAGGCCCTCGGCCTCCTCATCTTCCAGGATATCGAATTCCCATTCATCGCGGGGATTGTTGCGGAGGCGCTTGCGACGCGCCAGGAAGAAGTATACGCCTAGTCCGCAGCAGAATACGAGGATTAGGCCGGCGGCGCCGTAGATCCAGATTTGGGTCTTGGGACCGGCGCCGAAGGTGGGGAAGAATGATGGGAGCCAGCTGGAAGAAGTGGATGTTGCTGCTGCGCTGGTGCCAGTCGGACTAGCGACTTCTTCCTGGGCGCCGGAAGGCTTGGGACGGGTAGGACGGTCCGGATGATCTGTGGGGTTTGCCGCTGGAGGTGATGTAGGGCCAACTGCGACGGGTGTAGTAGCAATTGCAACTGCTGTAGTGGTGCTTGTCTTATTGTGATCGTCGTCGTCATTTTCCTCTGGCATAGGGAGTATAGTGGCTTTAGAGGCGTCAATGGACTCGCCCCACAATTTCAGGTGCCAGTCGATAAAGGTGCCATTGAATTCGTTCTCTATGGCATCCTTGACAATGATGGTCCAAGTACCGATGCCAGATTCGCCCCTGGTGCATGTTAGTGGGAGATGTTATTAGTGAAGTGGAACACATACCAATGGACTACGGACATGAAAGTCCAGTTTTCATAGCCGGATTCAGTTGAGTCTCTGTTGCGGCTATTAGAAAGATGGCTTATTACCTTGTCAGGGCTGACAAGATCAACACTGATATCGCCTCTCCTGGTGTGCTCGACATTCATTGTGATGGTTACATGCTCAAGTCGTGCAACGTTGGCATCTTTCAGCATGCCGGGGGTTACTTCGAAAGAGACCGCCAAACCTTCCTCTCCTTCTGGGATAGCCTGATTGACATGGATCCAAGGTGAGTAGTACCAGGCTTGAGGCTTTACATTCTTGAAGGTCTTGGCCGCTTCAATGGTCGCATATGTGTCAATTTTTCCGTATCCATAAGTGTGACTGAATTTCTTTCCAATGGTTGTGGTCTGCCATCCGCCAGTATCAAGATCGATTGGCAATGCTGTCTCCATAACCAGGTACTGCATATCTCGCCAGGACAGGTCAGGGCGAACCTGTAGCACCAAAGCAAAGATGCCTGCTGCGAGCGGTGCGGCTGCAGAAGTACCGCCGTGCCCAGAATAGCATTGATTCGGGCCAACGTCAGTGGTGTGCTAGATCCTAGTCAGCAAATGTCTGATATTATACGATTCCGAAGACTTACGATTGCGTCCCCGCTTCCGCTACTGTACGTTACCACCAGTTGAGCCGAGCATTGCTCGGAATAATAGGGGTGCAGTCCTTTTCGATCAATAGCTCCGACTGTGACGCTATAAATACTGTTCGTGTAACCGTCGAAGTTGCAGTTGTCCTGGTAGGCAGCACCATTTCCAGATGCAAAGACGTATATCGAGCCCAGCTTGCCTCTGCCATTTTGCACGCCATTCAGCATGGCCCTTTTGATTAGGATCCCAGGTGCCTCCATAGACACTCCATCGTCCGGTGGTCCCCATGAACACGAGTATATCTGATTGTGCTGATATGCGTAATTCATGGCAATGGCTTCGTCCGCATCTGAGATCAGCTTCGACAGAATTCGGATTCCAGCAATCTTCGAATCCCATGCTACTCCAACGCCACAAACATTATTCTTGACCGCAGATACTTCTCCCGCACAACGTGTCCCATGTTTATCATCGTCTAGTTTCGGTCTGGGCTCGACGGAGTGATCGTTAAAATCATAAGATCCTTCGGCAAAATAATTATCCTTCAAATCCTCGCTGTACATATCCAGACCGTCATCGACTATCGCAACAGTGGCGTTGTGCCCCGTAATACCCTGGAGCCACACATCGGTAACATTGACGTCGTGGCCAACCTGGACTGGGTTAAAAAGATGCCATTGCTCGTTGAAAATCGGGTCCTTTATTCCTAATTTCTTTGCAACCGCGGCTTGTTTGGCAAGGGCGGCTGCGGCGGGGGAATCCACCTGGCGCGCTACGGGAGAGGCATATCCTGCGGGAGGCGGGGGGATGATGCCTCTCTTCTCCAACCGGGGCTTTAACTGTTGTTTCTGGGCGAGCTTGACACCATCCAGCACATCGTATCCGCCGATCGTTCGCTTCCGCCGTTTCCTCTCCTTCAAGGCAGTATGTACCACATCCTCCTGCTGCTTGTGAGATGAGAATATGTGGTGGTCGGCTAACTCTCCAAGCGGCCCTTCATGTGTCAGGCCTAATTTGATTGCTATCTGCGACGGGGGGGTATCGGAGTCGAGGTGAAGGACGTAGTAATCTTCTGCATCGTAGTCTCGAGGGCGCAGATGGGAGTTTGAGGCAGTCGCAAGATACCCCAGACCAAGCAGGCCCAGAAGAGAGTGTAGTCTCATTTATTGGGTTGGGCGTGGACCTCCTGAGGCGGATTCGCGAAAAGGAGTGCCTTTGACGGCTTCGAACCTCGTCCGCCTCTCTATGTTATAGCAAAGAATTTAAGAATCAACGCTCGCGCATTGATGGGTGGGTGTTCGAATGGCCGACTTTGATCCCCCGGAAGCGGTCAAGGGAGAAGGTTGCCCTTTGAATGAATGGGTGGCGTGGTATTATGATCGCAGAGGCGGCATTGTCTATTTGGCGAGGAAGGATGCGGATAAGAATAAGGGCGCGAGAGCCACAGGAAGACCGCAAGGGAGAGACAAAGTGTATTCTGTTAGGGGAAAGGGCTGAAGAGTGGTGGCTATAGAAGTGGTTATGGTTGTGGTTGTATGTAGATGATTGTATGGTTGTGTAATTGTAGTAGTTGTGGTAGTCGTAGTTGTAGTTGGAGTTGGAGTTGGAGTTGGAGTTGGAGTTGGAGTTGGAGTTGGAGTTGGAGTTGGAGTTGGAGTTGGAGTTGGAGTTGGAGTTGAACGTTAACGGCCCCGGAGCTTATGTGGCCTTGCGAGTTTCGCCCAAGGACAAAGCCCGAGACAGGCCAAGGGCCGCTACAACCACTAGGATGACGCGCTTGCGCACTCGTAAGCCCTTCTCGAGGCTCGACTTGCCTTGTGTGGCTAAAGGATGTGTCTGGGAGAACGTCGATGCATAGCGCGAACGACAGTAGTGAAGGGGCAGTTGGCTATCCAGTACATAGCGCTATGTAGGGTAGCTTGGATACATGTACCTTCTACATATCACCAAGAACCTGCTGATTTTCGGAAGTGATCGGGCGGGTTTGCCACCAAACGTGGAGAACTTACTTAATAAGGGGTGCTGGTATTAGACAGGACAGTTTTCTATTCGCAGAGGATGTCTACTAAAACTCTCTACGTATTGTACTGCATACTTCTACGTGCTTCATACCCCGTAGTCTTATTATCCACGAGACAGAACGAAACCGCCGAGGAAGAGGTGCGACGTCACGTGGCGGCATGGTGCACCGGCGCAGAGAATAAGAACCTAGGTGGTTTTGAAAAAATAATGGCTTTGAAGCTATAACTGCTACAGTACCACCTCAATCCTCACCCTTTATCTAGCTCTATATGATGCGCAGTACGAGGTATGTGCTAATTAATGCCTACGGTGCCTACTTCGTACACAACGGTACGATGTATTATATGATACATACCGCTATTATTATATTACTAATATTATTATTATTATTAGCCACCCTTTTACCTTATGGGGCGTGGCTCGGGGCGAGCCACGCCACGCTACAGGCCCCTGGAGCTCCGTCGAAGGCTGCGGCGCCGTGAAATCGCCAGCCACGGAATTATATCATTGGCGAAACCTCGTCACTCAAGAGCCTGGTTGGGCATTGGCCCATACCCAACCTCCCTCTGTGCTTCTGTCTTTGCCTCGTGAACTCGTCCGCGTATTATCTATCTGCAGGTCCCGCAGCTTTTGAAATTCCAACTTGCGCTCCTCTGCATATGCTAGCAATTGCCAGCTTGTGCGCTAATCATGCAACTGCAGCTGCAACTACAACTGCCAATGCTCGTGGTGACTGGCCGCTCTGCTTGAAGCCCACTGCTCGATTCAACCTCCATGATCAGTGACGTCCGACTTGCGCAATTGAATCGCCTCTGCCTGAACCGGAACGGAACTCGAAGTCCTGTTGCAGGTGGTTTTGGACGCTTTCCGATCATTGCCCTTCTCTTTTGAGGTGTTGATCGAATCCCCGAACTCCCACACCGTATCCACAAACGCTCTCCTCGTCCCACTCCAAAAACGTCAGTCATGGCAACAGCTCCATATTGGGGGCAGCTGCCTCCGCCAAAGATAGCCCGGGGCAACTCGCTCAGGCGCGAGCAGGAGCAAGAGAATCTGCGAGACAGTACTCACCTGTCTATCGACTCTGGCGCAAGAGGAAACCGACTGTCAAGTCAGTCCCAGTCGCGGCGCCGGTCAGATCGAAACTCCACACAGACCGAAGCCCCAACGGTCTCCACACAGAGTCCCTTCGCATCACCAACAGATTCCACCTTCCCCGGGGGTGGATTGGCGCCTCGGCCCCCTTCCTTTCCTTATGGCGCATCCGGTCCTTCATACAACGAGGAGTACTTGGAAAAGAGACGACGAAGACAGAGTAGGGATAGGGACCAGGCATATCAAGAGCCAGAGGCCGCGGAACCCCCACCTGCGGCCCCCGACGCCCCTCGCCCTCCGCCGCCTGTCAGCTATAAACAACCACATGGCCTTGGAGCATCCTCATCGAGCTACCAACCGCCCGCACATTCAAGGTCTACTCGGAGATCCGAAGGGCCTGTCAGCTCTAGTCAAGGGGTGGCAGACGAATATTACCGCTCGAATCCAAGAAGAGAATATCCTGCCGCGGAAGCCCTCAATTCCAAGAGGGGAAGTATAGATAAGGGCAAAGCACCGGTGCGGCCTAATGACAAAGAATGGGACAGCGAAATGCCAGAAAAGCTGGATGTTTCTCGCCGCCAGAGGAGGCAAGGCTCGGGATCAGAAGCACCGTCGCAACGACGGAGAGAGTGGGCACCCGACCGGTCACCTCTTCAGCGGTTGGAACTGACGCTTGATAGCATCACCAAGGAGGAGAAGAGAGCCCGAGTCGAGGAGGCCGAGCTCCTCGCAAGGGAAGCGAAACGTGGGCGCGGCGGCGAGAAGGCAAAGCAGAATTCAGTCCGCTTTCGGAACCGACCAGTTGCAAAGGGGGAGACGAGTACAGAACCAGACCCTCAAACTTCAGCAGATCGCGGATTATCACGAAACCTAAGTGGGAAGCTAAGGAAGCCACAACCACGGAGCGAGACTACTGAACCATCCACATCTGCTGCTCCACCTACTGAACGGCCTACTAACGTCTTCGATTATCAAATGCAGCCAGAGCATCCTGGGGACGTCCAAAAAGAAGTCAAGTCCGGAGTACCTCGTCGAGGACAAAGCGTTCGCGATCGATCTTATATTCCCGTTGCAGTAGGTACCGCTGCGGCTGGAGGAGCTGCTAAACTTGGCCGTAGTGCAAGTAACAAGCTCAAAAAGGAGCCACCGGGAGACCCATGGCTACATCTCCGCGTCGAAGCCGAGAACCTATCCCAGACTGTCCCACCACGAAGACAATCAGTTCCTAATCAACAGACAAGAGGTCCCTCAGATGATGCGGCACTTCGAAGCCAACCCCAGTCATCCAGAGACAAAGAACTTCCGGTGCTGCCTCCCGAATCTCAGCAGACTTCGAACCGAAGTGTCAACAAGCCTGACTCCCCTTCTTCAGAAGACGTCGATGTTAAGCCTGTACGTCGAGGAACTTTGACCAAGCTCCAACGGCTGACCGGCGAGAACATTGTCCCTCAATCCTCAAGATCTATTCAGCCTAGAAAGGAACAAGCAACCGAGGTTGTAAAGGTCAACGGAACTAAATATCAGATTCCTCCAACGGTGTCGGATGACATCACTCGCAATAGTCCCCATCATGAACCTCTAGGCCCCATTGGTAATCCTCCCGATGCCCTAGGTTCGAAGCAGCAAAGTCACCCAGGAGAAGGTGTCTACGTGCCTTCGAGGCGTCTAGATGAATGGAAGAAAGGGGGCATAGCGCAGCTATCGGGCTCCTTACTCGACCTTGCCGACGACGAGCAGGTGGAGCTTGAGAAGGACAAAACTTGGTGGGAAGCAGGCAATACTGGGAAGCGTCGCCGAAGCACAGCAAATCAACGCAAGGCAGAAGCCTACGATGGAGAGTATGATGAAACAAATGGTACTGTAACTCAAATTTCCCTTTCGTGTGTCAATTGTGAGAGGGGTATATCTCATCTTAGAAGTCCTGGACGAACCCGAAATGCCTTGAATCGCGAACACCCTAGCTATTATCAACACCCTAGTTATGGTGGGCAGAGGGTGAAGCGACTTGAAGAAAGAGCGGCAAGAACAAGAACGATGACCCCTCAATCACATCCAAGGACGAATCCTCAAACTTACTCTCAAATCTGTTTCATTTGTTATCTCTTGAATCTTGTCCAAATCTTTCTTTCTCCCATACGATATATTATCTCTCGGAGGTCATGCGCTAACGTTTTGGTCCGTCCTCGTCCCAATATAGCCCCTACCAGATTCAAACCACGTCTCTTCCTCAGAACTGGGCCCATACTGCGATACTGCGGGCTACGTCGAGAAGCAGCGACTGCCCGGCCAGGCCGTGCTACTGCCGGGACTGCCGAGCGAGAAATATGGAAAGGTAGTATCATGATTGTAACGCACGATGATCATTCTTCGTACGAGCTCGCTCCAACTCTGCGCTTGTTTCTTCAGCCAATGGTGCTTCTACCGCCCCCTCCTGCACAAGTTGGTGGTGAGGAGCTTGCTCCGGAATATGTTGATCCCATCGCCGGACTTCCTAAAATAGGCAGAGATGGCAGAACACTCTATGTCCGACCAGTGGAGGACCTCGAAGAGGAAAGAGACCTGTCCAGGGAAGAGTCAGATGGGGGTCTTTTTGAACTGCAGAGAAGCTCCCCTGAGGATGTCATGGAGCGAAAGTTTGCCAAACCACATTATGACGGAGAAAAAGCAGGCAAATACAAGGAGGTAAGGGGGTTCCGGCTGCATGCCGAGCAAGGGGTTACTTTCTGGAGGTTCAACATCGAAATCGAACTTCGAGACAAGCAGCAAAGAATTGCGTACCGCATCAATCGCGGGCCAGCCACAGGGTTCTGGGTCCCTGCTCGCGGCCAGCCTATGAACATCATGTTTCACAGTTGCAACGGCTTTGGCTACGATGTCAACACAGATCCGTTCAACGGGCCAGATCCTATGTGGCGGGATGTGTTGAACAACCATCAGACCCAGCCATTCCATGTCATGCTTGGAGGTGGCGATCAGATCTACAATGATGCACTCGTGGAAGAGAGCACATATTTCAAGGAGTGGACCCTAATCAAAGATTCACATCTCAAGCAAACTGCTCCATTTACGCTCGAGCTTCAGGAGGAGCTCGAGTCATTCTACCTCACTCGGTACTGCACGTGGTTCTCTCAGGGCCTTTTCGGGCTGGCCACGTCTCAAATTCCAATGATCAATGTCTTCGATGACCACGATATATTAGACGGCTACGGCTCCTATCCCGATCACTACATGCGTTCGGCGGTCATGTCTGGGTTAGGGGCAATAGCTTTCAAGTATTATATGCTCTTTCAACATCAAAGCAGCATCGACGAGGGTGAGGAGACGGAGCCGCATTGGATTCTGGGCGAAGCACCAGGGCCTTATATCGGGGAATTGAGCCGCAGCATCTTCACACAGCTTGGCCGAAGTGTCGCGTTCCTTGGTCTCGATTGTCGCACCGAGAGAATGAGTGATGAAATCGTCAGTGCAGAGACCTACCACAAGGTCCTTGATCGGCTGGAAAGGGATGTCATCAAAGGTGAAACCAAGCATCTCATTGTTATGCTCGGTATACCGGTTGCATATCCTAGGATGGTTTGGCTTGAGAATATGTGAGTCTTCCATGCGGTTTTTGATAGAAAAGGCGTGCTAACTCGGCAACAGTATGTCTTCCAGAGCCATGATGCCTATCAAGGCACTTGGTAGGACCGGCCTTCTAGGCAAGAATCTCTTAAACCATTTTGATGGTGGCATTCAGCTCCTAGATGACCTAGACGATCATTGGACAGCAAAACATCACAAAGAAGAGCGTAACTGGCTCATCCAGGAGCTGCAGGACTTGGCCGCGGAGAAATCTGTCCGAGTCACGATCCTTGGGTAATTATTCCCATCTATTTGTATTGCGGCTTTAAGCTAACAGATCCAGTGGCGATGTTCATCTTGGTGCCATTGGGCAGTTCTATTCCAACGCCAAACATGGCATCCCCAAAGACAAAGATCATCGCTATATGCCCAATGTCATTTCCTCGGCAATCGTGAACGCGCCACCACCGGATGCCGTCGCCGATCTATTTAATAAACGCAATAAGGTCCACCACATGGACGCTGACACTGACGAAGATATGATTCCAATCTTCACTCACGACGTTAACGGTAAACCAAGGAACAACAAGTGTCTCCTTAACCGTAGGAACTGGTGCTCAATCCGAGCCTACGACCCCGAGCTATCCCCACCTCCCACTCCCCAAAGAGAAAGAAGCCCCAGCCCCCCACCAGCCTCCAGAGGCGGTCTCTTCCGCCGTCTCTCAACCTCTCGTGGGCCAAGCTATCGCCCTGATGTCTCAGCGCCACATCCACCGCTCTCAAGCGCCAGCTTCTTCGGTCGCCGGCTCTCAACATCACGTCGTGGATCCACGGACTCTGAGCGTCCAAATGTCCTAACCAGGACCTTATCCTTAAATCGCAAAGACTTCACACCGAAGAATATTTTCCGCCGAAATAGCAGGACAAGGAAACCAGATAGTGGTGGCATAAACGGCTATGGTGAAGATAGTACCGATGATGACTCCCTCTACCGCGACGACCAGCCACAAAGAGTGGGCATGAGAGGCGGAAGTGGTGGTCATAGTCACGATGATACTGACTATGATGAGGAGGACGAGAGCTACTTCCCCCACCAACCACGTAATCGTGCACAAGCGCCTCCAGCTCCAACATCGGTCGCAGGATCGATTCCGCAACGACCGATCAGCAAATTCCACCGTACACCTACCGGCCTCTCGCAAAAACAGCGGAAGACAATTGGCGAACACCACGTTAACCTTGAGGGCGGACTTGATATCTGTCTAAATGTTGAAGTTAATCATAAAGACCCCGCGGGCATCACGACGCCGTACCGGTTGCTCGTTCCGGCACTTTGGTATAGGGAGGAAGCTCATCAAGTGTATGAGGAGAAACCAAAGGGTAAAACTGGTATGGGCCTTGGAAGGTGGCCGAGCTTGAGAAGGTAAACGGGGTGGCGGGATGTATTCTTAGTTAAATGACGTTCAGACGGTGTATAGGTAGGTAGGCAGGTAACGGCGATGGAAAACTCTAGTGTGCGGCGAATTATCCATATTTGAAGTGGTACGTTGATATTACATGATGGCTATTCATTGATTAGCAGTTTTATTAGCAAATGAAATAATATAAAGTCAAGTGTGCTCTACTATCGTGGGGAGGTCTTGAGTGATATATACCCACATAGGTGGTTCGTGGGCCGGATGTAAGATATTCTCTACGGCATGGAAGCTAAATCTAGATGTCGACTTCGTAGGTTAATGGTTCCCCATGTGTAAGCAGTTAGGCAGGCAGGTACCTAGCTCTCTCATCAAACACCTCGTTAGTAAAATTCACTCCTCCGCTCTGCGGTAGAAGAAAGGTATATAACAGGCGATTATCACACGCCAATCCTGACATAAAGAAGATATGTTTCTGTTCGGAAAGGTGAACAGGTCTGCTTTATCGACTTCGCTAGGCCACGTGATGTAGTCACGTGCCCTCACAGACAGAGAGACTGTGCTGGAATTAGCTACAGTAGGGTTCGAAATCAGCTTCAGCCGGAACATTTTATTTTTGACCCACATTTTATGTGCACTAACCCTTGTGCTCGCTTGAATCCCTCCATATATCACGTGGACATCTACGAAGGTCGCGGTCATAAGTTTGGAGAATACAGGCCCGACACCCTGTAATGCCCTGTAAGAAGCCTGTAAGGTCTCACCCCCTAAAACGTAAGGCCTTTGCCCCTAAAATTCGCGGCCGTTAGGTCTTTGATTGGCTGGTTAGGCCTATAATCTAAACCCATTGCCCAAGCTCAACCAACCAGAGGCTCTAAGGTGACATTTTCGCCTAGCCAGACAATCAGAGGCCCTGAAGCTTGTGAATTTTAGGGGCAAAGGCCTTACATTTTAGGGGGTGAGACCTTACAGGCTTCTTACAGGGCATTACAGGGTGTCGGGCCTGTATTCTCCAAACTTATGACCGCGACCTCCGTAAGGTTTAGCTGATTGTTGTAATTGGTGTACCGTACTGTACGGCAATCGGTATAATCATGTATAATAATGTAAAGATCATATTGAACAGGTGAAATTGACTGCTGTTCTACAGTGGTAAGTACTCTGTATATATAGGTTCCATATCCTCAAGTGCCAACATGCTGTTCCTGTCACGTTGGGGCTTAACAGAACGTGTTTTCTAACCCCGCCGCTAGGCTGTTTCACCCACCCAAACTGAGCTTAGAGCCGAAACGACGAAGGCAGATCAATCAGTATATATGGGAGGTCGGGTACGACTCGGAGCCCTCCTCTGTATCTTTAGACTCTCCTTAGTAGCTAGCCTATAAGTGATCACAGTCAGTCTGCCACAAGCACTTCCATATGCCTCTGCGTAGCTTGTGATCGCTTGCGCCGTTACAAGGACGAGGTGTTGACAGCAGCTGAGTGTTGATGTTGTTCACCAATCTTCAGCCGCAATGGCTTGAGGGACCCCCGATTGAACGGCGCCGTTTAACGAAATACTATTATAAATAATAGGTTAGGCGGGTTATACAGATAAGTGTAGAATATGTATAACAAGTTGCTTTTATATAATGTTTAACCAAGTATAATCTCTTTCCATTGCGGGCCAGGCGAGAAGCTGTCAAGAATAGCGGTCTTATCAATAAGGCCCAACCCTCTCCTTTCTGCAACAGGCCCATTCCATTCCAGTAGCATGATGAAATATTTCGAATGTACTAGTTTGTTTCCAACTTCATGATCATCGTCGGTCCAAGCGCTTGATAGGAGTATAAACTCAAAAGGGGTTTGAGAGTCAAAAAAGGTACTCTCTTCAATTCCATTTAGATCTATCATGCCCGCCTCGCTGCCCTTTGCGGTTAGAATACGCGCCTCTGCTGCGAATAAATCCTTTGTCCCTAACTTAAAGTAGACAGACAGAGTCCAGAACTGCAGGAAATGGAACCGAATAGCAGGCAACTCAAATGAAAGAGCTTCTGTCGGATATGTTCGATTCGATGATATGTGAAGTTCTGCTGGGGCTTGAAATGAGCGTCTTCGGCGGTACCCATCATAACTGGAGTCATTGAGAGGGAAAGTCTCATTAGCAGAAGAGTCCCAAACGAGATTAGGCACACCGGTAGCGCTCCTCTTGTACCAAATAATCCACGTATCTTCCTCCAGCCACTTGTTCAAATTTCCAAATGCGCGGTGATTACGCCCTTCTGCACTGATTCCACCCTTCCAACCAGTCCAAGAGTAGCTCGGAAACCCTACTCGCCGATGGAGGACAAAGTAATGGGCTTTGAAGACAATAAAGGCATCGAAGGCAGCTGTGGGAATGCCTTCAAAAAATCGACATTTTGCCCTCTCTGATAATCGCCGAATTATCCCAGCGAGAGCGCGAAGGATATCATTCGGATTGGTGAGGGCTCTTGGAGTGTAGTACAAGAGCATGACTTCAAAGTCCGCCATAGGTGTGTCCATAGTCGCTGTCCCAGGCAGCATGGATGACCAGATGTCATCTTTCATATATAGTGGCTCCCCTCCTCTTGGGCGCTGGTCAAGAAGCTGCTCAGTATACATGTCCTCTCTGCAACGAAAAAACACCCGCTTCTCAGTAAAATATACTGCACGCCGGGGAAGCAGCTCCTCTTGAAATCTGCGCAAATTAGCAACTCCGAATGGGAGCTCGTCGGAGGCTAAGAGTGGAGCTGAAGCAAACTTACGTCCAAGCTCTCGAGGTATAGACTGAGCGCTTCAAAAGCCGGTCGAGCGGCACATATAGGCCCACAGATACTTCGCCAGTGATCCTCGTAGCCCTGCTCACAAACCGGCTTCCTTCTCGGATACCCGGTAGACCAGCATTCGCGTTATGGCCGCTAGCTGCAATGATAGCCACCCAAGATCGCTCATATACTTGATCCATGACATTGACCCCGCTTGTTAGGTCTGTTGGGTCATTCTGCATTAAGCATAACGTATCCACCCAGAGATACCGAGCATCTAATCTTCGCACAAGCTCAATAGCATCCCTGATTGTCTGAGGAATCTTATACCAAATCTTGCGAATAGCTCCTGGAAGCAAGAGGCTAAGCCGGTTGCCGGTAGTTAGCCTGACGTTCGCTACTTCACCCCAGACATAGCTCAGGGCCAAGTATCTTGGCACCGTGCGGAGTTCGACAATCGAATCCTGCCTCACGTCGATGAACCGCAAAAAGTCAAGTCCCGGGAAGCTTCGCTCGAAATCCAGAGCTTTGAGGGTGCATCGTTCAGAGTGAGCCTGGGAACAAATTGAGATCCACTCCGAAAGCCGACCAACATCAAATTCAGCCTCGATCACGGGTTTCAAATAGTGAGTCTGGATGGTTGACGGTGTATTTCGTACTATAGCGGCCATGCAAATCCAGCTCTGGAGGCCTGCGGGATCGATGGTAAAAGCTCCTCGACCGCCTGGGCCGGAGGCCGAGAACCAGTAGAGCTTTACTTCACTACCGTTTGATAATGCGCCAGTTACTGGAGCCGCCTCCGTCTGCCACAGAGTTTGGAGGGCGCTAACTACAATCCGACAATAAGCGCAGCTGCTCCTCTTAACTCTTTCCCAAGAACCCAGAGTCCACTCATCGGTTTGACCGGGAGCGGATTTACCGGGAGGAATCTTTGAGCAGTATTCGCAGAGCGATTCTACAGGCGGCATAGAGACCGTTGAGCTGGTGTATTACAGGTGCAAGGGGATTGGTATATGGGGTGGTTAAGCTGGACTCCGGATGTGTGTTATATATCGGTTCATATAGGTACGATAGTATTAGCAAATAGCACGTGCTGCTAGCTCGCTCTTGAGCTCTCAAATCTTAGCGCGAGAAGTTAGCGTCTGCTGATATCGGCTAATCCTCAAGATGTCCACGTGCTATCTGCAACTCGGAATTTGCTGGGTAAGCGATAATTTCTCGGCAAGGCTTGACAATGCGGCATCACAGCCACAGGGATTTATTATATAAGCTTTAATAAATTTTACGAGCATTACTGTAACCACAATGCATGTAGTTGACCAGGAACCCTTGATCGCTTTGTAGCTAAAGTAATAGTACTACTTATTTGAGTAGCTTTTAGTATAGAAAGTATATATAAGAGCTTACTTATAGTAGCTCTCTAAGTACTTAAAGCCTCAACGGCCTAAACTGAACCGATTATATCATACTTAGCTAAGCTATGTCTTTTTGCTTAGTACGAAGGTTAGTTGGGTAAGTATTCAATGTCTACTAGTAAGGGGGGTGGTGGCCAGGGGGGGTGGGCTAGGGGCCTAATTGGCCGAATAACTCTTAGTATTTTGATCACGTCGCTGTTTTGAATAAATTCTGGAACGCGTCAGGACTATAGATATATACTTTGATTCTTATACAACTTATTAATAATGGAAGGTACACTTTAATACTAACTGTGCTAGCGGCAGAAATGCCTTCAACTCCAGAAATGCCTTCAACTCCACTACCTCAACTACGCTTTACTTTGACTGATATAGTCACTCTACTACCGATTAATAGGCTACCTAATCCTTATTTCGCAGAACGCGATCAACGTGTTCGCGCTCGTTGCTTTCAGAACGTAAGCTTTAAATACGTAGAGATTACTAGAGTATTTGGATTAACTATTAATCAAGTTGGATATACTATTCGGCAGCCTAATACACCTCGTCGTCGGTCCGGCTGCTTGCTAGTATTTACTACAGCTCAGACAGAGAAGATTATTGAATTTATCTCTCAATCTAAGATTATACGTCGGATAGCTCTTTAGCGCGTTACTATTGAATTAAACTAGGCTAGAATTAGTGTTTTTGCAATTAGAAGTACTTTACGTCGAACTGGCTATAAAGTATATAGATCTATTTGTTTATTATACTTTAACTAAATTTTTATAGTATTACGTAGCTCTCCGCAAACCTCCTGTTAACGAAAAGAATCGACAGTTACGCTTTATCTTTGCTCTAGAAAATGTCAACTGGACAGACGACTAATAAGATGAGATCCTTTGGTCGGACGAGACTTGGATAACTGCAGGAAATCGTCGTAAGACCTATGTAACACGTAAGGCAGATGAGGCTCCTGATCCGTCCTGTATCCTGGAACGAGTATAAAGGAAGGGGGGTTGGATGTTTTGGGGATGCTTCTCAGGAAAGTCCGGCAAGGGCCCTGGCCTATTTTGGGAGAAGGATTGGGGAATGATTTCCGCCGAGACATATCAACAACATACAGTCCCCCTCGTCCACGGATAGATGACTATGAATCCAGGCCATATATTCATACAGGATAACGCCCCTGGACATGCGTCTAAGGAGACAGTTGCTGACTTAATTGCCCGTGGGATACGGACGATTCTATGGCCTCCATTCTCTCCGGGTCTTAACCCAATTGAGAATGTGTGGAACTGGATGAAGGAATGGATTTGGAACTAGTATCCTCACGACGTAATGAGTTACGACCAGTTACGGAAGGCTGTAAAGGAAGCTTGGGAAGAAGTTCCGGAGGACTTTCTCTTATCTTTACTAAGAACTATGAAGGCGCGCTGTGAAGCTGTTATTACAGCTAATAGGATGTATACAAAGTATTAACTAAGTAGGAATTAATTGGAATAGCTTCAATTCAATAAAGGTAGCAAGAGATTAGGTTAAAGCAGCGAATTAATATTAGTAGTTGGAGACCCTTGACCTGGCGCACCCCCTACTAGTAGACATTGAATACTTACCCAACCAACTTTCGTAAGTGAAATAAATTAAAATTTCCGCACTATAATTCATCCTGCACTTCGGATTTTTTACGATTAGTTAAAATTCTAGTGTGCAATTTTGGGCTCTATTAGACTCTTCTTCAATGCAACCACCAGGCTCATTGTACCAGTACGTACCCTTAATGCCGGATGGCTCAACCTTTCGAATAGTAAGCGTCTTCCCTGGAAAGGGTGATGCTCAAATCGAATGTGATTTTCTTGAAGTTCCTAATTCATCAAAACCCAAGTATTCCGCTCTGTCATATACATGGGGCGATCCAACTGTTAATTCATTTGTGTGGATGCATGGTAATGTCATTGGTACTGCTGAGAATCTCCAAGACGCCTTGAAACATCTGAGAGACCCTCTGGATGTTCGTACATTTTGGATTGATGCCCTGTGTATCAACCAAAAGGATGAGGCAGAAAAGGCTACGCAAATACCTTTGATGCGGCGGATATATCAGCGTTCCAACCTTGTGGTCATCTACCTTGGAACGTACTCCGATGGAAGTGATACGATTCCAGCATTCTGTGAGCGCATCGAAAAAGCCCACAAGCAAATTGAGGAACTATACGCGGACGATCTCGGTAACCCACGGTTCATTCAAAAGATCATTGCTGGGAGCGACTATCAAACGCTCGGTTTGCCGGAGAGTAATAGCGAATATTGGCATGTTTTCCAGCAGTTTCTCAGCCGACCCTGGTTTAAGCGCGTTTGGGTGATTCAAGAGGCTGTTTTGTCAAACTCAGCGGAAATTGTATGCGGTGACTGGAGCATGAACTGGAATGACTTCATTGCGTTCTTATTGAAGTCCTACATTGCAGCGCTGCCAATTTTCCCGTCTGAGGTAGAAACAAAGAGGTTTTCGAACAGGCCAACAGACTCGTCCGTAACAATGAGCCTCATTATTTTTATGATGGCTCTGGGAGCGGCAAAGGGAGAATTCTGTCCTTGGAATTACGTCGATCTGCTTCATCGTGGCAGAATTGCTTTCGCTACCAAGGCTCATGATTATTGCTACGGGTTGCTCGGACTGTCCAAAGAGCTTATGGATCCTAATATCAAAATAGATTATTCTATCTCTGTGGAAGAAGTCTATCGCCAATTTGCGAGATATTTTGTCATCCAGGGGAATGGAGTAAAGGTACTCTATAATGCCGCTGGCCACGACCTTGACTTGCCGTCTTGGGTTCCAGACTGGTCGTGCCGAAATATCGGAAACCCTCGACTTTGCCCGGAACCGCGCGTTGAACCACTCGAAGATATATTTTGCTCAGCGGCGTCTTCAATCCCTTCTAATATTAGATTGCATCCAACTTCACCGGATGTTTTGATTGTGGGCGGTATTATCTTTGATCGAATTGAACCTTTGGGAAGTCAACACATATCCAATTTCGAAATTGGCTACGACCGAGAGCAGAAGCTCACTGCAAGATACGACGGAAAAGCAAAAGATCGAGACAGTTTGGAAGGGCATGAGATAGAATCCGAGAAAGGCAGGATAACTCTCATCACAGTTTTGGAAAATTCCATTATCGCTGATTGCGTGACGGAATTATGCGAACTTCTGGATGCTGAGCAACTTCGTGGCTATCCGACTAGTGAGAATTATGTGACAGTGATCTGGAGAACGTTAACATGTAATATGAGTAGAGGCTCTCAGCAAAAGGCACCGGCCAGCTACTCCGAATTCTTCAAAGCATTTCTGATTTCTACGACAATACTCGATCCGACATGGCAGTTACCACAGATTTTGCAGCAAAATCAACAAGAGCCGGAGGATTCAGAGAGGAATTTCCGTGATTGCATTGAGATTTTGATGCAAAGTACTGAATTCGTTCGATGTGCTAAAGAGCATTGCTACTCACGAAAGCGTGGTCGAACCGTACGAGGCTATGCTGGCCAGTTTTCTCTTTACGCTCGTGTCGGCGATGCTATCTTCTTGCCTCTAGGTTCTGCGGTTCCGTTTCTGATTCGTCCCAAAAATTCCACTGGGAATATGTATGAAATTATAGAGGAATGCTACGTTCATGGGATAATGGAAGGGGAAGCATTTAAGTTAGAGAACGTCGCCAAGATTGATATTCATTTAGCTTAGCAGACTTAAAGCAAACGACTCAAAGAAACGTAGGATTAAAATTGATTATAGATTGCGTATGAAAATTTACAGAGCCGGGCCAGGTGTTGCAACTGGGTAACGAATATACTATAATAAACGAATGTCATTGAGTATTAAATCTTCGACAAGCGGCCAGGGAAGAGAACTTAAGAGAAAGAATCGCGATAGAGAGTAGAATCAGGAGTAAATTGCAAGGCAGAGTTTTAACTCTATCTCTATAATAACATTAATATTCAACACTAGGATGGTGAGTCTGGGAGCCCATCCTGATACTAGGAGCTCATCACGGCCCCCTTAGAGCCCGTTCCGGCTCCACTGAATCCTTCTCGTCAGGAGTTGATGCTCTCGACAGCCGCGCGACCGGGGATGACATACCCAGGCAAGATGGGTGAGCAGAGGTGAGGCGGTGGAGAGCGCACAATGGAGGCCGGTGAGGATGAGTAAAGTTAAGGTGAATCATATGCGCAGTGGCTTGGCGCACCCGCAAAGTGAGGTGAGGATTGGCAAGGTATATAACTCGCCAGCCATCGAACAGGAACTACTTTCTCTAACCATATACATCATTCATGATGGTGGAGTACCACTACGGTTTTGGAGCTTAAGAACGCATTGGCCAGCTAAGAGCTGGGGAATATCGGCGAAAATGGCAGACAAGTGTTGTAGTTGTTATAGAATAAATGGAAGTGGTTTTGTAAATATACAGAACGTGTGTGTGTATAGAGTTAAATGACAGCATAGTATAAACTTGACAAAAAGTTATAAGATAACAGCCACGGAACAAATCGCCAAAGCGTGAGATGCCCTTGTATTCGGAGGAAGGACGCAGACTTGATTCACCTGTCTAGCTGGAGCTCCCCTCGATAAGCATGAAGAATGAAGCGGGTTCCCTCTCATGTGCCTCATCAAGGATGTCATGGAATTTGTTCCGTAGTAGCCTGTGGATCAATGCCGGAACTGGCACTATTCAACAGAATATTCTCTATACATGAAAACTGTAGTAATACATCCACCCCCCTAGTAATAAGGAGACGATGGCCTCAAGCTGCAAGAATGTTCATTTTACCTGACGAAGGAAGATCTTGCCGTCTATCGCGTTACTGAATATCACTCTCATCGAATAGCTTGGTATTTACTTGGTGCTACAAGACATAGGATTGTTGATATTAGGTTACAGAGCGAGGAAAAGAGAAGGAATCGATGGAATAGTAGGTTTGAATCATGTAAAAGATAGAAAGCAAGCATCGACTTGTGGCCGGATAAGTGCAATGTGAGAACTTGAAGTTCTGTAGTAACTCGTCAGGCTTCAAAGCTACCATAACAACTTTGTAAGTGTTGGTAGTGAGCTCTTCCCTCCAATTGGTGCCACTGGAACATACCTGGCCTGCCTAATCCTTCACTCCTTGACCAGAGGTAATGCTAATAGGCGGCGATAAAGTAATCTGACCGCTGGCAACATATCATAGCAGCCTCGTGGATTCTCATACTGGAAGAGCTAAAGAGCAACTCCTTCGCTGACAGAGCGGGAAAGGCCTGGCTGGCCGGATCTCGGGAGATACGAGAGAGAGAGAGAGATAGCGGTCAGAAATTTGACCCGGTATAACGTAGCAATACTTGGGCCGACAATGGCTCCCCAAGTAGTGCAGTTCCGTTGGATCGACCTTCTCCTGCCCAGCGTATCACTATCTACCAACCAGGTGGTGCAATGGGTTCTAGTCCCGCTGCCACCACTGGCCCATCCGATCTCCGACTCCTTCGACTACTCGACAAGCAACTTGGGGGATCTAGGCTAGCTCAATTTCAAGTAGCAGTGTATCCCGATATAGCTAAGTCATTAATATGAGCAATGGAACTTTTACCGCAAAGACTAATAGATCCATTGGACCAGCATGGGAGGCCAACACGAATCGACATGCGACCGATGAGGATTTTGCGCGGTCTCTGTACATTTGGTTGGAGTGATCTGCCCAGAACTGGATATAGTCCCGTGAATGGTTTGTCTCGTTTATGGGGGTGTATGTGACGAAACTTATTGCAAAATGGAAACGATACATGAACAAGCAGAAGAGCGGGAAGGGGAAATCACCTCATAAGATCCAGTTCGGTTCTCCTCTATACCATGTACATCACCCGCCGCTAGTCCAGTAATATCAACCATATACACCTTGTGCTGTCAAATAAATACCAAGCTCTGTCACCTCCTACCTATCTGTCGAGTTTATACCATGCCGTCACTTACTATGTATATACACATCCTACCTATTTGCAAAACCACATACCTTTCATTAACTATAATGCTAACCTCGGGTTGGCAGGGCCTAATAGAATGCAGTGACTTGACAGCTAACCTAGATCCATCTTTGAGAGGGCGCATCAGGAGACTCCGCCTCTGGTTTTGATTTCTCCTTTTCTTGGCAGGCGGCGCTGTGGTCTGCTCTTTGGGTAGCTCTCTATTACAGAGCTTTTTTATACCATAGCCGGTCGTGGTACTAGAGTCCGAGGGTGATTTCGGGTTTTAGCTTGGATTTTGAATTAGATCAGAAACCGGGTATTTCTACAATGCCACGTTCACGGCATCCGGCACACGGGTCGCGGGTATCGTTGTAGAAAGGTGTAAGTAGAAGCCAGTCTAGATGTAGGGGCCGAAGAGCTGGGCTAGGGCGTGTGATGTGATACATGTGATAGCCATCTAAGACTTCCCCCCTTTTACCACGCGGCTTCTCGAATGATTTGTGAGTTAAGTTTATACAGCGAGTGGGGCAGCATCTCTTCATTTCCAAGATTCACATGCAAAACAGTAAACACAACCCTCCGTACCATGCAGAGTAATAGCTCCTTTTGGGTTAATTTGTTTTTTGTATTTGAAACATTTTTTTTTGATACATTGCGTATGCCGAGGTCACTCATCTAATACCATCACCCCTCCGCAAAATTCTAGGGGGTTTCTCTATAATAAAGCCTTGTTTAATAAAACCCTAATACCCCACCGCGATGCGATGCGATGCAATAATAACCTCCCAAATTCCGTAATACTACAACAAAGGAAAAGGGACATACACGTCAGTGAGACAGCAGAGCAGAGCGCGGTTGGTTTACGAAGAGGACTTCTGGTCCGCCTCTTTCTTAGTACCTTCCGCCTCCTCCCGCTGGAGCTCCTCGCCCTCCTTGCTGGCTTCAACAGATTCATTGACTTGTTTGTCAGCTGAAGCCTCGTTGGCTCCAGCTTCGATTCTGTGCTCCTCCTTGTCATCAATATCCTCGTCGTCACGGGGGGTAGCTCTGCCCGTTTCCTTGTTCTCTTCGTCTTGCTCGTTCTCCTCCTCGATGAGGTCTTGCTGCTCCTTGAGGACTTCGAGACGTTGCTTATTGGTTGCAGCGCCCTCGGCATTGTGGACCTCAAGCTCGATCTCGTGGAAGAGCTCCTCTGGGATGGAGGATAGGACGCCCGTGAGTGCATCGATTTGCGTGTTGAACTCGTCGGTCTCCACACCTTGCTGGGCATACATGAACGCATTGCTCAATACCAAGAGTGTGGAAGGCACGCCGTATTTGAGACGGAGATCTAGCCAAGATTGCAGTTCATCCCGGAGTGCACCGGGCGAAACGCCGTGACTCCGAATACCGCGGCTTTGGCAGGCGACTTGAAGCTCTGGAACTGATAAGCTGTCGACACCCTCGTAACTGATAGCACGATCGTCGCGCTTGATCTGTCTCATGCGATGACGAACTTGGTACCGAAGCATCATATCGGTGCCGAAGGTATTGAGGTTCATATATCTGCACATCCCAACAAGTTGTGGTCTAGACAGATTGTCCAAGGTCAAATCATCTTTGAAGATCTTGCAGACCTTGATAACATCCGACGGTGTAGGTGTTTCTCCAGTGGAACGGACCTTCCGGAAGAACTCGGCAAACTCCTCCTTTTGCGCGTTGGCAGGGCTTAACGGAAGGCCGGTCTCTTTCAGAGTGTCGCGGAGGAAGCTGCTAACCTCCTTTCTGGTAGCCCTGAGGTTTGTCGCTTTTGTATCCTTCGATTTCTGCCCCTCATACGTGCTGGGGAGGAGATTGGGGAATAATTTCAGGGCAACGGGGAGAAGCAGCTCGGCGAAGGGCACGAGGATGAAAACCGAGAACGGGACCAGCCGGCCAATGTCTTGCACCGTCCGCTGTAGTTGCCGATGTTCTCTCCGGCTGAGTTCGTAGCCCGCCATCATCTTCGCGGCCAGTCGAGTACTAATCCTGACTTCGGTTGCCAGCAACTTGGTCCCGTCCCAGTAATGCAACACCTCCTTTTTGACTTTTTGCATCAGGGTCAATTTCTTCTCCTCCTTCTTCTTAACTCCCTTCTCCTTTGCCCCAGCTAGCTCTGACAATGACACCGCCTCCGTAGCATCTGTTTTGGGAACCGCCGTGGGTCCATCGTTAGGAGTCAATCCTATCCCCGGCTTCTCGCCCAATTTTGCGGCCTCCTTGGAGGGCGCCTTGATGACGTTATTGTCCTTGAGAGGCTTCTTGGCTTGTTCGGCATTGAACCCTGGCGGAGGCCCGGCGGGAGGCCCGCTTGAAGTATGTGTATCGGTCGAAACTCCACGGCGAGGAATCAAAATAGCCAGGGCGGGAATGTGCGTTGGCAAGTTTCGAGTATTGCGACGGAGGTATGCGGTGTATGCGGAGGAAGGACCGGTTCGAGGAAAGGCACGAGCTGTAATACTGTCAGACGGCGCAAGCTTAGGGATACCCCTCAAGAAGGCAATACTAACCACTAGTCATGAGAGATGATGTTTGCGCCGCATTGCGGACGATTCTTGAAGAGGCACTCATGGTCGTCGGTGAGGCGATGTTGTCTTGTCAGCGAGACGGAAAGGAGGCGCGGGTTGGCGGCAGTATTCGAAGCAGGGTTGGACGGTGAAACTTAGGTGAACGGCATGGTGTCGATGGAATATGTAGATGTAGATAGATATGTGAGATGGAGGTGTGTGTTGTAGGTTGTAGGTGTAAGATTTCGTCGTAGACGCAGAAGTGCGCGGTGCCTTGAATCTTCCCACATGGGAGAAGTCGGGATCTGGAGGCGGGGTCACGTGGCCAGACGTGGACGAAAACACGTCAGCGTCAGCGTCGACAAATATGAAAAAATGAGCTGTTCAACTCAACATACGAAGCATCGATTAATTCTACGAATAGTCATGTCTGCTGGCATTTAGACCTCCCAAACCCCCGAATTATCCGCATTTCTGTATCTCTTTTGTGCATCAAAGATCGACCATATTATGATACCAAACCTACCTTTGCCCTAGGTACCTGCAGTACCTAGGTATGATACCATACCTAGGGTAAGCCCATACCAAGGCAAAACCAAGCAAAGTCTAATTATTATTGTTCGCCTCCCAGGGGTAACTAATAAGCAAGTGCTAATTAATCAATCAGTGCTAGCAACAACTGATCCTCAACGCCGGTTCTCAGCTCCTCAACCGATCCCTCGGCGATAAGCAGCCAAGCCCCGGATAAGGCAAAAAGGCCTGATGGTCTGTTGTTTTCTGTGTTTCTCCCCCGCGCCGGAGTTCGCTCGCTCGGTCCAAGCGAGGAATCCATCGCGTCCCTCTCGCTCGTGCGCTCCTCTCCTCATTCACATTTCACATTCGCATCCTCAACGCCGGTCCATATCTCCATCCATATATCCTTCTCCATCCCACCTTCATTCCCACTTCCACTTCCACTTCCACTTCCTCTCTCTCTCTCCATCTTCCTCTTCCTCCTCTATTCCTCCTCTCGTCTCTTTCACCCGTCGCTATCATGGATATCTCCTAGATCCCCCCCCAATTGGTAGCTGGAACGTCGACTTGCCTGCCAGGCGCAGGCGCATGCCCTATCGTTTGATCGCCACCCATTCTCATTCCACAAGACTCGGGGAACGCAACGCAAAATAGACTACAGAGCTTCGGAGCTATAATATTTCTTATCTATTCCAAGCAGGCAAATACCTGATGGCGAACAAAATTATGAACCTTTCGAGGGCTGCCCGCATCATTCTCGTTGGCGCCCCAGGTGTCGGGAAAGGAACACAGGCAGAGCGGCTGCTGCAAAGGTTTCCCCAGCTCTCAGTCATCAGCTCTGGGGATCTCCTCCGCGACAATGTGAAGAACCAGACCCCGCTCGGTATGTCATTCCCCTTCTCGTCATTCTTCAATGAGCCCCAGCTAACCTCCATCAAGGTATCAAAGCCGAGGGCATAATGAAGTCAGGGGAGTTGGTCCCCGACGCCATGATCCTCCGCCTCATCCTCCACGAGCTCAAGACTCGCGGGTGGCTCTTCCCCGCAGCTGGTACCCAACCCCTCACACTCTCCTCCGCCTCCATGTCCGCGCAAGAGTCCGACTTTAACATCGAAGACCACTTTGTGAACTCGCCATCCCTCGCAAACTTCGCCTCTCCCCCACAGACATCCGACGAACCCGCCGCCTCCTTCATCCTGGATGGCTTCCCACGAACCGCCGGCCAAGCCACCCAGCTCGACAACCTCATCCCCATGAACCTCGTCGTCTCCTTCAAAACACCCGTCGAGGTGATCCTGGAAAGAATAGCCGGTCGTTGGGTCCACCTCCCGTCGGGAAGGGTGTACAACACCACGTTCAATGCGCCTGTAGTTCCGGGGAAGGATGATATTACAGGGGAGCCGTTGTCGAAGCGCGCGGATGATGATGAGCAGACTTGGATCACGAGGCTGAAGAAGTTCGAGGAGACGAGCGAGCCGCTGTTAAATCATTATGCGAAGAAGGGGGTTTTGTGGGAGGTGGAAGGGAAGAGCAGTGATGAGATTTCACCAAAACTGTTTGAGCAGTTTGAGAGGACGTTTGTGAATTCGGCGCTGTGAGTAAGCCGTGGCCGGGGAAATGTCCGCCTCCAAGTCGGGAGAGCGTCGGACATCGTTCGTTTTTGGACGTATATATATATGACTGCTTTTGGTACGGCGTTTATTCGATGTGGTAATCTATCGAGGGGACGGGGTGTGTTTTAGGAGTACTACGTACTTGAGGTATAGTCGACATACCCACGATGTCCCTCAAGTTCAACAATTGAGCATACATCAATTCTATAAATATATTTTTAACATTACTTTCCTGTCCCCTTCAACTATCAGTAAAAGCGACTCACCTGCTATCTCAATACACTCTCTCCATATGCCCCTCTTGTAAGGGGCTCCGACCCTGTCCTACGCAGCGCAGTCCTAGACCAACACTACAAGCAAGAGCAATCCAACTATTGAGCGAGTCAAGTAGAATGGGGATATAGAGCCCGCAAGGTCTTCATGACAGTTATCACAAAGAATAGTACTAGAAAGGTATATATATTAACCCCGCACATCAGCCAACGTTTTCAGAGCCATGGGAAGAGAGACACGGCGACCATTACTCTCAGGACTTCATGGTGGATTACACTGAATGTGCCCATATACTACCACATGCGCTGGGTAATTTCGAACTTAACAGGACCCAGGAGGCCGAGAACGCAGCTCTGCCTTGCTACATTGAAAATTTAGGGTATACCAGGGCTGGTTAAACACCAAACCACCAACTCCAAGCATTTTCCTCTACACGCACCAATTATCACACTTCAAGATGTCTGCAAATACAGAAATATCAAAGGCTCTCAAGGAGGTTCGTCACGTTCCTTTTAGACCGTTTTGTGATCTGACCACCTTCAAGCTTAAAACCGCCATGAAGGCAGTTCTCGCCATGGACCCGACCGGTGGGGTGATTCTCCAAACCGCCCAGGAGAGTAACACATTTTTAGTACTATGCTTTGTGACAACTATCAAGGATATGACAAGTATCAAGACTGTGACAACTGTAAATTTAAATGACAGTCTGTAGTGTAAGTGACAGCTATACAAACACCCTTCCTGCACTGCAGCAGCTTCAAAAGAAAGGCGTGAGCTTTTCCAATTGATGTCTTCACCTAGAAGGACGGTTGTATCAGGGTGTCAGCTTACCCAGTATTAACTGATTCTGCTACTGGTACGGCTCCTGGTAAGGCACAAAAGGGCTAGCATCCTCATCCTCGTCCTCATCCGAGCCCTCAAACGGCGCCAAAATCCCCCGCAAGCGTCTCTGCATCTCGGCTTCCTCTCCTTGGAGAACCTCGCCTGGGCGGGGAGGCGGCGGCAGACCTCGTCTCACGTTCTCGTCCACACGCTCCCGCCAAGCCATACAGTCAAGACACCACTACGTTATATGTCAGATATAGATCGAGGCGTAAGGTAGGTTAGCACTTACCGGCTGGTGGTTGTTGTTTCGGCGTTGCGACTTCGAGAAGTACTGTGCGTGCTTAAACAAGCCGCACAGGTCATAGTCACGAGTAGAAAGGCAGTAGTTGCAACGCTCCAATCATTAGCGTAGTCTTAGGCGATTGATGGGAAGGGATACTTACACTGACATTGCCAAACCTGCGGCGTTGGTCGCTGTTGAAATCGGACGCAGGGCATCATTCGAGGCATATAACACATCGAATACTGTAAGGTATACATTATTAGCTATGGGCAGGAAGAGGGACAGAGTGTGGGTCTCATTCTCCTGGCCTTTCCACCAAGTGGCCAGGCACAACGCAGGGTCACGTCTCCTCACTCGCGCCAATCTCCGAACCTGCCACAATGTCTCTGTCCTCCCCCATAAATATCTTACTAGAATTGAGGTATTCAAGTCATGCGAATATCTCACTCCCGAACACTCAATAATTGAATACTAGATCCACACTTTCTGACATTAGTACTAGTATTACAAATGAGGAGTGAATTTCAGATATACCTTCTCGCTTGCTGATCGGGACCGAGGGACAGATTTCTTTTGGCGCTTCGCCGGTGGTGTATGCACTGACTGCTGTGGTGGAGATGATGAAGGTCCTGCGACGGGAGATGACTGTGGTGTCGATGAAGCCGAAACTGAAGCTGAAGCTAGCTCTTTTACAGTTTGATTCGCTATAAAATGTTAGATAGGTATTCAAAAATTCTGAAAGAACCCGAACTGCCCAGGTAGCCAACCTACAAATCCTTATTACATCATATATTTGTCCCGCAGCGATATAAACTATATTTGGGTTGATTTGCGCGGTCTGTACCAATAATAATAACGCCTCAAGGCTACATAACTGACAGGCGGCCCAGAAAATGCTGTGGGATATCTCCCAGTAACTGTTCCAGTTCCTGAAGGAGCACCAGACGGTCCGCACTGGTGAGGTTATAATCCTCATCCGTGGGTTGTCGGGATTGCTGGGAAGGCGGCATGGCTTGAGATGGGGAGGGGGGAGGCGCGCGCGTTATATGTGAACGTGTGGGAAAGGTGAGAGGGCGGTGGAGGGTTTGGTGGGAGGGGGAAGATGTGGAGGAAAGTTAGAATCGAGTTGGAATCAATGGTCCCTTTTCATAGCTGCTAAGCGAGCCACACCTCCCGGATTTACCTAGTGCAAATTTTAAGGGCGCTCATTATTCACTACCGATGGGGGCATTCACGGTTCTAAATACAATCACCAGTAGTGAATGTAGCGCAGTACTCGTAGCAACTCGCCGGGTAGGCAAGGTACCTGGGTAGTTATATGCCAGGCCGCTAAGCGCAAGGCGGTGGGTTAGCGACAGTTTTAAGCGGCAATAGCATTTATTTATCCTCTGGAGTCACTACTCTGTTGGAGGTACGTGAGACGTATTTTAGCCCGCAACTTAGGGAATCCGCTAGATTAAAGGCTAGTGCGCTATATTTGAGCCCTAATAAGCCTATAAAGCCCTGAAGGTCCTGTAGTTACCGCGACCTCTAGTTGCAGTGCAACCCCCCTATTCGTTAACTGAGGCGTAGCGTCAACCCTGTGAGGTGCAAGGCTTATGACTGCGACCTACTTCGTACAAAGTACGTAGACTATAATCTATGCCCTCAAATATTTAAGCCACCCTTGTTCGTGCTGCAACATATTTCCCTCCTAACTATACAAACCTCACTATTCGCCAAAATTCGTGCTGTCTGGACACGAAATTTCTCAATAAAGTGCACATACACTCTTATAATGGGCCAAATACAACAACAAAAGGCAATGCCAGTCACTCTTTCCGAAGTATATCCATCTATAAAATGGCCAGTCACTTTTCAAAAAGTGAATTCGTCCACGTAAGGTCTCATCTTCTTTAAATCACCATATACTAATAATAATAGCAGAGATATCTTTTCTCCGACCTTGAAAATACTTGTTGGTACAAGAAAAGAAGTGTTCTTCGTCCCTAAGTAAGTGAACAATGCCAAAATGGACTAATACCGGGCTCAGTTTCGGGAGACTATAAATTTGTATACATGAAACTTTTGTTGCTTTTTCACAGGCTATAAGGCTGTATCACATGATATTTGAGTTTTGGTGGTACCTTGAGCTTAACACTTACTAACTACTATTTTTATATAGGGACAGAATCTGTAGATCGTCCGGTTTCTTCCAAGGAGCCTGCAATAAACACTGGGAAAGCGGCAAAACCAACACAGTTACACTAGAAGTCTGTAGACCTTCTATCTTCGCAATCTTCCGGACTTGGCTGGAGTTCGGAGATATAAAAAGAGCGCCCCTGCTTATGAAAATTGTTGCCCTATATGAGGCTTCCAGCACTTCGAAAACAACCTTTCATTGGTCTTATGTTTATCAACTTCTCAAGTGTTATATTCTTGGCGATTTCCTGCTAGCGGAGGAGTTCCAAAATTCAGTTATGGATCATTTGATCAGAAGATGCGAGCTATCTGTTGAATGTTTCAAGTTGTGTGCAGGTCTGGATCACATGAGTATTAGTTATACAATGTCTAATACTCTTTCCCATTCTCCATTACGCCGAATGATCAAGGACTACTGGTCGGCATGTCTCGGTACAGAGAATACTATGAGGGACGAGATTCCCAAAGAGTTTTACCACGAGATATCTATGTACGCTTTTGTTGCATGGGAATAGGAGAGAATTAAAGGACCCGTGGGACGAAGATCGTTGTGTTTATCATAGTCACCGCGGCAAGCCAGAAAATTACTTTGTGTACCGAGAAACAATAAACAGGTTTTTTTTTTGAATTATAGTCCTTGATGCGGCGGCCGGTTTGTCCGTTACGTAATGGAGGTATGTCCAAAATCAGCAGGAGTAGACTGCTACTATCACCGACTCCCAAGTCACCTTACCTTCAATTGGCACCTGCACCTGCACCTGCACCCCGCTTGCCTCATTTATTCTATTGCAACTTACTTTGATTCCTCTCCTCGCTCTTCAGACGTCTTCCACCTTTCCACACCCACGAATAGCATCACTTGCCTAGTCTTGCGTCTATCCTATCCTCTGAGACATGACACAGACCGACGAGCACCACAAGGTGCCTGCCTTCGATGACATAGAAAGAGCACCAGTTCATCTCCATAAATGGAGAATTCAAATCGTTTTCCTTCTTCCTGAACTTCAAATCGGTCGCGAAAAGAAATCTACAATATACGTATTTCAATGTTCCTCGTGAGGTGTCACAATGTAGGAACTTGGAAGTGGTATATTAACAGTAGAATAGCATGAACTCCTTGACCTCGTCGTTCTCCGACCCTTGCTTGGGTAAGGGCTTCTTCTCTTTCCTTTTTTCATCCCCACTCCCTCTCATCCTATGCCATGACATTTCCAACTGTATTTAGAAAGACCGCTGATACTGGATTATCATTAAAATCTGCCAATACAAGATCATCATCTGAAACCGCTCAGCCCACAGCCTATGTCAACCAGACTGCTGAAGAGCTTGCCGAAGAGTTCACCTAGCATGAGAATGATAAGGATGTTCAGGAAGTTGTAAATAACAAGCGGAAACGGAGTAATCGGAATTTCCTCAATCTCACAAATGGCCATGATCAGGTTTGCCACCACTGGGAGTATCAGAAAGTAGTTCGAGCTCTTAACAGAGGAGAAATCCCTAGCGGAGCCTTGAAGATCTTCAAAAAGAGGCATGGCTATCTACATTTCAAATTCATAAGAGACATCATTACTATTCGGAACGGAACTCATATCAAGAAGGATGAACCAAATGGAGACAAACGGAAAGTCCTAACAGCAACAGCAACATCAACAGTGACAGCAACAGTGAAAGCAACAGTGACAGCAACAGTGACAGCAACAGTGACAGCAACAGTGACAGCAACAGTGACAGCAATAGTGGCAGTGATAGTAACAGCAATAGCAGCAAAAACAGGATCATCAGGTCCGCGGGGCCTCCAAGAGGGATAGGGGGGAGAGCATGCACATCTCGGGATCTCCGCACCTCCTCTGGGACATGGAGGCTGCGGTTTCGGGCTTTTCTCGCTGCTCGGCCAGGCATGTTGCAGTGTTCTATCACGCCACACGCGTTAGCAACATTACCTAGGTACGCCAGCCAGGCACAAGGCACTAGGCGCCTTTCAGACCCAAACAACGATCAATATCATCAAAATCAATAGATCTCGATAAATATCGATGAGTTTTTGACGGATCGTACGATGGCCCTAATGGAGATCGGATAGGGTTAAGCACTCACCTTAATGGATATGACGATGGGGTTGGCGAAGAGGAGAAGAGGAGAAGAGAAACGAAAAAAGTGGCGACGTGAAGGCAGGCGCACACTAAATCGGCATATATATATGTACTCCTAGAAATGCATTCAAACCCAACCAACTCCTTTCCCGCATTTTCAAAAAAACTCCCCATTAAATAATACATTATACACGACTGATAACTGCCGTCGCTAGAGGCATAGATTGTGCCTCGCATCCCGGGTATTGTGTTCTATCAAAGACTCCGTTATATGCTGGAGGGAAATAGATGGTGAAAATTTTATGCAGCGCTTCTTTTGATCAGTTGTTCTTTAGACATTCTTTCGTTTCCGGTGCGTCTCCTTCGGTGGCCGGTGCCTTGACTTCGGCTTGGATGTAGTCTCGGGGTCGACTTTCCAGAAATCAACTCCTCTTCAGATGTTCTGTTCTCATATATCGACTGAGGCGTAGCGCTGGTTTACGCTTGCTCTGGCGTCTCGGGTTCCGTATAGACTAGCATTTTGGTTTCTTGTGGTTCATCTGATTTATTCTCCTGCTCATTCGGCTCTTCAGTTTTCGGCTCTTCGTCCTTCGGCGCCTTGACAGGTATCTGGCTCTTGAACGGGTCTTCTTGGTCTTTATTGATCGGGATCCAGTCGAGCTTCTCGTCATCAAAACGATGGCTTCAGGAGATGGTTAGTTTGTAAATTACAAGGGGCTGATGGGTTGCTTACTTCTCGAATTCGGTCTGTGTCAGAGCCTTCTTTTTGTACTCGGCTTCTAAAACCTCCTTGTACGCAAAGGGAATTTTGGCAGGCGCTCCTTCAAAGAAAGTATCCCGCAGAGGGAAGATATACGAGTCCTAGTACACGTTAACGATATTTTCGTTACGTGGTGTAGGAGCCAACATACCCGATATTCATGCCCATCCTTGCAACTCAACATACCCTCCCCGGCTGGATGTGTTGTATTATATCTCGCCGTGGTGATATCGATGAACAAGCCACTCGTCGTATCGACCCATCTTGCATCAATCACATTCAGCCAATCCGACTGTTCCCGATTTACGTGGTTTGGGTTGATCTCGAGCATGTAGTGTCGGCCATCCGTGATGCGGGGCGTTTTGTAGTGGAAAACTGTCATGTTGTAATAGGCAGCAAGATAATTCATCGACCCTTCGGAGACCTGGACATCGGCATCCGAATCCCATGGTAGGATCTGCAGAGCTTCGTTAGTTACAGCATTGGTGTATACACAAGCAGATCGTACTTTGCGGTTCCACCACCAACCAAGCAACGTGCCGTGCATCAGCCACGTCTCAACCCCGATGTCTGCCATTGTAGCTAGGTACGTCTGAACAAGGTTTGAAAGCGCTTGCTTCCGCTCCTGATAGCCTAATGTTTCTTCTGCGAATCTATAGTAAAAGGGTCTGTTAGCCATGCGATAGCATAACACCGGATTTCGGATCGCACAAGGATTCCGTACCTGCCATCATAATGCGGATGGAATCTAGACGGTGACACAAATTTGTTAGCATCAGAACCCTATTTCCAAAACCTTATATCCTCCATGCAAAGCAAGCGGCTAAATGCGGGTCCCTCGAGGGCGATACATACATGCTTTCATCTATCGAAGGGGACGGTCCGTTAGTCTCCTATCCAGATTGGTAGTTCAGGGGCATTGACTCACGAAAATATTTCTCGACCGGGTCGCCGGCCTTGCCACTCATGTCCTTGCGCAAATTTGTCCGCACGCTGAAGAAGTCGGCATCGCGTCTCTTGATAGCTAGCGCCGATACCACTGAGAGGGTCGTAGGGAGGAACAGGAGCCACGAGAGGCGCATTGTCGTGTGTTGATGTGTGGTTTATGGTCGCGTGCGTGGTTACGGTACGCGGGCCTGCGAGATCTGAACAATTTGAAAGGCTTGGGCTTGGCAATGAAATATTCTCGTATTTGGCCGCACCGCTGATGCCTCGCTCGATATGATGAAGACTGGAGTATAACCTGACTGGCGGGATATATGGGCGGCAAGTTGGGTGGCGGTATGCTCTTTATATCGGACGACAGAGCAATGTTCCCCACAAACGCGTGGAATGCTGGGCTACTTATCCAAGGGCGACCTGGCCAGGGGAAACGCTTGGGTTGTAAAGAAGCTAAAGCAAGATAGTGGACACTAGTTGAAAGGGAGTCTTGCGGCGGGAGGCATGGGCATGAATCTCCAGTAGATAGCCGTTGGATGGCAGAAGGAGATAGTTGTGGGGGCAATTGGTCGAGGGATTCGTAACGACTGTGGTTATTGGATAGTCCGGACAGAGGAATAATGTATGTTTTGATCAACGAAATAAATAGAAAGGTAGGAGGAATCCCCATGCGGGTCTATCCATCCGAAAGAAATTCTTGACTTGGCACGTTTGTAGTTTGTAACGGGCGGCTTTGCAATATTAGCAGATCACCATCCTTGAGGCGAGACACGCGAGCAAACACCACTGACAGGTTTGGCTGATGACGAACGTCTGTTCCAGGTGAACCGGAATCCGGTTACCGGCGTCTCAGAGTCTCCTGGCCCGCTCCGAGCGTCCTTGGTGCTGCAGGGGGGCTTTTGACAGTTCTAGATCTGTATCAACCCTTTTGACGCGTCCTTCTCGAGTTGTGAGTTGTGAGTTCTGAGGTGTGCCGTTATGCGGCTGTACAGTTATACGGCTGTGCTTTCCAAGGATGCCGCTCCCCAGTGCTTTGTGGCACTACTACCACGGACAAGTAACCAGTATCACACCCTCCTATATTCGAGTACTATACAAAACGCATATACCGTAACCCTCTCTAAGCACTTCAAAGTACGAAGCCGCCAAAGCCCAGAGCCAAAGTCCACAGCCTCCAGCGATGTCGCTATTCAACTTGCGAACAAAATATCACGTCCACCAAAACTCGAGCCCCTTGGTGGCGTAAGGACGCGTAAGCTCTTTCCACAACCCGGGAGCCACATAAGCTTTTTGGCGCATGCTTTGACGAGCCTTGGCAAAGCTTGGTTCTCTCCCAAAGGCCCAATTTACCCAATCCTTCAGCCCGCTTCCTGCTTCCCGGGTCTCGACTCAAGTGATTCGCAGGTTTGTCTGAGCACAAGCCACGTGTGTAATAAGACAGACAATCATTTTCGAGGTTAAGTGATACAGGTGGGCGAGAATCAGCAGCTCCACGCGAGTTGGGGGCTGTCCTGCACACCTCGAAATAGATAGCTTCGCCTCTTCTTACTAGTTGAGGCTGGCAAAGATAGGATCAAGTACGATTAAAATCAAAGGGGAAGAAATCCCACCTGTGAACGCGCGGCGGTCTGGATCTGGTACCGTCCACTTTTCAATATATGCATGGGCACGCAAAGTCGACTACGACTCCAGCCCCGTAGGGTGCGGAGGCTCCTCTCCATCTCCATTAGAGGAAGGGAGTACGAGGCGGTGTTTTGAAAAAGGCGCGTGGAGTTACGTTTTTTTGGCTGCCGGGTCTAGATCCTTCTAACTACCTATCGTTTCTTAACTTCCTTGCCCCCGTGGACTTGTGGAGTGGCTTTTGAAGGAATATGTTAATATATCATGCTCCAATCTAGCTTTATTAGTAGAATATGTCTCATTTAGAGAGGGGTTTATTTGAATGCTGGAACCCTCACTTCGGAGTTCCGCCTATGCCCTCCTGGTATCGCTCTATACACCGCTCTCTACTCTCCTTATGTGGCACAATCCTCTCTGAGTATCCCGCTAATCTAGCCTCCTCCCCCTTACCACGTCCGTACGGATCATGAACTGCCCTTCCTCCAATCCCCTCCAACTCCTTAACCCAGGTCCGAATATACACACCATCGGCATCAAACTTCTCACTCTGTAGCAGCGGGTTGAAAATGCGAAAATAGGGCTGGGGATCCACGCCCGTTGAGGCACAGTATCCCCACCCTCCATTGTTCGAAGCGAAATCGCCGTCGATAAGGTGTTCCATGAAGTAGCGCTCGCCCATTCGCCAGTCGACGAGAAGATGTTTGGCCAGGAACGATGCGGCAATCATCCGGCACCGGTTGTGCATGTAGCCGCAGTGCCTCAACTGACGCATAGCTGCGTCAACGATGGGATATCCAGTTCGGCCGGCGCACCAAGCCTCGAAGTGGGCGGGATTGTACTCCCATTCAATGTTGCTGTACGTTGCCTTCCAGGGCTTGTTCATGCATATGTATGGCCAGTGGGCCAAGACATGTTTGTAGAAGTCCCGCCAACCAATTTCGCGAATCCACGTTTGCATGCCGGTGCTTCCACCGTCGAGCCTCGGCGTGTGACTATGGGCGAGCGCCGAGGAGACTGCCGTACGCGCGTTGAGAGTGCCGCTGGCGAGATGGACACTGAGAGCGGAGGTTGCTGCAACTCCAGGAAGGTCCCTCTGCGCAATATAAGACCCAATACGCTCTTCGCAGAATTTGTTAAGCCGTCTATGAGCTTCATGCTCCCCTGCTGGCCACATTGAGCTAAACCGCTTCTTTTCCTCATCACTTAATTTCTTTCCGTCGGGTGCGTCCGGTATCTTGCTTTCAAATAGATCTGCGAACCTATCCCTTGCACTGTCAGGATTCATGCCGGGTGGCTCGAAAATATCTAGTACATGGCCATTGCCGTGGATATACGCAATCCAGGACCGGAACCAAGGGGTAAAGACAGAATATTGCTTCCCCGTAGAATTCTCGATCTCTCCAGCGGCGACGACACATGTATCGGGCACAACATCCATTGCAATGTCATTTTCTAGACATGATCGTACCAGTCCCGCCTCCCTTCGTAGCTCATCGACTTCGTATTCCATGTTTGCAAATAAATGGCTTGCTCCCCACTCCTTGAGCAGTTCCACTATCCGACCGGGTATGGCCTTTCGCTTCTCGACCGTCGCTATATGTAGTGGTATATTCAGTTGTGCTAATACCTCCTTTAACACCTCCAATGTCCGCAGAATAAAGTCCACTCGCGCAGGGGCTGTTAAATGCGCCTCGAAGTCTTGAGGGCTAACGATATACATCGCAATCAACGGGACGCCCTTTTCCTTCGCTTTCTCACTCGCCATATGCAAAGCCTTATTATCTCGCGTTCTCAAATCGCTCTTGAACCAGTGCACGACGGCTCCTTTGACTTCAATTGCTTGTCGCTGTGATTCTGTTTCTGAAAGCGCGGATTGGAGCACTTCTATCGGCCGAGGAAGCTCATCGTTGTTGTATGCAGTTGCTCGCGCATTCGACATCTCCGGGGGATAGAATTTCCGTAGGACGATGCCATTATCTTCTGCCTTTTGCGCATTGAAATGCGGTTGGCGAAGAGGGTCCGGGGATTCGCGGGTGATTTTCGACTTCTTGGAGCAGGATCCATTGGTAGTTGTGGCCTCTGGCGAAGTTGAGGCCCTCCGTTTTCCATCAGATATTGTAGATTTCACAGGATCCATGGCTAAATTGGAGGTAGAGAAGAAAAAATTCCGAATTGATGATAAGCATCGATGGGCCTGATACCCATGGACTTTGATCTTCAAAGGCAATTTGCATAAAATTCGCATGAACTGTAGAAAACCATCGCATTAGCGAAGGCAATGCTAGGAATGAAAGGAAAGCAGTTCTCTAAATGGTGGTACAAAAAAAGGAATGCTAGGAATATTGGTCCCCGATTTCTAGGTTGTCTCAAGTCTTGTACGTCACCACTTTGGTACCGGATCGGTCGCTTCCGCAAGGGCGACAAATCAGCGACCAGCGGATCGGCGCCCAAGAAAGTGTAATTTGAGGAGCCAGCCAACCCTAAATCTCTTTGTTTATAATGTCTAACCACAAGGAATCTCTACCGGCTATAGCTTTTATAGTACCCGATCTGGATGATCTGTATCAAGAAATCATAGCACCTTGTGGGCACTTCTTGCGAGGGCGTAATACTCAACTCATATAGAGAACTTGCTCATTTACTGACTTGGAATACAGAGCATAGCCCCATCTAGGGCTTGAAGTCTTACTCCTCGATGCCTTCCCGATATAGCTAAAAACCTTTGGTAGATAAGGCGGCGCTTTGGATTGCGGATGCAGAGGTGTCTGTTAAAGGCTGTCCGCTAGATGTGGCACTACCATCACAGGATTGGATCTAAACGTTATGCGAATCTAAAGATGGTTACTGGCCATCAATTATCAAGGCAAGCAGCTTGATGAGTATTAAAATTGACAGGCATTAGCCAGAGATTACAATGTTTCAGTCCAGGTATTCTTGCATTGCTCCTTTACTGGATACGTTTCGAGAATCCCGATCGCAAAGATTCCTGTTGTATTATACCAACGATCATTCAAGTCATGTCCGGCCCGTATCTGTGCTCCGACGAGACGCTCAAACGCCACAGCTCTTCAGAAGGCTAGAATTGCATCGATCTTCGGCTACGTAGCTATCGAAATAGCAATCTGGCTCCTCGAACAAAGGGCCACCCTGGAGTGGGGACGAGGAGTTTCGAACAGCCGTTCATTTTTCTCGAATCCAGTTGGCATATCACAAACACACAATATGCATGCGATTCTGGGAAAGGTCGTTGAATTTTCTATCGCGTGCGAAGAGTGACTATCTCGGCAAGGGCCAAATCCAGCCTATTGTTCTCCATCGGTATCCTTATTCCGAACTAATTCCCAGTGCAACCCAGACCATAACCGCAAATCTGTAGTTGAATGATTAGCACAATATCCCCAGCCTCAAGTCGACCTTTCATACCCGAAGGAACTCCTCAAATATGCATTTATCGCTGGCTGCTTCCGCTCCACACATTCTTCAGCAGACCATCCCGTTGTGCCAATCTGTTCAAAGAATCATCTGACTCTCCCATCGCGCGGACGAAACCGCAGAGTGCGTAGACTTCGCTCTCGCCCGTAAGACGGCCATTCTCATCAACCTTTGCGACGGCGATTTGGACGGAGGCATGGTCCTTAGCCTTGATGATGCGGTTGGTGGCGCTGCATTTGCGGGGGACGTAGCTGTGAGATTCAAATGTTAACTTTTGACGATCTTCATCGCGATTTCGCAAAGCGCTGGGAAAGTTCCGGGGGGCTTACAGGTCGACGAGTTCACCCTTGTCGTTTTCCATATTGGCGGTATTTGTGACGGAGAGGAATTGAGGTCACTGGTGGTCGATGGAGGCTTGAAGGTTGTAGATTTGCGCGGAACGAGTATTTCGACGTCGTTTTTTCGTGGGGTGGAATTCAGGGCTAAGCGGCTTAAGCGAAGCAACCCGAGTCACGTGGCGAGGCGGTATTTTGGCGTCAACTCGGACCGTCGAACGCCCGCGATTTCCTCATTTGGACGACATAAACATTGATAGCACCAAGCACCAAGAGCCGTCTTGTCAACAAAATTATTATTCTTTACCAAACTCTAATGGGATGTGACAATTAACGGCAACTACAGTACATTACCGCCCCTTTCCGAGTTGCGCCTGGCTCAAGGCCCATTGGATGGCTTTCAAAATGGCGTCAGCGGACACCTTAATGCTGCCTTCTTCGCCTCTGAAGCAATTCGCAACATATAATATGTCCTCCTCACCCACGTTCCTGTCGCCAAACGAGATCTTCAAGCGCAACACCGCTGTTATGACCACTGGAGGTCGAAGTACACCAATTCCTCAACGCGATGTCGCCTCGTTTACTAGCACAGCAGCGCTGTTGAAGAAGTCCTCACTCGACGACCTCGAGTCCTCCGATTACTCTGGTCCCAATAACCACACATCCAACTATTTCAACGCCCCAAAACTTGCAAAATCCAAACTGAAGGCCTTGAGCGTGAGTGACGAACCGATTACCGAAATCGTCACGAAAGCCCAACGAAAGACAGCCCCCCCAAAGGCAGAAGACGATAATGATGCGCCAAAAGTCAAGAAGGTGCGGAAACCACGAGCGAAAAAGGCTGAGGAGTGCGAAGGCGGAATTGGCCCTGTGAAGAAAGCCCCTGTGCGCAAACCCCGGTTGAAGAAGGCGGAGAAGGAAACGACTGAGGATAGGCCCGGGAAAGAAAAGCCAGTACGAAAAGCAAGAACAAAAAAGTCGGAGGGTGCTTCTCAGACAAAGATACCAAAGGGCCAAGTCATAAAAGCCTCCGTTAGTACGACGTTGGGCAAGCATGATGGAACACCTAAATCGAAAGAGGCGGAATTAGTGCGGGTGATATCTCCCGACCCATTTTCAGATTCTCTTGATTATGGTTTAGCCATGGCAGTTAGCAGACGTACTGGCTGGACGCCGCCGTCGAATTTGGCCAAGGCAAATTTAATAAAGCAAGCCCCGACCCCTACAGAGCCAGGGCATGTTTTACCTGCATCAGTCGTGCCGGACGGCGAAAATAAAGGCTTCCATGACCTCTTCCATAGCTTTAGATTTGCCCAGAGCGGGGCTAAACCCGTCGGAACGAAGGAGTTGGATGGCGAGGGAACAAGAAAGCGGAAACTCATTGAGTTAGTTCAAACCACTGTATCATCAGCAACGGCAGCTGCCACTACACCGAAACCGAAAGCACCTAAGAAGAAACCTAGGACTATCACCGATCAAGCTACATCTGCTTATGCAGAAGAGCATGCGGAAAGCTTGCCTGGTGCTCCAGCACCACTGCTCCAATACTTGCCCTGCCAAATCAACGATAACGATACCAGCGATGCGTTCAAGATACCGCGAAAGCCACGTTCACAGCTTCCGCCCAAGAGAATTTCAAAGGCTAAGAAAGGAAGCGCCGAAGCCCCAATTCTACTTTCACCTGAATCAGCATTGAAGCAGGTTGGGCATCAAGATTTCGTATTTGGCACCTCCAGTCAACTTGCACGGGAGACTTCGCCAACTCTTCTCCGAGATTTACATGATGCGATGCAAGCTTCAAACCAAATCGACTACGACCCATTTACGGATTGGATGGATGAGCCAGCTTCCCCAGCTTCTCTGAAGCCCCCAGGAAGGACAGTATCGTCTGCCAAAAGAACTCTGTGGTCTGCCGGGGCGCGTGATGCCACTGGTAATTTGTTGGATGTGGAAGTAATTGACATCGTAGACTCGCCAATGGCCATGAAGGTAGATGATAAAAAAACAGCTAGGCCGAATAGTACCCGTTCTTTACCCGGCTCCGAAGAGATATGGCACGATATCGAGGATATTATCGAGTCCTTACCCGAAAATTCAGAACCTAGAGAGCCACCGCTTAAGGGTGCCTTTGCAGCGGAAACGGCAACCATACCGATAGTGTCGACTGATCCGCCGAAGAGTGCGACATCCAGGTTACAATCTACAAAGTCCGCACAAACATCCAAACCAAATGATGCGCCTCTTAGTGCCACTCAGTCATCCACCACATCTGCGAGACATGAAGATTACCAAATGCCAGATTTTGACTCCTACACCACTATTCAATTAACAAAGGAGCTAGCATCATATCGCTTTAAACCTGTGAAGCGCCGTGAACAAATGATTACACTGCTTGAAAAGTGTTGGGAAAGTAAAACTAGGACAGCTCTGGGATCCTTGGGGCTCAACGCCGCGCCCTTGTCTCCAACCAAGCCAGTAATGACGATACCTCCGCCATCCAGCCAGGTCAGCCCTGAGTCCCCAAAGCGGCCTCGAGGCAAGCCAAAAAGTAACAGCGCCGTAACTACTGCAGTTTCAGCTACCCAGTCGAAGACAAAAGGAAAGGTTGGCCGACCAAAGGCAACGGAGAAAACAAAAGCTCCTGACTTAAATAGCGATGTACCACTATCAAGACCTCGAACACCCAAAAAGTCAAAATCGACAGCTAGCCGACCTATCGATGAAATCTATGACTCCGATCCACCAACACCATCACCGCCTCGCCGCCGACCCTCTCAAATAGGATCACAGTTGCCTCTTAAACTCTCGAGTACTGTTGACGGCGATGTTGCGGCCCTCACGCCGGAGTCATCACAAGCGCCACTTTTCACACACATAACCCGTGCAATCAAAATTTCCCCACGTTCGAAAGATCCCCTGAAGCCGAGCTGGCAAGAGAAAATACTACTATTTGACCCTATTGTAGTTGAAGATCTATCGACGTGGCTGAACACCGGCGCCTTAGAAAAGGTGGGTTGGGATGGAGAGGTGAATCCAAAGGAAGTAAAGCAATGGTGTGCTAGTAAGAGCATATGCTGTCTGTGGAAGGAGAATCTGCGTGGCGCTACCAGAAGTCATATGTGATTATGGCCGTGACTGTGTTGGATATTATATCGCTGGTTATATTGGATTGTACATAACCAGCCGCACTGAGAGCCTTAAGAGTAGGTCTTCTAGCCCGCAGCAATCTACCTATATCCTTTATACAAAATGGCAAGTTCTAATCTGTATCGCCCCAGCGCAATGCTGCACCCTCCTATGTACAAAATCTATAGAGGGAAGAGGCTAAGTCTAAAGCTTTACCTTCGCCGCGGCTCTTTCCTCCTCTAAAACCTCTTCCTTCATTCTCACCTCCACATCCCTTGGCCCATTTTTACCAAACTTCACAAGAACAACTCTCTTCTCATCTCCCCTCCTCTTACTTCCTTTCAGTTCCGGTCCAGGCTTATCAAGAGCAAGTACACTCCGCCCATCACTCTTCCTAAGCATCAATCCCACCGGACTCATCACTTTATCCGCCCACTTCACCCCTTTGCCATCGCCATCCGTTTCAAGGAACTCCATCACGGCAGAGCGCTGCGCTTGTAGCTCAGTGGTTGACAGAGGCGCACTCGAAGGTGTGAGGAACGTGCACAGGAGATGTATTAGGTAGAACTGTGGCGGGAAAAGTATTATCTCGTTCCTTGTTGCGAGGTCGAGCCAGCGCGTACAGGGTGCGAAGAGCGCTGTAGTGTGCTCGAGACCGCCGTCGGAAGTTGGGACGTGGATTACTGTTTTGGCGGCCGGGGATGATTGAGTGAGCGGGAGGAAGTAGACGTACATCTGGGTTGTGAAGCGTTTGGGGAGGTTGGCGGGCGTGACCCAACGGGTGAAGGGGATTAGGGAGTCTGGGTTTAGAGTCAGTGATTAACTCAAATTAAAAGAATCGTCAATGATAATGATAGAAATGGGATAGGGGAAGGGTAGTTATTATACCAGAATCAACAACTCCTCCTATTGACTCGACCCATTCTGCGAATTTTAATTTCCCAGCATGAATCGCCTTCCTAGCTTTATCTCTCGTTTCCGCATCAACTTCTAACAAATCTCCACTCTGGTCGCCCTTCTTCTTCACTAATAAAAGCCCACTTTCCTCGAAGCATTCCCTAATGGCACCAAGTCTATATGCAGGGCCATCAACATGCCGTTGCTTGTCATCTGGCAGGGGAATCTCCCCGTCTTGCGACGAAGAGAGGTTACCGCCGGGGAAGACGTGTGCGGATGCGAAGGAGCTGGAGTTTTGGACCCGGCGGAGGAGCAAGATTTCATTGGTGGGGGATATGAGGAGGATACTAATGATTGAGTGTTAGAATAGTGATTTGAGCATAAGAAGACGCCAAGTAGAAATAGGAGGGGAAGGGGGGGGGNGGGGGGGAGAACTGTACATGCCTTGAACTGGGACGCGGTTCTGGGGATTGTTTCTTTGGTGAAGGTTTCGAGGACATGTATTGCTTCTCCAGCTCTGGGCGTGGCGACGGGGCCATGGCTGCTGCTACCTGGCGGCTACTGGACGATGTATCTGAGGTGCTTGCAGCTCTGGAATTTCGAGGAATTGTAACCGATTGGTAGCTTTGGGCTTGGATGTGAATAAGCTTATTGCAATCTGCGCCTGCCAAGTTCCGGATCACGGTGGCGATTGGAGGATGAGAGAATAATATAAAACCAGCTTTAGGGAGGCCTCTTGTAAGGTGAGGAGACAAATGATTGAGTAACATTGGCTGGCATTTAAACAATCGAGCAATGGCAATAATCTTATACTCGATGTCTGTGGTTTTGGATAAGCGGTAGGGATAGCAGTAAGGGTCCGTCTCTAAGCGGGGGTCTTAATCTGTGCCGAAATCTGGGGAAGCCGAGGTTCGAGTCCGCCCCTGTCAGCCTGTGAAGGCAATACGGGTCCCGTAGCACCGGTACTGTACATGAACCACCGTTTAGCGTTGTCACTAAATACCTAGGTAAGCAGGTTGGCCTAAAGTGCCTAGGTATCTAGGTACCTATTTATAGTCCCTGCTCTTTTTAATATTATGGTTCTTAAGCTTCTACGAAGGTACAGCGGTTAAGTATTCGTATAGCACTAGCAGGGGTCAACCCAAAGCTACGAAAACAACACTTTGTAACTTTTGCAAACCACAACTAWTTTTTTTTGTTTCAACACTAGCATAGTCCTCATTAGAAGGATAGAGTGCTTACAATTTTTCTCGATTTTCCTATGTGTTGTGGTTGCGATGCAGGGTTGAGATGTTCGGACCCCTGCTAGCGCTATACGAATACTTCACCACTGTACCTTCGTAAGGAGAGATCCATGCCTACGTACATCACAGGGATCTAGTGCAATTTACGCCAGCATCCGGAGATTAAGTATTTAGAATAAACTCTCATCAACGTCAACGGTACTACAATACGTAGTTCTCCCAGTCACCAGAACTCCTAAGACTGCCAGCTCTCATTCTCATACACCCATTATAGGCCAGGATGGGCTCTAATGACATTCCGCCTGCCTCTGTCCACTCAAGTTATGTCCCCATAACAAATGGCCTCCTCCAAGTCGGCGGTACTCTCTGGACAATATGCTACGTCCTTCTAACCCGCGAATCTTTCCGCTCTCGTTCCTACGGCATGCCTATCTTCGCCCTGGCCTTTAACTTCGCCTGGGAAATTGTGTACGCATTATGGGTTGCTGAAGCCCCGCTCGAGAGAATTGTCTTTGGAATCTGGTGCATTCTAGACTGCGGTATGGTTTGGGGCGCTGCCAAGTACGGTTCCTATGAGTGGAGACATGCTCCCTTAATTGGACGGAACCTGGGAAAGATCATTGTTGCCATGGTGGTGTATTGCGCGGTGGCCCATTGGGCATTTGCGAAATGGTGGATCGACAATGATATTGGGCAGCGGGAGGGGAAATATTATTTTGGGAGGGTAGGACCAGATACGACCGAGCTGGGTTTTTGGACTGCGGCACTTGCTCAGGCTTACCTATCAGCGGCGAGTCTGGGACAATTGATAATTAGACAACATACTGGGGGCGTGACTTGGGCTATTTGGTAAGCTCTCTGGTTTTTATGTTAGAATCTTAGCATGCTGACGCACTTGTAGGGCTTCTAGAACGGCAGGTTCGGTGATTGGGCTGTATGTGAATTATGGCTGGATGTGGTACTTCTGGAGGGAAGCTCATGAGTACTTCATGTCGCCGTTCGGTATATTTCTTTGGGGAACTGGGCTAATCTGCGACTTGATATATCCCTTTGTGTTTGCCCAGGTCAGGAGAACAGAGAGAGTATTGCTAGATGGGAGCAGACTTGCTGGCCAGGAGGCCTCTAGTGGGAAAACCCAGTAATGTGGTATATAATATCATCCAATTTGTACCAAGTCCAGCATGGGTGATTCAGACGAGTGCAAAGGATCGAACAAGCGAAAGCGAAGATCTGACTGTAAAACCCAGTAATGTGGTATGTAATATCATCTGGTTATACCAAGTCTGGTATGGAAATTTTTAGACGAGAGCAAAGGATTGAACGAGTGAAAGCGAAGATCTGACCATGTAGTTTGAGGGTTGACAAATGACCTACAATTGACAGACCTGCTCCCTATAGCAGTATACCTGCAATCCATGCCCCCTAAAAGACCCCCAGATATGCCCAATATGATATGCGCCTTATCCTTAAACGCCAGCCAATGCAACCCGGAACTCCCATCACTCCTCCTCCGGATATAATTCCTCCACATTGCAGAATTCTACATGGAATTCTGGTGTCTCTACATCGTCACTATTCACAAAAGTGAATGCGACCATACCTCCATCCTTCAAACCTAGACTCTTCGGGCTTTCTTTGTTGCCACCACCCGGGGTGTTGTCAAGCTCTGTCCAACCTCTGCTGGGGTCGTAGGCATCGACGAGTGCGCCGAGAGCGACATCTTGAATTGATTCAGGGATCTTTTCTGGTGCAGGGGAGTCGCTTCGAGGAAGGCCATTGGGATAGACTTCTCGGAGGGCTTCCAGGAGATCGGTTTTTATTTGCGAGAGGGGAGTAAGCGGCTCGGCGCAAAGGAGGATTGTGTGTTTCCCATGTTTGAATCGGAGGGTCCAAGCTGTATGTTGGATACTGTCTCTAGCCTAGGAGCAGACGTGGTTAGTGAGGGGTAAGATACAGTACCTCCCCCAGGACGACCATACCATTTTGATCGTAGAGATTTATCGCAATCGTTAATTGAAGTTCCGTTACAGAATCGGATCGCAAATTTGAAGTTTGAAGCTTCAAGTTTGAACAGAGCTTTACCTGTGTACGTAGGAAGAATCGCTGCACGGAGAGACGCAAGGCAGGAAATAAAATGTGAAGTGTAAGCTGGCGACGCGATTTGGAGATGTCAAAGTAGTCTCGAGGCTCGATGTAGCCTGGGAGGGGGCAGCGCTGGCGAATAGCCTGGAAATCGGAATCAGGCGCGAAACGCGGTGTCACATGATCAACCCCCCCCTGCTGGCCCGTGAACATCAACCTCAGCCTCCTCCAAATCCAACATCCAATTCACAGCACCATTGAAGACACCATGGCGAGCGCATCGGACGAAGATTACCTCGAAACAGAGAAACGCATGGCGGAGGAGCGAGCGCGATGGAAAGCAGAACAAATCAGGCTGCTACGGCTTGACTCTCGTGCATCTCTGCCTTTCGGCATGAGACTTCCTCTGGCCACCACCCTCTCTTGCCTGGCGGGCATGGGTTTGGGCTTAACTTATGGAAGCAAAACAGCTGGATTCAAATTCCGAGCTGAGAATGCCCATCGACTTCCTACGTCTTCAACGGGGTGGTACCTCTATCACAAAAGCAAGAACTACCACATGGCTCTGGGCGGTGTCAAGGAAGGCATCAAGCTGGGAGCCAAGCTTAGTTTTTGGACGGCGGGATTCTTCAGCATCGAGGAAATGTTCGACCGATATAGGGGGACCAGGGATTTCTTCAACACTGTCATCGCCAGTTTAGCTGTCGCTGGAGGATTCAGCCTATGGAGTATGCTTTGCTCTCACAAACCCCCCTCCCCCCAAACCCCAACCTCTGCTTCGACCACTAATGCGCAACAGACCGCTTTCCCATCCAAACAGCTGCGAAAACGGCGAAGACTGGATTGGCTATTGGGCTAGCCTATGGATTAGCACAGGATGCTTTGGGGGTTGCTAAAGGGCGAGGGCCGAGCTATGTGGATTTCATCCTCCGGAGAGGCCGCCGCACAAGTAAAGCCGACGTGGAACAGGACGGAGCCGTTTGATTGATCACGATATAAGGAATAATATTACCCGAGTAGGCAGTCCGCATAGTCCACAGCGCAGGACTGGCCTTCCAAACAAAGCGTCGCGCCATCTGATCGTCACCACCCGGCTTCCGTCGGGTTAAGGAGATAAGAGAGCTTGACATAAAATACTCCGATAACGAAACAGCGATTGAACCCCGCCACAGAGTCGAAAGACAATAATTACGCAACGCCGAAGTCGCTGCGTTATCTATGTATAAATAGTTATATAGGTATGGAAGTACCTTTCAATTCAGTCAATGTCATCGACGTCTCGTTGCGCTTTGTTGTTGTTGTTCACTGCAAACTACTCCGGACAACTCCACCTGATTCGCTGGTCACCTCGGGATGACGGGATCAACAAAGACGTTGCTCGTCTTCCGGAACAGGAAACCATACACAAGAGTTCCTTCCAGTGTTCGCAACCTCTCCTCTCGAAATCGCCCTCATCGCTCATCCTTTGCTCCTAATCATGTTTCCACAACGAAAAAGGCCTCCTTATCACGACCTTTTCTTGTGTACCACCCTGAACCCCATCTACCAATGCCCAATCCAGCGTCCCTATCAATCCTTCCCCTCAGCTCAATCGTCAGATCGCTGGCGATAACGTCGCTTTCTTCGTCACGGGTTAGTACAACCCCCATGCCGCGTTTAAACAAGATGCCAACTCTTTCTAGATGCTTTTCCCTCCGCTCCTTGTTATTACCTCTAAACTCGCTCATACACAATTTCGCATTCTATCCCCCGACTCGAATCCCCTCCTGCGATATGTCATCAGAAAAACTTTCTACCACCAGTTTTGTGCTGGAGAAAATGCAGTAGAGGTCAAGAAAACAATCGATGGCTTAAAAACACTGGGATACAAAGGTGTCATATTGGGATATGCAAAAGAGGTTGTGATGGATGAGAAACAAACAAATAACCTATCGTCATGTGGTGACCCAGAGGTTGCAGAACAATGTATACGGAATGAAATCATTCCATGGGCACAAGGCACTCTAGCCACTGTCAAGCTCACTTCTCCCGGGGACTTCATTGCCCTGAAATTCACCGGGGCCGGCAGTCAAGCGCTTTACGATCTGACACGGAAAACCGGCCCATCCGCTGCCCTCAGAGAAGCAATTGATTCCATCTGTGACCTTGCTGCTGCTCGCGGGGTACGATTACTATTTGATGCAGAACAACAAGCAGTCCAAGCTGGTATCGATGCATGGACTCTCGAGTACATGCGGAAATACAACAATAACGTCCCTGGCAAAGCTGTGGTCTACGGTACTTATCAGGCTTATCTCAAAGCCACGCCTTCAGTACTGAGTTCTCATTTGGCTACAGCTCGGAGAGAAGGATTTACCCTGGGCATCAAATTGGTCAGAGGCGCATACTTAGGTTCTGATCCAAGGGATCGCATCCATGACACCAAACTGGATACGGACAACGCATATAATGGTATTGCGGAAAGTGTTGTACGGAGATCATACGGACCGATATTAAGACCCACGGAAGGAGAAACCGAATTCCCTTCAGTGAACCTTGTCTTAGCCAGCCACAACCACGAATCCGTCCGCAAAATCCAAGCTGTCCGAACTGCACAAGTTCAAAATGGAGAGGAGCAAATTGATTTGGTTTACGCGCAATTGCAAGGCATGGCAGACGAGGTCAGCTGTGAACTTGTGCATGAAGGACGAGCTAACAAAGAAGGGGCGAAGGTGGATATACCGAAAGCTTACAAGTATTTAGTTTGGGGCACCACTGGCGAGTGCATGAAGTATCTGCTTAGGAGAGCTCAGGAGAACAAGGAAGCTGTCCAGAGGACTAGGGATGGTAGGAATGCTATAGCTACGGAGTTGGTGCGACGCGTTAGAAAGTTTTTGGGATTAGCGTCGTGATGCTTGGGTTAATTGGCTTTGATAGAGCGTAATGATTCATGATTCAGATGATAGTTATACCACTCTGCATCTCTTATAGGGGATATTAATACAAATTCTTCATTAGACTTCTGGCACTTTAGAGAATTGGCTGATATGATGTACACGGGTAGATTGATGATCTGTTAGTTAATAGGCCTTTATAGCCAGCGTAAGATGCTTTGTTGAAGGAAGGTAGATCTGCGCTCTAGCAGCGGTTGAATATCTGAGTAGACGATTTGTTAGGATAATGGAAATGGGGACTTGGGGCTGGAGACATAGATAGAGCAGTATCAAGGTGATAACATGCTATTTCAGCATTATTAAAATATACACCCTACAATGCTTATCTAACAGTATCATCCCCATCTCTCCTCCCTCCAAACCTGCCGCCAATCCCCCCAAACCCACTCATATCCCTCCTAAAGAACTTTCCAATGCTCTTTAAATTACCCTCCACGGCCGCCTTAGCCTCATCGCTCAGCGGGCTCGATACTCTATCTCCTGCACCGGTCCCCGTTCCCATCCTCTCAACCCCATCCCTCGCTGCACTAATCAGTTTCTCCCCGAACCCAGCAGGATCAAATCTCGTATTGAGATTTTGAATTCCGGATCCGCCGAGTGCTGAAGAGGGGTTTATCCCGAGCCCAGCACTGCCCATTCCGGTGGAATTCATGAGGGGTGTCAGGAGGGGACTCATTTGTACGAGTTGCTCATTACTCTTTCCATCTCTGTGGATGCCAAAGAGTTCTACTAGTGAGGGTTGGTCTTGTTTTCGAACCCCTTTTAGGTCGAGGATTTTGCGGAAGTTCGTGTCGGATCGATCGCCTATGTGGATTAGGTATGCCTGGACTAGACCTTCTGCGGGTGAGGGACGGACTTGGAGGGTTTTGAGGAGGGGGTCGAGACGCGTCATGCTGTGGTTGACGCGTTTGACGAAGCCGGCTTGGGTTGTGGTTGATGCGGAGGCGGAGGGTGAGTGGGAGAGGAGGTTGGAAAGCTCTTTTGTTAGGACATATTTATCGAGCAACATCTTAAAATGGAAAGTTAGAATGATCTGATGAGATAGGGAGATAGGGAGATAGGGAGAAGGGGCTCTTACCTGCTCAGCGCCAACCTCGGAGACGGGCCGGCATTGAACGATATTCGCAATATACGTAGTTGCTAGGTATTCGACAGTATTGTCACAGAAAGCCCGAGCATATTGCTGCTTGCTAACCAGGGGCAGTATTTCCTTGGCCTGGGTTTCAACTTGCCTCAACAGCTCGCCAACATAGGAGCTTTGATCTCCTACACTTTCCATTTTGCTCCAGTTTGTATTTCTCATTTCTCGCCATGATCCATCGCAAGCAATTTCAACTTTGTGCACCAATGCCAACACCGCGGCGCTAGCAACGCCCATGAAGGCGTCAGATTGTGAAGATAGATCAACCTTCGAGGCCAGCTCGCTGTCGATACGCTTCTTTATATTGTCTTCGAGTTGCTGGGTATTGATATGCCAGTAATCTGCTGTATTCAAGACAAGTATGATATTCTCGAGCGGTGGGCCACCGGGTATCTGTAAGAAGAACAGAAGTACCTGCTGAGCGTATTCATCTAGATACTTGGCAAGGGTCCTAGAGAGATCGAGTAGCCGTTCACCTGTGGAGAGCTTGGCGCACTGCGATAGCGTGATTTTATAGAAATGAAAGAGTTCGATCGATGACGATATCACAGCTTGAGGTGAAAATTCCTCATCATCAGGGAGCAGAGGTTGGCTACGATATTTCGGGATCATCGTTGCCAACTGCTTGTCCTGGGAGTCAACCCAAAGACTGAGGTACGGCTCGAACGCCTCAGATATGGACCGATCGAACGTTTGAGGCTTATCCTCCATTGAGCTGAGCGTATCTATGCTTGCTCTGGGATCCCCTGCGAATCTCTTCTCCAGACTCTGTTCAAAGTCCATGGTCTCCTGCAAACAGCTCAACAATAAGTTGACGTCAATTTTGGCGCCATCCGACCGTCTCATGCTTCTCTCCAAGATCCCTTTGAAGTCATCTCTTGTCCCTTCACAGAAGGAATTGGCGAGCACTTCATTGACTCTCCACTGCACTGGAAATATACCTGCATGCTCGTCCTCGTATGTCTTGAGCATCCGTCGAAACCAACTATAGCGTCGTCCGATGTTATCCAAACTACCAGCCTCATCATTGCCTCTGAAGACTTGTCTGTATTCCCTCAATTGCGTATTGACATACCACGTCACCAACCTAGCCCTAGCATTATCACCCAACGCATCCATAACCAAGCATGATTCTGCTAATATGCCCTTCTTACTGGCTACTTCTCCTTTCGCAAATGCCATCTCGAAATCCTCGCAGACTTGCTCCAGCAGTTCCCGCTGCAGCTCTGCCACATTTCGGCTTAACGTAGCAATCTGATCAATGCTGCGATAGCTGTTGAAATGCCGCATAAGTTGTAACACTGCCTGAAGCAAGCTTGCGCAGTCTCTATATTGCCTCGTCTTCGCCAAACCCCGTAGTTGTTCGTATGCCGTAGTGAGCATCTGTAAGCGCTTCAACGCGGTCATCGATAGCGTTAGGTTCCTTTTGGTGTCATCCAGGCGCTTGATATCCGCGGTCATAGAGGTGATTGTCTGCTCCGTTTCGATCGCTCGAGTACGAACCGACTCAATCTTTCGAAATAGTTGGGCAAGTTCTTTTTTGGCAGACTGCATGCGCTGCAGGCTGGAGTCGTCGCTGACGGCTTGGGAGGCCACGATGCTGGAGATGGACGTCGAGAGGTCATCTTGGTGGGTTTGGAGGGCTGCTGCGGTTTGGTTTATGGATTGTAATGTCGAAGGATGGGAGAATATTGTGTTAAGATGCTCAATTGGGTCGTAATCCACTGCAAAGTCAAAGTATCAGCATATAAATGCATATGAATGCCGCGATGCCAGCTCGGGGTAGGATGTTGACCTTACCAGCATCTAAAGACGACGATGCTGCCGAAGTGCCGTTCATGGTCGCTTTGTAGCACTACAGCACAATAATATACGGCGACATTCACAAGTGCACCTGAACCTTAGTCCTGAGGTTCTTAAAGCTGTGAGAGCTGTAGAATGGTGCTCCCCTATAGAGTATGTTGTCGCTTGTCCATACTCGTATAGCTCGAGTATACTCGAGTATACATCCGGCTGATCCTCGGGAATTAAATTATGGTGGGACATCACGTAGAAGTACATAGCACAGCAATACCACCAGCGAGTCCTCAAGAGATAAATACATTAAAAAGTTTTGATATTAAGAGTAAGTCATATATAAAGTTTTCCTTTTTTGACCATCGTCGTCTCTTCCATCCTTGCGAAAGCCAGTCGCCCAACTTGCCCCCTGGTTGCCTCTTCAGCTACATCCCCAAGCCGGACTTTGACGTCCTTGACTAGTCTCGCTTTATCCATACCATCCATATTGACGCCCACATCCGGCATCCTTATATACGGACTCTCCTTTGCCAAACTAGAAACATATCCCAGATAATCGGGGACAGTTGTCCTCCTCGAAAATATGATACCAACAACTGCGGCTAACTGCATTATCATTGTGGATATGAGAAAGATGACCAGCCATGGATAAAACACAAAGTAGACCTGCTTATTGGTTTCCAAAGTTGCCGGCACTGCAAACGCAGCAGTTTGATTTTGGAGCATGGCCGTGAGATCCGCGGTTGATTCCGCGACAACAACGCTTGCATTGTTGCCACCGACAGGGCTTGCTCGGATGCCGTCGAAGGAAGCTCCTACAATATAAGGGGTAGAATTCCACATGCTTCCATACAAGTATGCGTTTAGTAATTGGCCAAATCGAAGAGAGAACTCTTCCGGAGAGACGCTCATAAGCGGAGTTTGGCCATCATTCGCGCCAAGTGACGTTTCGCTTGCAATTATCGAAGATCCAGTAGAGGGGTCGTAGATGAAGTTTTGGATCAGATTCACGGCAGTAAACTGAGGCGTACAATCGGGCAATAATTTCGAAAGCCCCATTGCAACCCCAGGAAAACTGAGCGGGGTTACAGCGGACGACATATGGGGAAGAAGGGACGGGCGCTGAGCAGTGACACGGCAGATCTGCGAACTCGATGTTTTAACGCAATCGATAGTGGATTCGACATATTGTTGAGATGGCACACAAGAGATGGACGTTATATTATCCAGGCCCTCGTATTCCTGAAAGAGAAGTGTTCCGGGCTCAAATGCCTTTGAGCTATAACTCGGGGGTAAACAGTCCGGACAAGCCTTTGGATATGTGAAAGGGGTGTCATCGTTTTCATCATAGGCTGCCACGTCTGGTCCCTGGTAGCCAATGGCCCAAGGCGTGTTCAACGAAACATTTTGAAAACTCTTAAAGGGGCCATCGGGGGATATAAGATCTGTTTTGCTGCCCGGTCCAGGTAACTGGGCAGATACACTCATGTTACCACAATTTAGTTCTAGGTGTGTCGACTCGACTTTCAATGTGGTATTTCCATTGCGAAGCCCTGAGAGTGGAAGTCCAAATAGGGAAGAATATATGGGTGTAAAGTTTCCCGATGGAATTTTAGTCCACCCATCTTTATCTGTTTCGGCACCGGAGGACAAAACACTAGATTGATACGGAATCTTGACATTACCCCAGACATCCATGGTGCTCGCTTTCACTTCCGGCGTTGAAAGCAATGCTGACCCAAAAAGAACCGCAAATCCTGCGAACCATTGGTTCTGAAATGCGCCAGTTGGGGATGAGAAGCTCTGTTGCCTAGAATTGATATAGGATACAGCTGTGTCCGTGGAGACCTGTTTCGCTGGAGTTGATAGGATGTGCAACACAGATTGGCCACCAATTGGTTCGAGGGACCATATGATAATTAGCACTAGACCGATTGCGTTGAATGACCGTAGTTGATATTGAGTAGTAAAAGCGGTGGCAATCGTGCGACTACCCATTAACTGTTCCAACGTACCAAGCGTCGTTCCTTGCTCAAGTTTCCATGTTGCGTATTTCACGGCTGCTCTGCCAGTAGTAGCCGCGAAGAAGATTGGGAAGACAGTAGTTGCCTAGGAGGTACTAATTAGAAGAGGGTTTAAATTATGGAGCGATTATACTTGCTCCTTTGATAGCATGATCCAACAGAGATGCTTGTTTAGCATCCACAGCTCTGCCATCCACAGCTATTACAAAAGCCATGAGAATAAAGAATGGCAGGGGCAGCATGAGCATTATGAAATCGATTATCGAGTCCAACCACCTCCATTCTTTAAGGCCTTTGCGGAGTGGTTGCGGGCGAGCTGGCCATGGCTTTGTGTGCAAACTTTCTGGACTTGTTACCACTGGACTCAACTTGTCCGAGACATTATTAGAATTTCCAAACATAAACTCATTTCGTAAGGAGCTTGATGGGGACTCTGACCCGGAAGCCACAGGTCCAGTCCGTAGCTTAGGTTTGTCTGTCATTCCAACAACCGACGCATGGTCGAGATTTGAGAAATCCAACGTCGTGAAGCTGTGCAATGTTGGAAAAATGAAATTGATCGAACCCAGGGATAGTCTTCGTTTTAGAGATCAATTCTCTCAGATATCCCCTTGGCCGTCACATACCACGCACATGCATCTCTAGGCGGGATATGCTGGTCACACATCACGACAGACCGAGCGTGGTACACAGACAGCCCAAGGCATATGGGGGTGGATGTAGGGAAGCTACCCGTGCCTCTGAAACACCTAAACGATCCGCAGCCGTGGGGTATCCCTTTTGCTTCGGGAAGTTGAGCATTTGAGCTCAACAGACCTCAGCGCATCGAGAAAATAGGAAAGCTATACACGCAAACCCCCCAATCGACAAACTTGTAAAGACATTTGAAAGGGAACAAATTTCGCGCTGGCTGCTACTATTACGACTTCTATAATTGAGAGAAAGGCAGATGAGATTAGCAAGATAATCATACATAGACTCCCATATCATTCCAAAAGTCGGGAGGGAGGTAGCATAGCTCGACGATGGCTCGGACACTAGGCTGAGCATCATCCGAAACACCAAATGTGTTGCACCCTCCATACCATTAACGTGTGTAGATCTGCCGACCCCGATGTCGACTCCAACAAGGGGCGCATGGCTAATAAGTCTAACATTATCCGTTCGTCGCATAAGTGTCAGTGAGGGCCTAAGATGGTATGCAGCTATCTCGTTTTAGATGTTGCAAGGCATCGAAAGGAAGCGCCCAATTGTGACCAACACGCCTCAGGGGCCAAAGCACAATGTTGCGTCAAAGTCGCTGCGCAAAGCTTAACAGCGTTGTGCCCGTTGCGCCTGGGCTATTAAGCACGTACAGTACGTAGTACTCGAACCGTAATGTGGCAGTGCCATGAAACGATGAAATGAATCGATGCCTGGAGGATGAAGAACGATGAAGACTGGCTGGAAGATTCATGCTATGAAACATAAGATGCAGTTGGTGGAAGTTACTTAAGTTTCCGATTCGGAGAGTGGCGGGCGTGCACGATCACGTGTGGATGGGTGATTTGCGCAACTCACGTGCCCAACTCTTTTCTGGATTTGCTGCTTCGTGGTGTCTTGAGCTGCCTCCTCCAAAGTATCAAGATGTATCGTGTTAGAATGTTCACAAGCCTTTCTTGCGAGATCAAATACCAAATCCACCGAATACGTTGTTATACCCCATAGCCGTATCATGAGCGAAGACTACGACCTTACCTTCAGACATTCGGATCTGGAACAACTAATCTGAGCGGACATTTCACTGCTATTGATGAAGTAGGTCCGTTACGTAGGTGGTATCTCGTTTTCATTCTGGCTACTACAGTTTTAGCAGCAATTTATTCTTGGAATTCGATAAACCCTACCCAAGGTGGTCAGAAGTTTAATGTCGACAAAGTTGTCATCATCGAGTCTGCACGGTTTGAGCGACAAGCAACCAGAAACAACTCGTTTCATGTTCTGTGTTATTTATATTAAAATTCACCCGTACTATTCCCTTCAAGCATCGGAAACAGTCTCAGGCTTGTAGCTATCAATCGTCCCCCACAGCTCCTAAACAACTCAGCCACCACTGAGCCAACACCTACGCGCCCACAAAGCCTAATAATCCTTCGAATTCATCTACAAACCTTATCAACACGGCAACAAATTTCGCATCTATGAGAAATTTACCCCACAATATGCAACTGCCGACTAAGACCAGGTTATAAATGAGATAGCTTCTTGGTGCGGTAGATTTTCCGCGAAGGCTAAATCGCCATGCCCTCCCTATCATCGCGTTTAGCGAACAAATACAGCCTTTCCATCCATTCAACGACCATAAACTAGATATATACCCGAAATGATTACAATAGCCGGTCTTTTAACTTTGAGATCTGTTCATGGGACGGATTAATTATCTGTGATTGCGGGGAAGTCCCGGCGAATAAGTAAAATGTTATTTCTTTCCGTCGTCCCTCGATGTATTTTCTTCCTCAGCTACTAGATATTTTCAAGTTAAAATCGCAGCAATGAAGTTTCTCTCTGTTCTCATTCCGCTGGCTTTGTTAAGCTCCCAGACTGTCCATGCTGCGAACTGGTATTTTCTCCGCTGGAATACGCCAAGTAGTTCAGCTCAATTTCAAAAGGTAACAATTATCATTATTCCTCCCTAGGCATATACAATCCGTTAACTCAAGATCAGTTCTCCATGCAAATGGTAACCCCAACAATACAAAAGGCTGGGGTTTATTATCTATGGCCCGGACTTCAGGATACAGGCAATACAGGAGTATATCAAGAGGTCCTTGACGGGCGATCAGGGACGTGGTGGATTGGGCCGGGTTGGTGTTGCAGGTTCGTTGTTATCCATTTTGTCTGCAACATCTAAGCTTGTTTGCTCTGGGGCACTGTAATCCTCAAATGTATATACTAATAAATCATAACAGCAATCCCAGTCTTCCCTGGGGCGACGGTTTCAATGTAAGCTCCCCAGTGGCCCCATTGCATCCACAAGCATAGCACTGACCCAAAACGTAGCCCGGAAATGGAAAAGCCGTCGATATAACCATGACGCGCGATGCAAGCGGCCCGAATTGGACATCTATACTCACATCGGGAAGTAACTCAGTGACGAATAAATTTCCACTTTCGTATAAGAACTTCAACCAGGTATGTTATGGCTATATATATCACGGCAGCCACAGAGATGCATGAAGGAAAATTGGAAAGAGGGACGACGGTTAAGAGGCTGATTTGAAATGTAGGCTATCCTCGCTATAGAACTCACAGGCGTATCCTGGGATTTTGGGAAACTGGTTTGGAATAATGTTGTCATGGCAAGTTCTCCCTCCTTATTTCCCTTCATCCCTCCACATGTTCTAACACACAATCCCCAAATATAGGTAATGAACACTACCCAAACCGCCTGGTGTACAAAGTGAGTTTTCCCCCTATATATCACCCAATAATCACCAACTGACATGTTTTGTGAAAAGCGCGCCTGAGAATTACAACAACGCAATGAGATACACAATTTCCGGTGCGAAAGCTACGGTTTCAGGGGGGACGACTACGTGTCAAATTGACCAGGTTGTCATGGAGGGGCCGAGGTGAGGAAGCCGGGTTACTCGCTGCTTGGGCGTAGTTGAGAAGGCATGGAGATCAACTGTGCAAGTTAGGAGATTAAATTCATAAAACAGAACCGCGTCACGAGCTTGGGCTATAGCACGATATAGGAAATTCAAACTCAGCTCTTATGACCGTTCTTACTATCAAATTCTTACCTGTTTCAAGCCGGACACATACATACTCTACTTTGGTCCTCGCACCTTTGACTTCAAGTCGGGCTCTTTCACTACCTTGATGAGGTTTCTAAATAGCTACCCCGGTTGAAACCTCGAGCTTAGTGAGCATACAGCTTATACCTACTAACTAGTTTTAAAGCTGTCACTCACCCTGCAAACTGTCATGTAATTCCACGACTGTTAGTTATTTAAAAGTTGTCAAAAGACATACCTAAAATATATTGTGAATTTTCAGTATGCTAAGCATATTGCACCTACAGTATCTCTAGGAATAATCCGCACCGTGGCGGGGTTTATTCAAGTATACTCGACCATGTTTTCCAACGAGAAGGACTTACTTTAAATAGTAGTAATAAGAATATGAGCCAGGGTGAAGATTATTATATTTAAGACTGCCTCAGTATTCGTGTCTGCTAATAATTATCTCGCAAGGATGGAGTATCTAACCTCCAACATCCATCTAATCGCATCGAAGACTACTGTCACGATCGCCAGTAGGCATAGCGTCATAAGTCGCCCAACCCCGCACCACTATCTACCCAAAGCCTTCAACTCTAAATATCTCAAAGGCAAATACACAATACCAGCCCACGCAAATCCAACATAAAGGCCCATATCCACACCATAATCACCAACAGTTTTAGCGAGAGGGCCAATAAAGTACGCCTGTGCCATAGAGAGAACAGCGCCTACCCAGCCAACACAAAATGCTACAAATGCGGCGAGTCCGATGGGAAGTTTGTCTTGCTTATCCCAGTCGCTCCAGATGAATTTCGGATATGCGTTGCGGCGGAAAATGAATTCTTCTTCGAGGGTTATGACGATCCAGAGGACGACCCCTGAAACGTGCGTTAATATGTGATAAAATAGTCAATGATTGAAGGGAGTTGGGCGTTCTTACAGTAACCCATCAAAGCCAAGAAATTTGTGAAGATCTCAGATAGATGGTCTCGCCCTGCTAGACCACAGACAGTGAAGATTATAACCCCGAGGGTATTCCATACGAATCTGGGTACCATTGCCGGATACCTTCCCAAGATTTGGAAATCGATCCCGGAGGAGTATACCGGCGCTATCATGTTGGCAATCAAACCGAGCGCAACGATAACGGAGCAGAACTTTCCAAACCCACCGAGTCCATCAAATCCAGCGGCGACGAGCGCACCGCTGCCTGCACCAGCAGCTTCCCAAGTAGGATTGGTTGCCATGCCTGAGGAGAGGCCAGCGCCAAGGACAAAGGTCAGCGTGAATGATAAGCTGAGTCCAACCATGGTGCCGGCAGCTACTTTCCACCGGGTAGCAATGTTCGGATCGCAGTAGACGAAGAAGTCAGCTGCTCCTGGGGAATAGGTGATCGCCGCGCTGAGGCAGACAGAGAAGAAAGAAAGACGGTTCGCAGCCAGAGTTGTTCCCTCAACAGTTGATGGTTGCGAAATGTCAAATCTCGAACCTGCTGTTCCAGCAAGAATCAACAGCACTGACAATTGGGGGATCCATGCATATCTAAAGATGTTAGCTAAGAACCAAATGTAGCGCTCAAGATATACATACCGTTCATAACGATGGAAGATCTTGATACCAAACGTCGTCACCACAAATGCCAATGCCGAAGTAATAATAATTCCAACCACAACGGTTAGGCTTCCATTAGGGGAGACAGCGGACAGGATTTGGCCCGCGACGACCGCGTCGATCATAGAGTACCCAAGCAGAATCACAAGATTGAGCAAGACGCATATCTTCACCGGCCACCAGCCCATGGAAAACCGCGCGCAGATCTGCATGAAAATGAGTATGATACTCTCGCAATATCTCATCCTCATTCAACTTACCAGGGTTCGATTCCCACTCCATGGACCCCAGCCAGCAGTGTACGCGACAGGGATCGTACCCACAAGGCCGCCAAGTGCACTGCAGCAGGCCGCATCCACAAACCCCAGACCAAAAACACTCTGTCCGATGCTGCCGAGGGTGATATTCTGCGCCGCCGCATTAATCGAGATCCACATCATGACAATCTGCGAGAAGCTGAGCGTGGTCTTCTCGGTCTGCTGCTCCTCCTTGACGCGGTGGATACCGCGGGCTTCGAAGCCCAGGATGTGCTCAACTCGGTATGTCCATGCGAGGAACTTGTTGGTGGGAACCGGCTCCTCTATATCGACCGTGGCATCGTGCTCCACGGTATTCAATTTCTTATTTTTAACTGGCGAATCTGAAGGGGGAGTTAGGTTGGGCTGCATGCCCTTCTCGACATCCTCGTTAGAGGCCATTCTATCAACACAATCAGCTTGGCCCACCATATACAGTACCGTACAATGCGGGATAGGACAGTTAGAAAAAAGGAACAGCAAAGATTCTTTCGCAGGCATTATCCTGATCAAGTTATAACCGTGTGATCTCAGACCAGAGGCCTTCAATTGTGCAAGGCATTCCAATCCCATGGGTAGGAGAATGATGCCGATGCTGCCAATTGAAGCCCTCTGGCCACCGGTTCATTGCCTGGTCGGTTTTACCTGAATCTGAAGACAGCTTTGTGCTACTCGAATGTCGCATTTTCCCGATGGAATGGATAGGTGAGTGCATGTATGGATGGATTCGTACTTGTTGAGGAGTTAGGTGTTAGGCGGTGGTGGAATTATGTCTTATAAAAGTCGAATTGAGAGTTCTGATGATGTATGTAGGACTCGAGGACTCCGGATGCTTCGTGTGAGTCTTTCGAGACCTGGAGAAGTTTTTTCTTATCAGCGATATCAAGGGTGGGGTCTCGCAAGTGGGCTGGCACGGGAATAACCCAGATGGAACTGTCAACGGGAATAGCAACATAATAGGTTCGACTTTCCGAAAGTGGGCTATCATCTTTATATTCCCTTTTGTCATCGGGCGTTCTACAAAGTAGTGGTGTGGAGGATGAAACATAACGACACCCAGGACCAAAGGTGTCTCACCACATATCTGTCACACAGTCATGCCACGGTAGTAAGTACCTTAGCTAACTGCACTCGCTGGCGATCTTCCTACCCTGCGTAACAAATATGCTTAAAAAATCCAGTTTTATAACCAAAATTTTAAGACTCGGATTTATATGAAAAGGCTAAGAAAATCTAGAGTTGACAAGAAGAGCGTTAAGAGAACCGAGGGGAAATGCGCGAGAGAACGAGTTGCATAGCACGGCATAAGGGAAACAAAAGCTGGACACCACGGCATTAGTATATTAAAAAAAACAAAAAACAAGGTGATCTATTATTGATTAGCTGGCTTTGCAGATTGATGCATAGGATAGCACTTGAGCAAAAACGTTACAAGCTCAAGTAGCGTTGCGTTTTTTGCCTCTCATAAGGCAAGTACCGAGTACAAGCGAGAAAAACGCCCTCCAGTGGCCCCCAACCTACCAACCCCTCCCCCCACCAAGAAAAAAGAAAAAAGCAACAGAAAGAATTCCTCTTGTCCTCGGAGAGACTCGAACTCTCGACCTTTGGATGGCCAGACTGTTAACAGTCGTGTCATAATGAATATTATGAGACCAACGCTCTAACCAACTGAGCCACGAAGACAATGATTGGGATACAATAAATCTGCCTATTTCAATTTATAAACAGTGACTGTATTGCGCGGTTCCCACATTACTATTTAGCGCTACTAGAACTTCCGGAACCGGGGTTTTGGTTTGAGGTCACCTGACCTTTAACCAATGTATTTGCTCGTTGGGGAGTGTCGCGAGTCGTGCAGTCTTGGCTTCTTAGTCTTAATCATAGATACTGCTTTGCGTGGTGTGCCACCAGTATATCGTTATCGTGACTCTACTGTACCTGGTCGAGGAGTCTAGGCTAATTTCCCGGGTCTAAAATGTAAGTAAGTCAGAAAAGAAGAATGAAAACCCTTTTTGACTAATAGTGCTGCCGGTTATCTTTCCGCACGCTTATTGCGCTGAGTAAATAATAAATCATGCAAGGCAAACTTCCTAAACACTTCTTCCATTTTGTGCTCATTTATTAAGCTATTGCAAGAGCTATTGCAAGGGGTGTATTTAATTTATTAGCCCAGACCAGAAGGTGAATTTTGGAATTTATGCCATATGCATCCTAACCACTTCATCTCCTCCATCTCCCTCTAGATCCTCTCCGTCATGCTTGGGTAACTCAAGTGGGAGTAGCACCCTATTGTCTGGCACCATGCAGTCAAGGCACCACTACGTTATATATCAGAGATAGATCGAGGTATAAGGCAGGTTAGCACATACCGGCCGGCGGTTGTTGTTTCGGTGTTGCGACTTCGAATGGCGCCCTGCGTCCGATTTTATCAGCGACCAACGCCGCAGGTTTGGCAATGTCAGTGTAAGTATCCCTTCCTATTAACTGCCTAAGACTACGCTAATGATTGAAGCGTTGCAACTACTGCCTTTCTGCTTGTGACTGTGACCTGTGCGACTTGTTTAAGTACGCACAGTACTTCTCGAGGTATATAACGCATCGAATACTGTAAAGTATACATTAGCTATAGGCAGGAAAAGGGACAGAGTGTGGATCTTACTCTTCAGGCCTTTCCACCAAGTGGCCAGGCACAAAGCAGGGCCCCGTCTCCTCACTCGCGCCAATCTCCGGACCTGCCACAATGTCTTTGTCCTCCCCTATAAATATCTTACTAGAATTGAGGTATTCAAGTCATACGAATATCTCACTAGAATTGAGGTATTCAAGTCACACGAATATCTCGCTCCCGAACACTCAATAATTGAATACTAGATCCACACTTTCTGACACTAGTATTATTATAGCTAGCTACATTTCCAATTCCTGCACTACTACTTTCTCCGTAACACACATGCTTATTAATAGGGGTCTTCCGTCAAGAGTATAGCTATCTGAGGATGCTGATAAAGATGACATTCCCATTTATGCAGCTAACGGCCTAATGATATCACAAACGATGCCTACCGTACTATATTTTCTTTTTAGTCTTCCTAGATACTTAGATCCCAAGTTGGCCATTCTAGGCCCCAAATAGTGTCATCTGCTTCTTTCTTCCCTTTCCTACATTCTAATGTGCTGATCTCTGACCCTGGGACAGAGACACCACGTGCAGGTCTATGAGGCTGGTACTCGAGTATTCGAGTACTCAAGTACTCAAGTACTGAAAACCAAGGAGCAGCCCCAAAATGGCGGCTCGCGCGGCTCGACCGCATCTGCGAAGCCAGCACGTCAAGATAATCAAAATTAACAATGGAGGCCTCTCACGCCGCATTTTCGCAATATTACCACTTTGTTCCGCGATTCATTCTTAAAAATTTTGCCCATCCATACATGCCCCAAAAGGCTGGCTCACCTAACTCGATAAACCGTCCAAATGGAGAGCTTGGAAAAAAGATGTACCGTGGCGACCCTGTCGTTAACTGCCTCAACCTCTCTTCTGAAACGCCAGAAATCATAGAGACACCGGTGAAGCGCGTTCTTGGCCAGACGGACATGTATCGGGACACTACCAAACCCGATGCAGAGCAATATCTCATAGAGGAGAAGCTTAGCCGACTCGAGTCCGAAGCCAGTGCTATCTTCCGCAAGATTACGAAGTCTTTCGATGAACGCCATCGCGGCCTCTGGCTTACACGCAACGAGCGGAATCTCATCCGAAAATTTATCTTGCTCATGAAATACCGAGGATCGACCTTCTATCAGCGCTTTTATCACGAAACTACGACAGGTTACGATGCCAACGACAGAGATAGGCTACTTGAATATATGCGGGAGAAGGGCTTCGAAAGGCCTATAGACGTCTGGCTTGATAACATCAAAACTATCATCGACTTGAAGATGGATGATGAGTTGAAGTGGGTATCAGAACTCCCTAAACGGATGTATCCAGATGATGCCATGTGGGTTATACTCAATTGCCTGTCCATGTATATGGCTATTTGCACCCCATCTAATCCCAAGGACGAGTTTATCCTTACCGACAACAGCTACCACGTATTCGAGGGCCCGGGTCGCATCGGGATTGATGTAAACACTGGGAAGACTCAAGAAATAGTATGGACTAATTTCCACGAGTTTTCTCCGGTATCCCCGAAACTTATGATTGTGCTTCGAAGCTTTTTACTGCCCTCGCCACTGGAAGATGCTAACCCGAAAGTGAAGGCCCATCGAGATATGTGTAGGTCTTTAGCAGTGGAGAATAATTTTGAAAGCGGCACCAATTCTGTGCTAGCCGATCTACCTATCGAGAAAGCCCGTAACAACTATACAGAGATCCTGAACGGTGGGTGTCAGTTTATCCCGCATGAAGACGGCTCTCTACGACAGAACCACAAGTTCTTCTTCAGCTTTTTCCCCATCGACACCAACCACGTCAACAAGATCAACGGGATATTTCTGGATAACGCAAGCGCCTCCAACAATGTGGTGTTTCGGTCGCAGAGAGCTTCCTCAAAAGTCTGGAATGGTATATGACTGAGCCTTGTCAGATCGGGAAGCATGTTACTAGTGCCTCCGGGGACCCGCGACTCTGTTGCCTGAAGAAGCTGGCGGCAGTGTTGAAACAAATGGGCTCAAACAAGGATCCTGTCTGGGAAGAAATCCCCTTCCCAGAGCTGGACAACGACGAAAAGAATCCGCTCACGGTGAATGAGCTCAGACAACTACTGGTGCAGCTCCTTCCGGACGATAATCCCACCGAATTCATGAAGGTTTACAAGACGCTAGGTGAATTTCTATCCGAATACTCTTCTACATATGCTGATACACAATTCGAGGCGGGTCAAAGCTGACACTTGTCAAAGATATGGAACAGGCTCAATTAATGCTGAAGTTGCGGATTAATATCGACGTGTGGTCACGCGGAATTGACGAGCGCTTGCGTCAGACAAATCGCGATGTCCTCCTTGATACATATCTCCAGTTTCCACCGCATGGAGTATGGCTCTACCTAAAGCACTAGAGAAATATGATGTTACATGGTCTAGGATATTCCCCCCTCATCGTGGAGCACGCTTATCAACAGCAGCTCGATCTTGACGGCCCTGAGGATAGTATCGCCAAAGGCAAGTGGTCCATGAATTAATTCCTAATGCGAATTTCCGCTAACGGTTTTCCAATAGCGCGGTGCATCCTTAAACCTAGCAAGCTAAATATTCTTATGTACAACGCTATGGAGAGCGACATCGAAACAAGAAAAATCGCCGGGTTTTAATCTATGGTCTAAAATCACGCTTGACCAGAGAGGGCTCGAGAATTTCCGGAGGCTTCATATGATTGCGGTACGTTCCCACTAACTTTGGCCGTGCATTATTTCGCAGGCTAAGATCTATAGGAAATATCCGACACTGTGGTAAGGCATCGTCAAGGTTAGGTGGGCGGAAAGATCTACTATTCTGATTTGTAACACAGGTATCGAAGAAATCGAGAGGCTTGCAACATTCTACCAGGTGATGGTACAGAAGAACTTCCAGAACCGCATAACTAGGGCATCCAGAAAACAGAACTTCACGGAAGATGAGGAAACCGAGCCATTTGCTAGATTTATGGTAATGCACGGTTTTAAGAGTGCGTTAGGTGGACGACTGGAAACGGATTTGTTGGATGATTTGGCGAAAACCTTCTTTGAAGTTATTTACCCTACCCCTCATAAAAGGCGGAGAAGTAGATAGTGCCTTCTATACCTTCCAGGTATCGGCCCTTCGGCCTTGACAAGAACGAGTTTTCCCCGTTTGGAGTTATGAAACTGATTTCGTGGTTTACTATACTTGTGGGATATATTCATAGAATGAAATATAAATATTATCGAACTCACTCAGGCTATCTCAAAGTCTCGAAATAGTATAATGGCGTACAGGGTGATAAGAAATAATTTCTGGTGATTATTTATAAACTTCATATATGGTGCTAGCTAGAAGGATCGGACAATAAGACTGCTAAATACTTATTTATAGATCAATGAATGGTGAAACCCTAGATTTCAGATATTTTTGTTGCACATCGGGCCTTTCTTGAATGCCCCAACATACCTAGGTACATAGGGCTCGAAAACTTTTACATGAAATGGGTTGATTCACCTCCCATTGGAGTCCGTCATACATTGGTGTACGTATACAGGGAATCACACAACAACACCGCCTGTAACTGAATAATCATGTGGGACTTTTGGATATAAAAAGTGTATTGTATGCACAAAACCTCCAATCCACTTCAAGAGAACCGCAACATCTATTTCTTAGACCAAGTTCAATATCAAACATCAACCATGGATCCAAGACGGTCACAAGAGTCCCTTGTCTCTCACTATTCTCAAGGCATCCCGCCCACGCAAACACACCAAACATCATTCCCCCAAGCATCATCCACCACCTCATGGCCTTCATCCACAACATGCGCAAATCCCACCTCTCCTCACGACATCCCCAAAGATCGTCATTCGTCTAGCACAACCCACACATCCGGCGGTCATCGTTCAACCAACATACCTCCTCGAGGCGTCGCAATCCTCGCCGGTTCAGCAGAATCAGAATGGCTTAGGATAATCCAGACAATCATTCAATACACATTCAAAAACCCCGATTTGCTGGAAGAGGCTTTGGAGTCACCGAATTCGGGGGTCACGTGCGTAGGACAGAGCCATCGACATTTTGAAGACGGGAATAGGGGTTTAGCGAAGGTCGGACAGTCTGCGATGAAGCTGTTGCTTAGGGACCAGTGCTATCTTTTTCAGATTCCTGAAGGTGCGGCCCTAGTAGATTGATAGGCGAGGGACGTACTAATGGAAGCAGGCGATGCCGAGAAAATTATCAGCGATATGATTCATTTCAGGAATTTAGACCAGCTGGGACGGACGACTAAGCTCGAAAGGTTTGTGAGGCCGAAGCTGTATTTGAGGCCAACGAGAAGGAGGAACCCATTGTGGTTGCTTAAGGACGATGTGCAGAGAGAGGACCCCTCGAGGACAATTGCCAGGGCGGTGTGTGCTATTATTGGAGCGGCGTATTATGATGGAGGATTGGAGGCTGCCAAAGGCGTTATGGCAGAGTTGGACCTCGTCATAAATATGCCAAAGTGAGAGCTATCAAGGGATTCACGGATAGGTAATCCTTACTAACAAGTTTGCAAGTTGCCCTTGAGCGAAGAGTATACATCTAAAGCAGCTGATCGTGTTTAAAATTCTTAAACCAATACGATATAGACGAATTCTGAGAGACTTGGGATGTCTAGGACATTGTAGAGTGACAGAGCGTTGATAGCGGGCATTGCGGAATAGTCGCCGGGAATGGACCCGAGCCGAACCGTGGGGAACGGGACGCAGGGTCCGCAAGTAAAACAAAACCCAACTGATTACCCCAGGGGGCTTACGGATCAACTCCATTTCTATTCCGGGAGCGTGTTTCCCAATTGTGATGAACGGGATGGGGATGGTAGGATAGGATACGGCTGGGCGATAAAAGGCAAACATATGTAATGACAACGGAAATGTAGCTAATATTTATTCATTTGTAAAGGCAAACAGCAATTCATGGAAATAGCAGACTCCTGTTGGGAAACCTGGGAGACCACGTTGGTGGTTGCCGTGATGCCTGCCTCTGAGGATATACCCGACAAAAGCAATATCAGAGTCTCTCCTGAGGCCGCACGGACCACTTAAGAGAATCAAGCAAGTTGATGGATAGCTTTAACAAGGGCAGAAAGAAAATGCATATCGGCCTCTAGGAGGGCACGAGGGAGCCTTGAGCCATATGCATGAGAGGTGTGATGACATCGCTTAGATCTCTTCCAAAGGAGGGCTTGCAGTGCCGCAGTGTCCACTCTCGCTTCTCATTGGCTACACCCAGGGTACCGCAACATAAAAGCCGGCAACCCCCCCAATTTCCTCCATCTTTCTCCCACACTCTTCTTACTCTTCAAGCTATACCACTACCGCCATTACCACTCCCATCAAACTTATTCCAATTTGTCCGGAGTTATTTGGACCCTTGTGAGGACTTCCTCACGTGTGCCATATCCGGTACCCTCGATTGCTGTTATCGCTTGATTGTGTGAGGCAGGCTCGTCGACACACCGCCCAGACACCAACATCCATCAACCGGTCATCATCCCCGGGCTGTTTATCAAACCAAACCACAACCACATGTCATTCCATCATCATCCATCAACCGTAGACACTAGCATCCCGTTCAACATGGATTACCAACTTTTTCAACAACATTTGCCCAGCATCGTCGTTCGGCGCTTGCCAGAACAGATGATGCCTCTAGTCCCCACGCAACATCATCAGGCTTCTAACCACAAGCACGCCGCCAAGTGCCCGATATCATCCCGAAGGATGGCTGAGAAACTTCCCAGCGGTGGGCTGAGATCCAGCTTGAAAAAGCACGACATGGATCAGCACAAGAATGTCCACTGGGATTCGGCTACAGTAAACAACGAGACCAAGACAAAGTCCAGAATCAGATCACCCATTCTAGGACCTGAATCACACCCATGGAATATGACTTTCTCGCCCAGACTCCGCTCGGAGTCGAGAAATATAGGGGGTAGTTTAGCTCATGCTTCCAATACATCCAGGCCAATGGACCCGAGGCAATCACGAGTGTCAACCTCGAAGGAAGCCAGGCATGGGCCGCCAAATACCGCAGTAAAGAGAAAAACACCATCATCAACTCAGAGGCTAAGCCATGATCATCGCTCGTTGAGAACCGACTCTAAGGGGACAATAAAATCTCGACCAGACGAGTTGTCCGCCCGGTCGCAAGACGGTTCGTCGTCAGGCTACCAAGCACCAGCGAACTCATCATCCAAGAGGAACCCTAAGAAATTGAGCCAGTTACCATCTCAAATTAGTAGCCTGCCGCCGCCGGTACCAGATGCACCACAAATGCCTCCCCCAACGCCAAGGCCAGCTCGACTACCAACTCCTGATTTGGATGACATTAGTGACAGGAGGTTTTGTTATTGCAATAATGCCGCCTGTCATAGCCGCGCATATCCCCATGATTCTCAAGGCAGGCGCCTGAGCTCCAAAATGAGCGAGCAGAGTAAGACATGCTGCCTAAGCTCGCAGTCGTAAGCTTGCTAACGCCAACAGTATATGCCGCCCAGGCATACATGACGGCCACGAGGAATTGAAAATCAATCAGAGGGGCTGAAATGTGAATTTGACTGAATGAATAAATGTGGTTTGCTGTGGTTGCTGTGTATTAAGTTAGGCGTCGAGGGGTCTTTGTCCGGTTGGCCCAGGTGGGCTTGGATGGGCGTTTGGGCCGTGTGTAGTTTTAGATACCTTCCAAAATTTCCCAATTCTCTCATCCCCAATATGTATACTTCGCATTTGTTCGCATTAAAAGCCCAGGCAGAGTATATTTGCAGGAAATTCTCAACCGTATCCATCTCGTTCCTCACAAGCACATAGCTGCCTAGGCTAGGACATACGCAAGCAAAGTCGTTGGAAACGGCGACGGGCCGATATAGGCATGGAAGCGGGGATCCGACCGGGCATTCAGCGATAATATTCGGCAGATATACGAAATCACCAGTTTTCGAAGGGTTCGGTACTGTTGTGGTTGAGTTCTGGAGGGTTTGTGGGATGGGATGTCGTTGAAGTTGTTCTCGTTAAACCACGAACTGCGACGTCATAGGTATGTACGGGCCACCGTAACCGACCGCGGGTCACTCGGTCATTTACCTTACCCCACCATCCCCCACCCTCACACTTCAATCCCATCTTCGAGAATTAAAAGAAAAATCAGAGGCTGTCAACTCTCAACCATAACAAAAATTCGGAAAACTACCATATATCATTTCCAACTTTACGTCCAATTCTACGTCCACAATGGCAGATTTCAAGCCAGTTTTCACCAAGGACGCTGCTCCTCGTAAGCTTCAATACATACTCACCTCCCAATTCTAAGCAGCCACTAACACACACCGCAGCAGCAGGACCCTACGTATGTTGCCAATAGATGGCTCGTCCCTCCTCGTTTATCCCAGCACATCTCTGACGAATGCCCCAAATACAGTCCCAAGCAATTGTCACCTCCTCCACAGTCTACTGCTCTGGGCAAATCCCATGCAAACCCGATGGAGTAATATTCACACGGCCAGAGTACAGCCTGGCCCAGATGACAGAGCTCTGCATCCAGAATATGAACGCAGTCTTGAAGGCCGCGGGATCGTCATTGGAGAAGGTCGTCAAGGTTAATGTGTACTTGACGAACATGGATGATTTTGCCGAGATGAATGGCGTTTATGAGAAGTTCTTTGCCCATAAGCCGGCAAGGAGCTGTGTTGCCGTGTACCAGCTACCTAAGGGTGTACCGGTTGAGATGGAGTGCATTGCTTTGGCTTGAGGTAAAGGGAGCTAGTGACTGGAAGTGGGTGGCTTGGGTGGGGGAAGGAAAGGGATGGTGGACCTTTGCCTTGGAATTAGTATAGGGTGAAGCTTGGATAATAAAATACAAGAATATTCTCTCAGCTGAAATATCATTTTGTGCTAAAAGTCCCTGCCAAGGACAGCCCTCGTCTTTTTCGTTTGCGTCAATCCCTGGCTCAAGGTACCTCGAAGCGTGGCGCTTCGTAGGTGACTCAATTATCTTGAGCTTTTGGCGTATACTTAGCGCACCAGTACGACCCGCCCTTTTCGACATACTCGGTCTGACAGGCATGTAACACAACGGAATATCCCTAGTTATAGTACGAGTACCTAGTCAGTCAATTCTCACCAAATATTTCCCAATTCGGGACATTGCGTGACTTAACATCACGTGATCAACGTGACAGGGGTTATTTGCAGAAGACGCGGAGGGAAGTCCAGGGAGTCTTACCTACGACACAAAGAAAATGCCTTATCAATGTCCATCCTTGGGTCCTTGCATGAGAGGCTGAAACCAGCATGTCAGCAAGGAAATTGTCACAGCAACCAGAGAACGCCGCAAACAGATTGAGACCCCAAGACGCTAGATAGAAGCTGCGGAATCCTTGGCGATTCTCGTCTCCAAGGTTACCGGTTATCACAATAATTTTTCTCACGGTAATGCGGCGAAATCTGACCTCGCTTCTAATACGCTACTCCGTACGTACTGTGCATATGTACTTCTTACGGGTATTAGAATCCGGCTTAGTGTACGAAGTAAGCTCGTCATGTATAATCGTCCTTGTTTAGTATTACTTCAGTTACTACTGACTTGATTACCCTAGGTATTTTATGTATTTATAACTATTACTTTAGCTTATTCTTTGATGACGATCCGAACAAGTCTACTGGAAATATTTAGATTTCCTTACCTCTGGTGAAGAAATTATCAGGTTCTGTTCTAGATAACCGGCAGTGGCGTCGGAACGCAAGCTGCTTCCAAGGCGGCTGTTTATAACCGGAGTTTTGTGTGATGATGTCAGTGAATCTTCAAAGAAGTCTCGTACGGAGTATGGAGGGCTTATTTCGCTAATTTCATCGTCGGTGTCTGGCGTCAGTGCGAGTAGGGCTGGTACGAGGATGCACCGCCACTCCCGAATCTATTTATGTAGGATTTTCTTGTTCTTGCTGTGGCGCCCCATTTTCCGATTCCTTAATTGGCTCAGTGAATTGAAACGATCAAGGATCTTCCTTTCAGCCAAGCCATGGCTTGCCAAGTGCTGAGAATTGCTGACATCGAAGTTCGAACTGCCCGAATCTTACGGAGGACTTGGTACATTCCCGGCCCCACGGCTTTCTCGTGTTCGTCCCAAGCTCTCTTTGCCCCCTCACCCCCCGAGCTTATGATTTGCTATTTTTCACTATGGCACCATATAGATGCCTAGTTCCCACAAGCGTCGGAATTAAAGGCTTGACACTTGACGCTTGACAGACGTGGCATGAGGTTCTTCCTCACCATCCGGGTCCCGTGCGCCATGTCCGCAGGCGTACAGTACACCCTTCCAGGTGGCTGAAAGCTGAACGCTGGGAGTTGATTTCAGGAGTACAAGTATAAGGCTGGCAGCCTACCACCATCCCACGCTGTTCGTAGCATTTTGTACGGCATTTGAGCATTTATCTAAACTTCAAACTTCATTTGCGTTTAATATTCAACCCAGTAGGAACCATATTGATTCCTTTCACCGTCGCTATTTGTTCCATATCGATCACTCTTATCACTGTCGTTGTCACACCATACCAATAAGAACGGCTAGCACCTGTCTTCGATTCAAACGTCACAGCTCAAGGAAAGAGCATTACATCCACTCGCTCATCCAAAAGATCGTGTATTTGCGACACCCAGGCGAATATCCAAGATGCATTTCTCACTGCCATCATGGCTTGCGGTGTCCGTCACACTACTCGCTACTCTATCCCTCGTCACAGCTACACCGGTGCGGTGTCCAGACGTATGTTGTTCCGAGGTTCTCAGACTGGCCTGGCAAAGGCTGACATTCATTTCTAGGAAATAAGGGACGCTGTTTTGAGTGGGAAACTCGATCCACATGCATGCTGTGTTTACGGGGTATGTAAACGAGACGTGCAGATGTGAGATCTGGGGTCGACTTGTCAAATTGTGTATATACAAACAGCACTACGCATTGGGATTGGAGTTAACATTTTTTTGGGACTGGACAGTCCGAATGGGATTGGGAAATAGGGCCACTTGGGCGATACATCAGGATCGGAGTTTTTTTTTTTTTTGGAAGTTCGCAAGCATGGGATGGAAGTGCCCACAATCATACCCCTCTTGGGCGAGGGAAGATATCAAAGCTATGCAGATGCGGAGATGGTGACACAAGTCACGGAAATGAGTGGGTGGCCTCGTATAGAGCAGCCAACCCCTCACAAGATATGCAATATCAACAATACCAACACACCATCCTCGTATTTTGTTGTGCCTTGGCTTCAAAACGAGCGCCATTAGTAACACAACAAGCAGGCCTACTATGTATCCACAGTGGAACGCCACAACTGTCATCGTTCGAGATACAGTCAGTCGGCAATATAAGTATCCACAAATGTCGCTAAAACATATCGATCAGTATTATTCCCGTGAACAGAATAGTAATCATCATCGCCTGTCAGACAATCTTCCATGGATGCTGCTCTGGATTCCAGAACCCGCCCACTTAATTGCTTCTACAGTGGAGATCGGGAAATACTGCACAACTGCGGTTAGAAATCTATACACGATCTTTGTAAAAAAGACAGCGGCCTTTAGCGTTTTGCTAGATCGGAGATCCACCCCACCAATGGTCGGCCGGGCGATGTTTGTTGAGTGGATCACGTCTTTGGTAAAGCCGTGCTGGTCCCTAGCGGGGGAATGTGCTGATGTCATCGTCTGTGTGGGCTCCACTACTCGTACGGCAAGATAATCTATTTAAGAAACTTGTTAGCATATATATCGTCTATATCCCAACCTCTCGCCATTCCTCACCGTCCTTGGCTATTGGCTCCACATATTTCACCCCATTCAGATGGTATCACTAAGCTTGTTGCTGGCTTGGCTGCAGTCATGAATAGTGCTAATCTTCCACTTCCATCGCTGGCATGATCAAATTATTTGAAGATCCTCCCGAGAGAGAGGTAACTTGTAAGTCTTAATAAGCTTCAAGATAATATTACTTTCATTCCATATCATGAAGGTTCGCATTGTTAAAAGGAAAAGTTATATAAATGTGGAAATGACACATTTCTTGCTCGATAGCTAAGAAATAAGAAATTTCCTCAGCTGCCTGGTTATTATCATCTCATCAGCTCGTCATCCACCCAGCCGTCTATCCAGCTACCCTCGGAATGGATCAGCCAGTCGTCATCCTTGGAACAAGCACATTACGCTGCTTGCCCTCACCCCATATTACTCCACTACCATGCAGGATACCAACCGTTTCTGGAATATGAGATGCCCATTTCTATCTCCTATGGAATACGTTAGGCCGATTACTGCGGGTTTGGAATGGTGAGCAACTCACAAGGCACATCTATAAGGTCGTGTGCATCGTACTGAGGGTCTGTAGGCTGGTGTCCTGTTGTTTTGGGAGCCCACGGTGAAGTGTTTGGGTCTGCTCCGCCGTCTAATGTGATGTTTTATCAGTAGAAGTTAGATAGGTGCCCTATGAAGGGAAGAAATCTGGGCAGCTGTGCATACATATTGAATACACTTCCCCTATAACGAATCGCCATTCGATGTCCCAGAGTTAGGATTACAGGAATTCATTGCAGTAATCAAGGACCTGACGCATCCGTCTTTGGAAATTTTGCTGTTATCCCCGCAGGTATTGCTCGACGGAGCGTTATTCCATTTACCGACGGAAAGCCAGCAAGAATACTAAGAATAGGGGATCATTTCGGATAGCATGTCGCTACCTACAATCTTGCCGTCTACCAATGCGCACCACTCGTTCACTTTGCTAGTGACACTGGGCGACCTATCTGGATCTCGTTGGGGGGGCACCCTAGTCTGCAGGTGGGCAAGCAGCATCTGAAGTTTTGGGATGATAGTAGCTAGCGGGGGTGAGTTTAGGAAGTGATGCCCATGCCTGAGCATAGTTCTCCCATTCGGCTTCATCCTCGAATGCAACATACGGTTGGATGAGTACATCTAGATCTTCCATACAAAAACAGTCTTTGTATTGATTGTTATTTGCTGGGTCCTATAAAGCACGCATTAGGTTGTGTAAACGTGGTTGGCAGACGGGTTGGACCAATACTTACACCTTTGCATCTTCCATTCACATTCCCGCCGCATTCTGAGCAGTCAGGCGTATCAGGTCCCTCCGGACAAGTCGGATCAGGAGTGCAGTCACAACCGGGATAGGCCTTCGTACATTTATTGGTACTATCTGGCACGCAGTTGGCATCTGAACATTGGGCTTGGCATCTCCCTCGGGGCATGCTGCCTTCTCTTCGTCACATGTGCAGCCAGTTGAACTCCCAGTCTCACAAATACTGTAAAAGAATGAGAAATCAGTATACCTCCGATCGGAAATCCATAAGATATTGAGAGATAGTGTTACTGTCTAGAAAAATGGCACCCGTTGCTTACCTTCCAACACCGCCGCAATCAGTACGCTTATCCTTCGGATTGGGGCATGAGGAGTCATCTGGATGTTTGTCCGCATCTTTTAGGGCTTCGAGGACTTTTGCCGCAGTCGCGGCATCACCAACGAAACCTAAGAACCAGAACCTAGTCAGCGACACAATCTCCATAGGGGCAAGCTAAGAAGGAGGGCGATGGGTCTTGAAGGGGGTTTGGGGAGAGCTCACATGCGAGGGACCACGTCACTCCGCCTGCAATAATAACAGCAACGCCAGTTTCAACACTAGTCAAATATTGGGCACCTGTCCTAGTAGCGGTAATAGTAGTAGTGATCTTCTGTCGTAGCCCAGAGTACAAACTTATGGTTTGCAAAGCATAGGTTCCGGTTACAGTCTTATAAGCCTGTGAAGCCATGGCTGTCGATGGAACTGGAGAAGCAATGGAAGAATTCATATTCATGCCTAGATCCCTAATTAGCTGCGAAATCAATTATTGTCAGTGTCCTGCATTCGCCGGTTCCTCACCACCACAGAGTGAACACGAGGTTACCTGGGCACCTATGGACTCCAGACGGTTAATGTCACTTCTTCTAGATAGATCTAGATCACCCAGGGTCTCTAAATTGGCAGCTGGAAACCTGTTATCGATGTTGGATTTTGCAATGGAGCTAGTCCGAATGGCAAGGTTTGCAGACGGCCATTTGAGTGCTAGAATATTTGCTGGTGAATTTTGGAGAATGGAGCCTGTGGAGCTTTGCACAGTTAAAGAAAGAGCAAGAAAAGCCGTGATAATCTCCATATTAGCTGTGATGATACCGATGCTCAAGGGGTGTTAATGACATGCACAGCTGGCTAGAAAATGGGACTAAATGAAGGCAGAGAGTGAGCCCGAGTTGTTGATCCAAGGTAACACTATAACAGCGTGGAGGAACTTAGGCAGCCAGATATTCAAGCATAAGAGTTCGAAATTGAGGCCTTTGAAGTTTGGCCGCAATGAAATGGGATATCCTCCAGTACTTATAAGTGTTTGTACGGATGTGGCACCTTTGATGGGCTATCGTCCAACTTTAGAACCGACCAGCAAGAATCACGTCTACCTAAAATGAGGGGTTTGCACAAAATAATGCGCCATGCGGACATTGCTTAGTCATGCATACTATATCTCAACGTCGCTCGATCTCATTTTGGTCTCTCTCCTTATATTCAGCCAGTATCAATGCCCGCATTTGTTGTATGATAAGGTTGGGAGTCTTATCGAGGAATAGAGATTTTGCCTACCTGAGGTGTTAAAGCTATTGGCATTATGGCGCTTGGAATCAATCTCGATATCAACAATCCAAGGAGATACCGATCATCGATGCCAGTGCAAACGAATGGCTTGTTGCAGGAGGCGGTTCTAATCAGATCTATAAGCGCTGGGGAGTACTTTCTGTGACCTAGATCTAGGTTGTACCAGTGACAATGTCACACAGTTGGAGGAGCTGGGAATTGGGCGGGCTGGATCTTTCTCCACACGACACCAGGCAAAGTAGCGGAATGCGGCTGTGAACCCTATCATTATTGTTTCGTTCCCGTGGTTTGATAGCACCTAATTTATATTGCGTTGCGTTGTGTCGATTTGCATGAAAAAGGAAGGAGTGGTGGTGTTTGTTGTAGCGCAATGCCGCCGATGCGGTAGCTTATCACCATTATTGTCTGCGACACCATCGTGTTTTACGCCCAAACTCTAACCAACTCTGGCGCTCTATTTTCTACTCACCTAATTATTGTTTCACTTGTGATCACTTAACCTGCCTATCCATCAAAGCCCACCTACCTACCTCCCGAGGATCGCTGACGCAGAAGAAAGATGGCGCGCTCTTCCAACATCCCCACGATGCCCAAAGGCTTATCCATTTTGCCGTGTGTCGGTCTGCTACTTGCTATCGTTGCTCTCGGCCTCAGCATTTCAGGTTTGGTCATGACCCGATCTGTTGAACCACTTCTTTCAGCCATGGCATATGTGCTTGTAGTGGTAAGCTCACCTTTCCGAAATATCAGCTATATGAATTATACTGTATACTGACCGTTTCCAGGCCCTGGCGACCATCACGGTGCTCACATATCTAATCTCCACTGAGCACTTTCAGCCTCGATTCTACAATTACTACGTCGTACTGGCCCTGATATTCGGGATCTGCCTACTCTCAATTCTCGCAGGAACTCTTACGGGAATTGCCATACCTCGAGTAAACATGTTGATCGATGATAGCATCACTTCCAGAACCCTGATTATCGTTCTTCGAGCTATCGCAGTCGTGTTTACTGTCAACGCGTAAGCACCAATCTATCCATACTCTCTGGGGGTGCACAGAATAACAACATCTCAATATAGTATCTTATTCGTTGTCTACTGGATCATGCTCGCCGTTCTCACAGCTAAACACAGAAACGCAGGTGGCCACTCGAGATACCAACGTGAGCACCTGCGTTCTCTCAACCGGTCATACTCGTCCACTCAGGTACTGCCAGCCCAAGTTCAGTCTGATGCGGCCGAATTCACAGACACCAGCCACGAACTCACAGACACCAGCCACGAATTTAGACGGCACACACTGCGAGGCTCAGTTCACTACAAGGGTATCGATCCATATCACCCACTTCGAATAAACCCCCCAGCTTCTGACTCGAGCACTGCCGTTTCACAAATCCTGCGTAAGATGCGGCGTCGAGGCGTGGCATATGAGCTGCCGACTTGCTTTTGCCAGGTGGAAGGAAACCGAGATGGAGATGTAAGCCGACCAGGTTGTCATATCTGCGCTCCAGGACTCTTTCTAGAAAATGAGAATGAGCCGGAGTTCCAGAAGGACCGGAAACATGATGCGCATGGCCAAAGCTGAACACACAGGGATTCTTAGCTGGTCACTTTCCATAGCAGTATGTTTGATCATCCTGGGAGTCATGGTTCACGGAGGATAGTTCGGTCAATTACCAAGCGTTCAGTCACTTCGCTAGTGGGCTAGTTAAGTGCCGTGTAGAAGCAATGGTAAAATAATTTCCCCATTATGAATGACAGTCCGTATCCTCCTCGATGCTGTATTGTATTCTTCCTTTCTCAAGGAGGTTTGCTCCTATGTGCTACTAGTATAACACCTCTCCAACTTCCGCGCCAACAATTACCGTCTTCGCCCTAGACTATGTCTATTAGCTATATATCACTATATCAGTTTTGAAGAGCGCAATAGCTCACCAAACTACTCTGCCAAAACAATCCCCAATCACCAACTCCTTCCTCCAAGTCAGATACGCCACCTTGACAGTTGTAGCAAGAGTGTCCCTCTCCTCCTCGGTTAGGTACAGGCCACAACCCTCGCTGGGGCCGTTGGGGGAATACGGTCAGCGCAGACTCATCGCACCGGTGCCTCAACAGACAAATAGAGTTTTCATCCCGTGCACTCTTGAAACAGAGCGCTATATAAGTTACAATATGAAAAGGTTATTAATAGGTAGGTCCAACCTATAAGTTATATTTTTCATTTGCTTTCATATTTTGGGCATATTCTTTTCTCTGCCTCCCTTTCGCTAGGCGAGACAAGATCGCGAAGCGACGCGTTCTATGTTAGACGATATTTAGGAGGGTCCTTATTTAAAGGTCACCTAAGAGGTTGGAACTGGAGCTGTTTGAATATTGGAGGGAATGTTAGGTTGATAGAACAGGCAGGGGCTTTGCGTTGTTCGGGTGTGTCTGGCATTGGCATCTTCCCTATTTCTTAACTCTGCCGACTATCATACCTGCTAGATTAATAAATCAAACTGAAAAACACTACGACATATGGGCCTAATGAGCGATTTGCTTTTTTAAACGACCTCGCCAAACCCATAGCGCTTCAAAATATCTTAAACCCGGTTACTATCCTCTGCCTACAAAACACCAAAAATGATATAAAGAAAATTTTAAAAAAAAAATATTCCAGCCCCCCGAGACACTCCTATTATTCCGGGCAGCCCAGAACGGAACTGCGGCTCTAAGCCGGATCAACTCGCTCAAGATATTTTGTAACTCAGACAGCCTTGCGGCAAGGAAAGAGCCCCCATAACAAGCTGTTGAAGGTGTTGGGATATAACATCATTTCAGGTGGGGCTAACCCCCATCCGATCAGTCACTGGTAAGATCGACTTCTTTGTTATTTTTCGAGGCTTCTCACTTATTCGGCCACAGGAGATTAGATTTTAGTTGTAACAGAAAAACGCTTAATGGGACATATAAGGCCTACCTATGCGAGGCGAGACCAGGCAGAACACCCACTTTACATTCGGTGACCACACCGACACACTTACCGCATAGATATGGCTGCCACTGCTTATCAGCAGGTGATATACCGCCGCCTATGGTTCTGCCAGATAGTTATAAAATCACTATATGCCAGAATCACCAACTGCAGGGTCGAGAACGACTTGACCGGTCCAAAATCAACAGTTACTTTTAGGAAATTAGTATGAGGGGACTCCTGTTATAAATATAGTCAACGCTTATGAGTGTAATATTGTTATTATCTCGTTTTAAAATTGACAGATAAAGACAAGGAGGGAAGCCTAGAAGAAAGCCTATCGATAAATCTGCAGGGGAAGTGGAAGGCCGAGCGCCGAGCATTGAAGTACAAAATTTGGATTCTGAGACTACGTATCCCCGTATATTATAAGATTATTTTTGTAAGCAAGGAATCTAGGTTATATAGGTGCTCATCCTATGCAGGACTGAGGTATCAAGTTGCCTGTAACTTGTCGTAAATGGCAGTCGCGTGTGTCTCTCCTTTCCTCAAACCTCCCTGACCTATATAAATTAAATAAGCGATTTTAGTATTAAGTCAAGGGCGGCTACTTGGATAAGTGGTTCTGGTAAAATTGTCTTCTGGAGAGAATCGATCGGGACAAATTCGACAAAATTCGACAAGAGATGTTGGCATTTCGACACCAGGCTGAACTCTTTTGCTTCTCGAATATATGAATCGTAATAATTAATTTTTGCAATTTTTCCTGCCCCTGCGGTAGATGATGAGTGTTTTTTTAACCAATTGTAGGTTGCTTGTCGTTCGGCAACGCTTCTCGCTTGCAGATGCAGTGTATGATAGAAGAATACTCCCGGTTTGGTCTTGTCGTTGTGACGCGTCAGGAATAATTCAAATTCAATATAGGGCTACAAATCTTTGCCTAAAAGACGTGTTGGCTTTGATGAGAATATCGAAAGTAAATCCCAAATGTGCTTTCTAAGTTGTGTTGTTCGCTCAACCGGTATATTAAGAGAGCTTATGCTTTTATTTACGGGGAGAAGGCGAGGAGGAAATACGAAGTATTTCATTTTATAGAGTAGAGTTGTTGAGGCTATGGGCATAGAAAAGAGGAAGACGATTAAATTGGTACTTGTTATGACGTGAGATAGCGGAATTCAGCCCAGAGACAGACCTGAATCGATTGTGTTTAGTTATAATGCCTTGGAGGGGGATATTGCACAAGGAAGGAAGCATAAGTATTAGGTATTGCAAACTATTCTTACGTTGCACTGTTTGGCTAGTAATAATTATATGGCATCTCATTTCATTTTAAAAGCATCTAAATGCTAAGTCTGATCGATGTAATGATCAAAAGCATCTAATACCTATCCTTAAGGTAATTTGATCGGAGGATCGATCGCTTCAAATATCTACACTATTCAAACAAGTCCTTAAAGTTCACCATCCCCATTGTATTCATCATCGCCAATGCGCCGTCCATACCAAGATCGATAATTCCAGACCATAATAATAGTCAAATCAGTAGGATTCATCCATCTCGTCGGCATCATCAAACAATTCCGCCTGAAGATCCATCTTCGTCTTTCTAGCACGCTTTCCTAGAAGAATTGGGCTGCCAGGAGAAGTCAGAGCCTGATAGTGGTCATACTCGCTCTTGAACTGCTGCTGGAGTTCTTCGTCCTCTTCTTCATCATCATCATCGTCATAGTCATCAGCGCCGTCCATGCCCATTGCATTGCGGGTTGGTCTGCGGGCTCGGGTGCTTGGTTTTCTGACTGGAGGTAATGTGGGTGCTGGTGCACGCTTAATTCCCTTTCCTGAACCTGTGGCCTTTGCTGAGGTCGCTGGCTTTGAGTTAGATTGCTTGCGCTTCGGAGCCGGGGTTTCTGTTGCAACCATAGCAAGTGCAGCTGGCTGGGGCTGTATTGCCTTGGGGGCGGGCGGGGTTGGGGCGATTGCGGGAGCTGCCGGCGGGACTGAACCACTGGCTGTTCCAACAGCGGCAGCCTCCTTGGCCGCCTTCTTCGCTGCGTTGGTAGCTTTTCTGGTTTCCATGGCACCGGCCATATCTCCACTTTGCCATCTCTTGCGCAAACTTTCGGAGAGTTTAGCCGACTTAATCTTTCTCTTCCGAAGCTTTTCAAGCGCCTCAGGGTCTAGAGTCGATTCGTCAACCTCTTCTTCCTTGGCCTTCCGCTTGCGGCCCGCTGCGGTTGTGGCTGGTGCAGGCGCAACTGGAGCTGGAGGAGGACGGAAAGGGCCCGGTTCGTTACGAGGAGCATCAACAATTACTGTGTCTGGCTCCGGCTTATCGGCTCCTCTCTTCCGCTTTTTAGACTCGGTCGATGACGACGTGGTTGGGCGGGAGCTTTCTACTGATGTAGTTTGGGTGGTATCGACATCAGTAGACTGAGTAGCAGCTGGATGGGTCTTCTTGACGAGTGATTTTGCAGCATGCTGAAGCTGTACTTCTTGCTTAGGAGCAAGCTTTCGGGGTGCTGCCTCACTCTCCACAATAGGAGCTGCGGCTGCGGCTGGTGGGGGGACTTGTACATCTTTGAGCTTGGATTTTGTAGGCGGTCGTCCAATACGCTTGCCGGATGGGAAGGTCCTGACAGCTGGAGTGGCACTGCGGCTTGGAGGGGCGGTTTTTGGGCGTGGTTGAACTTCGACCGGGACATCGGGATTGATTCTTGGTTTTCGTATGCGCTTGGGGGGGAGCTCATCCGATTCGGTTTCCGGAGTGACGCTTTTGTCTGCATCATAATTCTTCTGTGCCTTGTTTCTCCGACTTCGACTGCGTCCTTCATCCTCTGCTTCGCCTCTAGTTTTGACATCCCCTTTAAAGGTAGGCTGGGGCTGGTTGCCGACATGGTGAGGCTGTGAAGAATAATTGAAGCCGTATGCATCCGCGTGCTTCATATCATCGAAAGTGATCGGATCAATCAATCTTCCCCTCTTTCGCTTATCCATATTCAGTTCCTCCTTCGTAACTCTCTCCGCAGTTAAAGGTCTGTCCGCCAATTTAATGGGCTCAGGCTCTCGCGCCTTTTGCCTCTTATTAACTCCAGCCAGGAAATTTGGAAGTCGCAAGCTGCGGAGGCGCTCAAGTAGATCGGTTTCTTTTGGATGGTCTTTTTCGAATGCCTCCAAAAACTTATCCCAGTCGCTCCTGCTGAGTCGTAACTGCGCCTTGAAATCCTCGGCGATTTGGAGGTATTTCTGATCTTCAACTTTCGCCTTCTCCTCTTCAAGTTCTTTTGCTTGCTCAGCTAAGTCCTTGGCCTGAGCCTTGACATATGACTCGTGGGCGTAAATCTCCTTGCCAATAACATCCCATTCTTTTTGATAGTCAGCCATGACGCTGGCGACACCGTCTGTGCGAAGATAGAGAACTTCATAGGGCATATCCTCAGGAGCAGCAAGGAACTGTTCAAAATCCTCGATGGGTGTGAATTTTGGAAAAGGAAAGCGATTGGGGGCTTCCGACTTTTCCTCACTGGATGACGCGCGATTACCATTGATGCCATTTTTTGGGTCTTCAGGTTCTTGGGAATTTTTCGCGGTTGCAACGGATGCTTCCCGTTCGCCGAGCCTGTCGTAGTAATCAAATGCCGCCTTCGGATCGACATATGGGCGAATGAGTCTATCATTACCGTCGTCGACTTCTTCGTCGTTCTCCAGTGCGCCCGTAGCATTGGCACCCGTGACAGAGATGCCATTAATGACACCGAATTTATTCTGACCGGACGTGCCTGCATTGAGACTTTTCAAATACCTGTAGACGACTGTTGGCGAATTGGGTTCAGTTGGTGGCGACAGCGAACTGTCAGACACCATCTCCGGGCGGCACGAAGCCACGTGATGGTTGAAATCCTGTATGAAATCAGCAAAAGGTCAAGTGTCGAGTTCATGAGAGATGAGGCAAAAGCTAACCTGCAATGCCATGTCGGAGAATGCAGAATTGCAATGAGGACAGGTGTGTGAGGTGGCGGAAGAGATTGATGGCGAAGAGTTCTCCATGACCTGGTTCGGGTTCACTGCCGGGGCAGCATGCAAAATCTCCGGAGACTCACTCGCGGTAACAACTTGCGCCTTCAATCTCGCCATGATGGGAGATGATTAAATTGGATTTAAGAAGGGGATGGTGATCGCAAGAAGCATGGAGGGTAGTTGGGTTGTTGGGTTGTTGTCGTTTTCTAGCTTTGACACTGTTTTGCAGTTGTCTCGCGAGAGGGCATGTAATGAAAGAGTTTGTATGATGGACGGTTGTAAGAGCGAAAGCAAGGAAGGGGAAGGGCGCCGACGAAGGAGAAAAGAATTAGTAACAATAGCAACAGCTGCCCTCCGGGTACAATGGTAAGAAAGCGAGGCAAAAGAGGTTGGTATTGTCGTTCATGCTCAATAGTGAGTACTCCGTATTGTCCCAGCGTCGCTGAGATTCGATTTCCACGTGTGGCTAGTCCTTTGCTGAGCCACACCACCAATCACGAGCCCCCGGCGCGCGCTATACCAAAACAGGTAAGTTATGCTGAAGCTCCGGACAACAATAATAGGACGAGGGGAAACCACTACTATTGTCGATGTCAACCAAATCAACAAAAACGTTCAATAATTGCCAATAACAATAACAAGAACAATAGCAATAGCGATATACCCCAATCCCGACTTCCAGCGCTCGATATGGCGACAAAGAAGGCAAAAGCCCCAGCCGCGCCAACGGATGATGATCTGAATGCACTTCTGGAGGGCCTCGGTGACGATGATGCCAAAGCAGCCCAGGCGACTTCCAAGGGAGCTTCTCGCCCAGGCCCAGCAGCGAAAGCAGCTTCTTCTCAAGAAGAGCAAGACCTACTGGCCGAGCTCGAGAACCTCGGTACACAGCAGCCATCGAGTAGACCACATACTCCTCGTGTCCAGCAAGTGAGGCGCACAACTGCAACACCACCGCCTGGATCCTCGCGCACTAGTGAGGAGAAGGCAGCAGCCCCGGCCTCTAGAAAATCTGCAGATAGCACGAGATCTTTCCATACAAGCTTCACCCCGTCGGCGACTAGCAGCGAGGCCCAGGAAGCTGAGAAGAAAGCCGCTGCCGCTCAGCAGCCGGAGAAAGCAGCACCAGAGCCCGCTGCAGGCAGCGGAGGAGGCTGGTGGGGAGGTATCTTTGCGACAGCGAGCGCGGCAGTCAAGACTGCTGAGGCTGCTGTGAAAGAGATCCAGCAGAATGAAGAGGCGAAGAGATGGGCGGAGCAGGTGAAGGGAAATGTTGGCGCTCTCAGAGGTTTCGGTATGTGATTACATTACCGCCTGCGCTCCTCTCGGCATGCTACAATAATAGCCTCATCTTCCTCAGGTTCAATAGTAAGACTGTCCACTAATCATATATCTAGGTGGTGAACTGCGTTCACGGGCATTGCCGACATTTACAAATATTCTTCATACCCTCGCTCCTCCAATCTCCTCTCATGAGCGCCTCCAGATTCACATTACCCATGATTTCATTGGATATCCATCCCTAGATCCCCTCATCTACTCCACGTTCTCTAGGGTAATGGCCCAAGTCGAAGGCGGAGACCTAATGGTGATCCAACGGGGTCAGGAATCTACAGCACGCCGCAATTCGGAGGCGGGGTATACGGGAGGAAGTGGAGGCTGGAGCGATGGGCCATGGTGGAGACAGAGCAACGACCACCGTGACTTGGGAGTCGTCAAGGGGCTCGTAGAGGGAACCAAACTCGTGCGCGTCAGCGCCGAAGCTTATGCGACGGAACACTTCAACTCGAGCGGCGGACTCGAACTCGCAGCGCAGCGTGCAACAGAGGACCTCAGCGAGTCGAATCCCGTGCGAAGCAGCGATATATTCCTCGCTGTACAAGCAATATCGCACGAGGCACCACAAGATCTCTTCCAAGGCCCCTCCCCGGCCGCAGCGGAGCAAGAAGAATCCAGCGTAGTGGAGGACAAAGACGTCCCCGACGAACTGGTCTCTTTTGCTATCTATTTACATGATCCCGTACACAGCATAACCTTCTACACCATCTCGCAACCCATCCCAGCCCAGTGGATTAAGTGGCTCGATGCTCCATCTCCACTCACGCCCGCCTCCTCCACCTCGCCCGTCAACCAAAAGAGTGGTTTCTTTGGTCGTGAGGGAGATGAGTATCTTGGACCGAACTTGCCTGAGGAAATTGCAGAGATCATTGAAAGCGGCGGTGTAGATCCGAGGGAATGGATTTCAGAATGGATAGAGGAGATCCTGAGTCTCGGTGTTGGAGTTGTGGCACAGAGATATGTGGCCCGGAGGATGGGTGTCGGTGAAGGCGGGATCGGAAGAGGAAAGGCAAGGATGGAAGAGGTGCTTGCGGATGGAGGCGGAGAGGCTGCGAGAGCGGGTTTGATCTAAGACGAATTGTAACGAGATAGGCTGGTACTTTCTTCCCCCGCCTCTTGGCAATTGAAATAGGGTATCTGTATTGTGTTGTGCTATTTTGGCGCGAGCGAGCCGGGGGCAGTGGCGTTTATTTCTGCTTCTTAGCTAACTTGCTTGCACTACTCAATTCTGTGGCATACGATGGAAGATCACCATTATCATATCATATGCATCTCTATCAGGATGAATCCTTATATCTAATGGTGGCATGCCTACTTTATGCGCATATTCCTTGCATCTACTGTCAGGTAATCTCACACTTAATATTCTACATTCTATCTATCGACATATGAAAAGGCTATCTGCTGCGTATCAAGGCTATGACCTGGCTTTAGTGCTAGAGATAAAGGGTTCTTGTGCGGGCTATGTGCTACTTTGCTACTTTCCAGAATGCATTTCATGCATGAAGTTTAGCATCTACTTTTTTCTATGTCTGTCCACAACATTTGAGCAAGCCTGTGGGTCTTGGGAGGATTAGTTGAGGGCCTAAGATGGATTTTGGTCCGGGGTTTCATTTCCAAGAGCCTCGGTAATTCAAGAGATTGAAGTATCAGTATCAAACTTATCGATGCTGTTTTGAAAGCCTAAATGAGGTAGCATAATAAGGTCATAAATGGAAGTTCTCAAAGTGTAAAAGGTTAGATTTACAAACATAAGACTACCAAGATTTCGATTTACGGCTATTGTTAGACTTCTGCTAAGAGAGTATTACAATGTGTTAAAGTCGACGTAGCCTTTCGGCGAGGCTGCTTAGCACGGGATCCTGTTCTAGACTTGCAGATTAATTAATTATAGTTAAGCAGGATATAAAGATGGGTCCGGGTAACTGTTCCGGTCTAGCTGGGAGAGATAAACGGAACGGCAACTTAGTGCGGTGGTCATGGTTGTGGTGATACCAGCTCCCAGCAACTTAACTTTGATTTGATATCCCGCCTCTTGATTCCACTATAGGTAAGGCTATAGCCCACCATGTTATTGGTTCACTTGTCGAATGTAATCACGGATGAGGGAATAAATCAATACGTGAAGCTGCCGGTCGGGTGTAGAGACGGTGCATCAAGTGAGCGGGGGCATTTGGACGCAACTCTGGGTATGACGCATTTGCAGGGACCGCAGATCATTTGTGCCCTGTAGGTGACGTAGAATATCCCACATGCTGAGAGCCTGCGCTGGATATACCCCGCCCCGCAAGCCTTGGATTAATTTATCAACTTGTGTGAGACATTGCATGCAAAAGTAGGGGAATTTGGAAAAGTCCGGAGAAATGGCTCCGGTGCAGGCGAGTGGTTTAGAGGGGGTGTTTCGTAATTCGGCCACTGACCATCGGCCCTCTAGAACCACAATTGACCATGTAGCAAAACCCCGATTAACGATGCTTGATGGCTCTGTTCCTTGAATTGTTGGAATCGACGCTTTGTGGCCTTGGTCGAGACCCAGACCAGCAGTGCTATCCAGCCCAATGACGACGATATGACCAGCAGGGTGCAGATCTTGAATATCTTTGAAACGAAGCACTTCTATCACGACGCTGATCGCGGCGTCATTTCAATAAAGTCGCTCCCTCCTTTGCGCCGTTGCTTGATGCCAAACACTACACACCTACTGTGTATGTCTCAGTAATCTTGTTCTGCGATCGGGGGAGCATGATTTGACCGGGGCGAGGTCGCGTTGCATGAGCAACGTTCTTTTGTAGGGGTACTTCGAGGATGGGTTCTGGAGACCATAGACAAAGCCCATTCGGGATGGTATCAGTGGCTAAATTTGCTAGAAGTTGGCGCAAGGGACCGCTTTATTCGAATAGTTCGGCGACGACGAAATGCCAGCACTAAAGAACCTCAGTGTCTAATCCGATAAATTGAAAGTGGATATTGAGGCATCTCTATTAGACTACGAAGTACAAGTAGGTTGGGAGGATGAAGAACTGACCACCATTCCGGAAGAGGCAGCTCCTATCATAAGGTTGTATCCGCTGTGATGTTGTTGCGCATTGTATTTTATATGCTGTGTCTAGGTCACATTCCGTCATTGTACCGACCGTAGAGTATCACTGTGGGCGCGGCCCCTGAGGGATGAGGTCATTCTGCATCTGCCAAACGGACTCCCGAAAGTATACAAGCAGGCCATCTGATGTCGTTGTGGGGTAGTAGTATAACAGGATGGCAGGATAGTAGTATAGTAGCATGGGGATGTGGGGATATGGGGATATATGGATGTGCTCTCCAGCCACAGCCAACATCAAGTAGCAGATAGCCCAATTAAGCCCATGGGCGGCGGCCTCGACACTCGAGAGCGCTGAAAGGTTCTGCCAAGGGGAGCTGGAACATCATTACGATGATGGCGATCGCGATGGCGGTGGTGGCGCGGGATGTGATGCCGTTTAGCCATATAATTGGCTTGGGAATGCGGGAGATGATGTTGGAGGTCTGTCGAGGACGATGTTTTTGTTGGAGGGTGATGCTTAGGAGGATGATGAGGACGCTGGGACGATGACCGATGACGTTTTGGCGGCGCAAACGAGTAATGGGGACGACGCCACCAGAGGAAGTGAGACGCCCTACAGAGGCCCTAGACCGGCCCTAGAGACTCCCCAAATAGCCCCTAAACTCCCCTAAACTCCTTAACTCCCCTAAGTCGCCCCTAACCTGCTAACCTGCCCCCCCAACACCCGACCCCCCGCATATACTTGCTGTGTTCAAGTTCCTTGCTTTTTCCTCGCCGATGTCCGTACAGTATTATCGGTGTGCTACAAGTCCAGCGTAGAGTTGTTCGAATACCAAACGATTCCCCGTCTTCCACTCGTCTCGATTCCCCTCGCGGGCCTTCTCCCTTGACCGTTTGGTGCAATCCAATATCCAATACCTACCTAGATAACATTTTGGTGCCACCGCGGCGTCTCATATTGCTGCTTACATATCCTCGGGGTCGAATATCATCTTCTCATCTTCGATGCCAGTCGCCCCCCGTTGCCATCTAATTCGATAGCTCGCAGGCGCCTCCAATCCTCCCTCGCTCTCCCCAGCTTGCTTTGCGCCTTGTGGCCACCGCGCTCTGTCTCTGCCCGCGGACCCCAAGTGCCGACCCGACCTGGACCTTTCCGCTGCCTTATTACGCACTCTTTTCCCGTCCTTCGCAGACAGTGATATCAGATACAGTGCTAGATATTTGATATCTTTCGGAACAGCGGATACTCACCCATTATGTCGTTATCGCAGTCGATAAAAAACCTCATCCGCCACGGTGGTATGGACCCCTCTCTCCCCTCATTTTCACATCCATCTCGAGCTTTGCTTTCCAGTGTCGCCGTCAACTATCCTCGCTCAGTTGTCCCGCTAGGGCTGACTGGACATTCCTCCCTCGTGCCCGATTCACATTTGCTGACACAGCTCCTCTCCAGGGAAACAAGGGCGATCTACACAACCAGCCCCGGCCCATGACGATCCTACGACACAAGTCTCGCCCGTCAACGCCGTACAGCATCCCCAGCAGCAACATCGAGTTCTGCATATAGAGAATCCACATGCCCTTCCCACAGATCCCAACGCCCATACCGATATAAACATGGCGCACCAAGCACATCAAGCTCCACACGCGGACGCGTATTCAGCACTGGATGCCGACGGGCAAAATAGAGCGGCGCAAGCCGGGAACGTCGCCGCCAATGCTGCAGGCCAGAAGCAGAAAATGAGCAAGAAGGTCGAGACCGAAGAATTGAAGCGAATAGTCGAGGAGGAGAAGGCGAGCAAGAACAAGCTGCCAAGGTATCCAGGTTTAGAACGGTGGCAACTGCTCGAGAAGATGGGAGACGGCGCTTTTAGCAATGTGTATCGAGCGCGGGATCTAGATGGTACAGCCGGAGAGGTTGCCATCAAAGTCGTCCGCAAATTCGAGATGAACTCGAGCCAGGTAAGTACCTGCAGCTATAACTGGCTCTCTTTATGTGTCTCGTCTTGATGCTACCCTTCAAACCTTTACCAACATGCGTCATAAAACAGGGTGACGCGGCTCTTCATCCGGATTTTAAGAAGCAGCCAAAGGTCGTGGAGGTGCGCATTAATTTTTCATCTTGCAACATCTCTCTTCCCGCCTTGAAAATTTTTCTTCGGGTCTAATGTTTTAAATATTACTGTGGAGATGCTAAATATATTACCTGAGCAGCGGGCGAATATCCTCAAAGAGGTTCAAATTATGCGGCAGCTGGACCACCCCAATATCATCAAGCTTATCGACTTCTCCGAATCCAAGCAATACTACTACATTATCTTAGACTTGGCCCCCGGTGGCGAGTTATTCCACGAGATCGTCCGCCTCACGTACTTCAGCGAGGATCTGTCAAGACACGTTATCACTCAAGTTGCACGTGCGTTAGAATATCTCCATGAAGAGAAAGGCGTCGTTCACCGGTTTGTATCCTCCCTCGTGGTAAGTTGAGAGCACTCGCTAATTTCATTAAAGAGACATAAAACCCGAGAACCTATTATTTACGCGAATACCTTTTGTTCCAACGAAGAATCCCGCACCAAAGGCCCCGGGAGACGAGGATAAGGTAGACGAAGGGGAGTTCATCAAGGGTGTAGGAGCTGGCGGCATCGGACAAGTCAAGCTTGCCGATTTTGGACTCAGCAAGGTCGTTTGGGACAAGTCAACCATGACGCCTTGTGGCACGGTCGGATATACAGCACCGGAGATAGTAAAGGATGAGCGATATTCGAAAAGTGTCGACATGTGGGCCTTGGGTTGTGTGTTATATACACTTCTATGTGGCTTCCCGCCATTCTACGATGAAAGCATCCAGGTACTCACGGAGAAGGTTGCCCGGGGACAGTATACTTTCTTATCGCCATGGTGGGATGATATCTCCAAACCGGCCCAAGACCTAGTCTCGCACCTCCTAACGGTCGATCCTGTCAAGCGATATGATATTCGAGAATTCTTAGCTCATCCGTGGATCCGAGGTACTGAGGAACCAACATACCCTGCTCAAGACGCACCACCCCTGGCGACTCCAGCTACTGAGCGCGAGAATCAACTCGGCCTTCTAAAACCTTTCAATCTTGACCTTATGGATTCCCCAGGCAAACGTATGGACTTCCGAAGCCCAGGCGCGGTCAACCTGCGTGAAGTGTTTGATGTCAGCTATGCTGTCCATAGGCAAGAAGAGGAAGGAAAGCGCCGAAAGAATTTCAAGCAGGGGTTCCGCGGAGCCGCAGCCATGAACAACTTAAATCCTATCGACGATGACGACTTTGAGGAGGATGATAATTATGCCGAGACCGTTCCATCGAAGGTCCCAAGGTCTAAAGAGGCGGACGTCCAGCATGTAGAGCAGACACTGAAGAACACAAATCTCAACGCTGCAAGGGCACCACAAAAGGGATACGGTCAACACAGTGCCGCGGTTACAGCAGCCGCGAAGCAACAAGTCCGAAACGCAAGAGGACCATTCGAGCTTAACCTCGAAGGCGCAACGCTATTGGGTCGAAGAGGGAAGAACATCCCAAGTTCATTACGGGAGTCAACCGCCGTGCAGTAGCAATCCAAGCTGGGCAGCGATTGGTGATTCGCAAATGTTTGAGTGGCTCATTTTCATGATCATGTTTGGCGTTCAGGTGGGGTGATAACCTGCCCTTCAAGGGTTAAGGTTAACAAACATTTCTCTCTTCTATGCATTAGCATTTGTCTTGCAGAGTAACAGATAGCGATGACTTAGTTGAAGTCTATATAAGCATATATATACAAATTTGAAAAAAATCTTTAATTCTCTGGTCTCAGTGACGCCACGCCATTATCATTTATTAACAGCTCCTAAAATGCTTAAAGTATGGATAAGTTAAATTGCCCTTCGAGTTGCTCTCCTTCCAATCTAATATCAACGATATCTCTCGTCCTATACCACAACGATCCATGCACAAGCGCCATGATCTGATAAATGCCTAATTACGTTGCGTTCCAACGGCCCAGAGGTGCTTGTCCGGGTTGGGTAGGACAGATAAATCACGCCTTGCGGATCGGGCCGCGAGCTTGCTCACCCCATCTTGAAGCCTAGGGTGGGTGCCTCACGATCGTGGTGGCACATCATTACAAACCACACATTCAAGTCTGTATCACCAGAAGCATCAGCCGCACCAGATCAGCCAATGATGGTACCACACACTCCCGTCCCTGCTATACACATACGAAACTATTTTCCTGGGACTAGTACCAGTGCGTATTTTGGGGGGTTACTGTTAGTGAGTCAAGCTACCATACTGTCTTCTCGTTCGACGCTTATTAACAGCTCCTACACCACGCTACGAATGGAGGTAAGCCACAGTACGAGAGGTACTATTCACATCAAAGTCTGGCCGGCTTTGAAAAATGCACTAAACGGGGCAAATGCTTCTCGCAAGCGGTTGTTCGGTATGATTTTGACATGCTTTGGATATAATAGTATTATGAGGAGTTGATGGGTACTGACAAGAGGAAAATTCTAAGCTTCAGAGTATCATATCTTGATAACCCTTCCCTTCACTTGATTAAAGTCCTTCACCCTAATATCCCTCCATACAATGACAGAAACAAGAGCAAGAATCAACACCGTGGAACCACCAATCAACATAAGTCTCTGCGCATCTCCATAAGCCCTGTTAATAGCATGTCTGGTTGCAGACCCAACTGGGTATGACAGCTGAACTGGGAGCTGGCCATATATATTTGCAAAATCCGCCTTGTCCTCCTCAGGAAGATATCTCATCAACCGTTCGGGGAACACACCCTGCCAGATGGCTCCAGCTACAGTGGAACCGATGGCACCGCCAATGTTGGAGAACATGCCCTCAACAGCGAGAACAACAGCGATGTATTGATGCGTGGTAGCGGCCATGGCGGCCATTTGATCGCAGATGACCAGAGTCCCACCGGCCAAGGCGATGAAGATCTGGCACATGATAATGTAGCCGATGTTTACATCTGGCTGACGGAAATTGATCATCAACGCAACACCAAGAATTGTCAATGGGATACCGAAGTATAGTGCCAACCACTTGAAACGTCCAGTCCATCGGATCAAAACTCCAGTGACAAGAGCCCAGAAGCAGGAACCGATGCTGTAGATGTTTACAATGTAGCTAGATTCGGTGATGGTAAGATTTTGGACCACTTGTAGGAATGACGTGAAGTAACTATCCCAGATGTAGAAACTGATGAAAAGAACCGCGGCGAGGACACAGGCGCCGAGGATGGTGCGGTCTGCGAGTAGCTCCCATGGCATGAACTTGACTGGCGCGAAGTATTTCTCCCATACGGCAAAGCATCCAATAGCGACGATTCCAAACACGATCATACAGATGATCATAGGTGATTTCCAGCCCAGGGGTTGGTTGAACACGAGATTGAATGGGAGCAGGAATAATGCAAGACCTGCACAGATGAGGAGGATGCCGAAGATGTCGAATTCGATGGCGTAGTATTTAACGGACTGGAGGAAGGTGCGCCCGCTTGAGTGCTGGTGAGTCAAACCGGCTTTCTTAGCCTTGTTGTAATTGTAGGCGAAGAGGGCATATAGGGGCATGCAGATGAAGAGGGTGATGATAGCAAATGCGCCAAATCCCCATCGGAAGCCAGGACCTTTCAAGAAAGCGGTCGCGAGAGGCCCACCAATCCAGACGGTAGCGATATATGGGGAGGAGATAAACGCAAACATAAAAGCACGGTTCTTGAGGGCAGATGTGTCGGCGACGAATATACCAAGGGTGAAACTCAATCCATTGTATCTAAGTGGGTGAAAATATTAGCTAATGATATAGGGACTCAGGGATTTGAGGATTAGAAATTGGAATGGGGTACACACCCGACCCAATAGAAAACTTGAGCAGCAGCATAAGTTTCGACGTTTTGGCACGCAGCCATCATGACGAGACCGAGTACCAAAAAGCAAACCATTATCAGGAACCCCTGTGGCCGACCCCAGATGTCAAGAATCTTAGCTAGAGGCAGCTTGAAGATACCTCCGACGAGACCTGACACGATTCCCGTGGTAGCGGTCAAGGAGTGCAACTGGAAGCTACTGGTGACATAGGGAGTGAGAGCCCCGCTCATTCCCTGTTGCATGGCATCCACGAAGTAGATGATCCAGATCCTGCGGTACTATTAGTTACTAGCTTGGTAGAAGTGATATTGATGATCTAGCCATTGACTTACAGAGCGTATGCTAGGATCAAGTGTTGCGTGCTCCAGACGGAGGTGATCGCCTCCATGTCTTTCACACCCGCCTGCAAATCTGATGAGATAGTATCGGCATCGGTGTCGACATTCTGCTGATCTTGGGTGTTGACTCCAACCCCCTTCTCCTTGTCGCTCTCCCCATTCGGAGTGTCCACCACGGCCTCCATAGGAGGCTGAGCCTGAGTTCCGGGAGTGAAAAACCTCATGTCGAAGAATTGAAGAGGAGATCAACAGCAATCGCAGGCGCAAATGTAGTCAATTTCACAGAAGCTTCAGCTTTGTGCTCGGTATTCGGGATAAATGCAGAGTGCAGGCAGGGGAATTTCACCCACGACTGGGCATGCGAAGGATTTAATAATTTTTTCATAAATCCATGATGTCGGTGAATCCTAGATGCAGGCATATCCCCCACGGGATACCACCTAGGCCGCAGCCGGTAGTGGGCCAGTGTCTCATCACATATGTGGAGACGAACCTATTCATAAAAGTTATCAGATCATCAGATAGGCTATGCTGGGGTTGTAGAGTGGGGGGGTAGCCGAACCCACGGATAATCTTATCAATCGCGCTGCCGAGAACGCCCGCTAGTGATCTTATCAGATGTCTAGCGGGGTTTATCAGATGTCGTCGAAGTGTCTAATTGGGTTAATCCAACCAGGTTTTGAAAACTTCCACCCGTTAGATGGTTTGGCAACACTTGGCTTGCAGCTGGTGCGTGTTGGTTTCCGCAATTCGTGCTTCATACCGCGGAAAGGGGTCTTTTGCGGCGTGGTTGCAGTGCTGGCCCTCCTAGTATTTCGCCGCGCCGGGGGCCGTGAGCTCCTTGTAAAAACCAAGCGATTCAAGTCCAGGTGGACGGTAATCGTGGACCTCAGGAAACTCTCTAACTTCGCCGTAAATAAGCCCAATCAAAGCACCGCAACTCTCAGACTCTCAGGTCCTCAAACCCAGAGGGTGGTCGCGTGGGAGGCGGAGCGTGGAGCGTGGGTACATTTCTTTTAGTCAAATTGCTTCACCAAAACACGCCTTGGTCAGGACATAACCCAGGGAAGCAGCTTGCCAAGCTGTCAGATGCCGCTAAATGCTCGATCAAAAGGAATATGATAGAGGGGGTATCCTTGGATCTCCTTGACCTGCAACCCAGAGACCATGGAAAGGATATCTTCGATCGTTGTAGTTGGCCGTACGGTAGTAGATCTGGTGACTTGTTCTACAGGGATCAAGTTCTAAATGGCCTCAAGTTTTGGGGGCCCGATTAGCTGAGTGCATAAACCTAGCATCGTCAGTGGTACTATTGGGGGTATCATTTATGGAGAGTCCTGGCTCTTGAGCAGATTGATACTTACTACTAATATGCTACTAGTGGTGGTCTAGTTAACCCTCAACAGCTACGGCGCCGGTAGTAGCCCCACACTTTACCTCTACAAGACCTTCATTCCATTTCCTCTGGTAATGGGGTATAGTGGGCTCAAGACTGGGTTACTGTTTGCTGCTGAAAGTCCCCATACCCACGGTTTTGCTGCTATAGCTCTGGATACACTTTGATTTCTTGAGGTGGTAGGTGGTAGGTGGTACCAAGGATAAATTGAGAATACTGCTCAGCAAGGGAGATTTTCAAGACGTCGTCTGCTCCTCCCTACGCCGTACGTTGCAAACACTTCGCTAATGCAAATCCATAACTAGGCAGTGCTCATATGACCGGTCATCCGAGCTCCGATGACCACACGTGACTCTACATAGAACATTTATAAAACGTTTTTCAAATGCTTACCAAGTGCTTGTGGCGCCCTAATTCATGGTCCTGGCGACTAATGCAGGGCTAGGCCCAATTGAGCCTAGCCAGCAACTCGTTTTCCAATCAATCTGAAATCCACCTCCACCATCCCTACCAACTCCACCTCTCCCATCCCGTCCACCTCCACCACCACCAGCCACCCCTACCTCCTCAAAGTGAGTATAATATATATTATTTATCGATCTTTACTCAATTATATCATATATCTAACGCGCAGATTCAAAAACAACAAAAATGGCAGCTTTGGTGGCTTTGCGCATTGTCGCGAATTCACCAAATCTGACCTTTGCCCTACCCCTTCACTTTCACCTTTACCTCATTTTGGATACGTCCCCATCACTACTTAGTGCATTTACTGACTGATTTTAGATTATTTTCAACGTATTTTCCAACCGTTTTCTAAACGTTTTACACCATGGCACCATTGTCTGTTGACGATCGCGCCAATGCCTATACCAACTCAGCTGATCGTCCAACCGGTGTTAGTGCATGGGTTATTGAGGATGTAAGTGTTTTTTAAACGTTTTCTGAGTATTGTCTAACTGTGTTAAAAGGGCATGCCAGTGATTCCGGCTGGTGAGATGTTCTGCAGATATGCAGATGACGAGGGTGTTATGTGCTCTGTTACAGTAAATTCCTTCAATTCCCTACCGTTTTCTAAATGTTTTCTAATTGTTTTACACAGCATAAGTATGAAAGCACCAATGCCTTGCGGGCACATGTTCGTCGCGATATTGAAAATGGTGGTCATGGCATTAAGGTCAAGGATGGAGTTAAGGGCCGAATGAAGAACGTATGCAAATCGAGTTCTATATGTTTTGAAAACGTTTTCTAACTACTTAGTCTGATCGCCACACCTCGAAGTTGGCTTTTGCTGGTGCTTACGATGCTGTTATGGCCAATGCTGCTCGTGTATGTTACTGGATTTCTCATTGTTTTGAAATTGCTTTCTAATTACTTTCTAGTTGCAAACCCATTTTGAGGAAATGGCAGCTCAGACTACCCCCAAAAAGGTAATCACTTCAAATATGTTTTCCAAACGTTTTCTAACTATGTTAAAGGCTACTACTACTGCAGGCAAGAAGGTTGTTGGTCAGGTATGTGATTTCTAAGTGTTTTCAAAACGTCTTCTAACTGGTTTATAGGCTTCTAAGACTCTTATTGCTCGGGATGCATCCGCTGCTCGCCAGCAGGTTCAAAACCTGGCCACTCAGCTACTTGAATGCCCTGTTCGAATGGTTGGCAAGAAGGGTGAGCGTGGTCGTCAAGTATGTGTTTTAGTATTGTTTTGTAAACGTTTTCTAACTGACTTCACAGGCTGTTCCAAATGCTGCTGCTATGCGCAAGCTGCTTAACCGTACTACTGCAAAGTGTGCTGGTTGCAAAGGAAGCGGTGAGAAGTGTAAGTGATTTCTATTTGATCTCTAAACGTTTTCTGAATGTCTGCTAACTGTGTCTAAAAGGTCCTGATGTTACTAAACAGAATTGGGCTTCGTCTGGTTGTGAGATCCTGGCTGCTTTTGAGATGCCGGATGATGAATCTGATGGGTCTGATGATGATGATGAATAGATGAATGTGTTTTGAAATCATCTTTAAAATGATTTCAGAACGCTTTTTCTCTGCTTTGCTGGTGTTTTATGGGTGGGATGATACCAAATGGGATATGCATAACGGTTATTATGCAATACAATACAATGATTTTTAAAAAACAAAATTAATTTAAGTGATTTAATACTTTATTATATATAAGAAAGTATAAAAAGAATAAAAATAAAAATATACTAATATTACTTTAGGTATAAGCTGATAGTATATTTAGTACTATAGAATAGAATATATATATAAGCTAGAAGTAAGTATTATAAGTTATAGTTTTATTTTAATTTCTTTGCTTTATTAGTTAAACGTTTAATAAACGTTTAACGAGTATTTGACAAGTATTTAATAAACCTTCATTAAATGCTTGTCAAATACTCGTTAAACGTTTTATTAAATATTTATTAAATACTTATTGAATATTCGTAAAATAATAATTAATTAATTTATAACTACTTGTTAATTATAAACTAATTGTCTCTTATCTTTATAATAACTGTTCCTAAAATACTATCTCGTTATGTTATTTTTATATTAGTAATCGCTCGCTTATAATTCTAAGATTATTAATAATCCCACTATTACAAATTCGAAAAATTACTTACCCCACTTTCTTTCTTTTACGACAAGTTCTTCTATTATAAAGTTATACGTCCTTTTACTTTAATAATGGCAGATCGACGTTATCTTAATCTTCGAGAGCGGCCTGATAACTCTCCAGCCTTTGAGACCCTTCAGGTAAGCTAATAAATCAATCTCTATTTGTTTTAATAACAAGTATAAAATACTAATATTACTTTTTAATAATAACTAGAATACTACCTGTGGATACTCGCAATGTATTCAGATATACCCTGGTGAAATCTTTTGTCGTATTATAGTAGACAGTGAAGAAGAGATTGAGTTATGCCCTGTTAAAGTAAATAAGTTAACTTATAATCTATTTACTTTATATATATTAAATATTTAAATAGGGCCGATTTTCTCGAACATCAAACTTAATAGTCCATATGGCAAAGCATCATCCAGAGTGGCATATACATACCCATCCGCGTGGTAGAGTATCACTTGTTAGTCTATTCCTATTTTAAAAATAATAGTAATTAATAATAAAATAGGAATTTTCACGAATAACAACAGCATATTTTCGTCAAGTCGGGAGGGCGATTGAAGGTCAGGTATGAGATATAATATATATATTCATATAGTATTTTTATAACGTTTTCTAATTATTAATAAACTGTCCAGAGTACGTCTAACTCTAATTCAACTCCTGGTCCGACTCCTGGTCCGACTCCTGGTCCGACTCCTGGTCCGACTCTTGGTCCGACTCCTGGTCCAACTCCTGGCCCGACTCCTGGCCCGACTCCTGGCCCGACTCCTGGCCCGACTCCTAGTCCAATTACTGATATTCTTACTACTTTAACTACTGCTTTAAATAATGCTCCTGCCGACCAACTTATTGCTCTAACTGCTGCTTTAACTGCTACCCTAGCCCAAGCTCAGGCTTCTAACGCAGCTTCTAGTACAATTCCTGGCGTAGCTATAACTGTAAGTATGATCACTTTGAAATCACTTCCAAATCGCTAATAAAACAGCCAGAGAACTGCTCCTACTCTTTCTGGCGTAATAGCTGGCGCAACTCCTAGTATAACTCCTGGCGCAATTCCTGGTACAACTCCTGGCGCAATTCCTGGTGCAACTCCTGGCGCTCCT